TACCAAAGCTGCTTATTTGTTTGTTTGTTTGCTCCGCTGCTCTGTTATGTTAATGTGAGAGTGACTGCGCAGGAGAGTTGTGACATTTTGTTTTAGGCCCCCCGGAGTTGGAGTAACGTGTGGTTTTTTCGTGTGGTATTTGTGGCGGCTGGTGACGCAGCGGAGACCCACCGAGCTGTCGTTACGTCCACGGCGCCGCTTTACGTCATCGGCTTTTAGCGACGCTGCGTCCGTTTGGGAAACGTCACACGTGGAGCCGACACAATATTTGATGTCTGTATTATGGATTTTTAATATTATTTAACAATCATACAGAATTAATACGCTTCTTTTTTTGACAAATTCAGCGTTTTATTGTCCGTGAGGTTTTCTGACACTCAAATCAAGAAGGCATTGCGACCCCCCTGTGAAGCTTTGGCGACCCCTAGCGGAGGTCCCGGCCCTCAGGTTGGGAACCTCTGCCTTAATGGACCCGTTTTCTATCATTTATCAACAATAAACTGAATATCTTTGTGTTTGGGACTGTTGAATCTGAAGATGTTATCCCTAAAATACCAGCAGGAGCGTCATCAGAGCGCTCTGCCTACCCGCCGTTGTTTACTTGTTGTATTTTGTCCTTAAAAAGGAAACAAAACGGTGTGTTTCTTAAAATTTGATGGGGAATTTTATTTTGAAAATGTACTGGTTTCTCTATGCCGTTTCTTCGTCTGACTTCCTCTCAAAGCGATCTGCGCTGTTCCCTCTCATTAATTTATTCTAGTTTTCCAGTCAAACATCTGGAAATTGATTAAAATGATGAAACATCCTGGAAATAATCTCTCGTATAGAGTTCAGAAAGCGTCTCTTAATCGAGGATCACCATTCGTGACCAAATAAAAGTCCTGGAAAATTATTTCTTAAAGAGAGAGGGAACTCTTTTGGGGTCACAACTTGTCGACATTTTCTCAATAAATCTTAAACTACTAATCATTTATTAATTGTTTAATCGAGAAAATAAGAGACTCACGTTACTGTTATTACGTCATTTTCAGCGGTGTCTTTGTCCCACGCTTCCTTTCGGCGCCCATCAGTTGACCCCCGATGTAAAGTTCATTATCAGAATCAGATCAATACTGGTCAGCGTCTTGAATATCTGTCTGAATATATACATCCTCATCCGTGTTTGTTTTATATAAAATAATGTCAATATTAAACACTTATTGGAGTTTTTATTCTGTGGTTTATTTAAATTGTTTGAGGGACTCGTAATCTGCAGCTCTCGGGTGTTTCCTCTTTATTTTCTATTAGCTGAACTGTTTCCTCTGGCAGCAGGAAACAACTCTTTACTGCCTCTGAACATAAAACTAATTTAAACTTAAAAAAGAAAAAGTGTTTGTATTTCAAAGAAAAAAGTTAAAAACATGAACTTTCAGCACCAACCTCCAGCTGACTCCTGCTGAATACTGTGAGAAGAAGAAGAAGCTGCTCGGGTTCGGGTCTCAGTCTCGTAACGTTGCATTAAACTTTCTGTTTGTAGGCATCATCAAGCTGCGGAGGAGTCCGCCACCGAGGCTCAGAGGACCACAGTACGTTCTCAACATCACAGCCACGGACGACAACGCATCCGGTGGGCCGTACCCGCTCAGCAGCTCCGCCCAGGTCATCGTAGGAATCAACGACATCAACAACAACAAGCCGGTGTTCGGGGAGGTGAGTGAAACCCCGAAGGTCTACTTCCTGCTTCAGTTCAAGGATTTATTATTTAAACCCCTTGTTGTGCTCTCAGTGTCAGAACTACAGTCTGAACGCCGGCGTCCTGGAGAACCAGCCGCCGGGGACGTTTGTGCTGCGCGTCCAGGCCCACGACGCCGACATGGGCGTCAACGGAGAGGTCAAATACGGCATCATGCACCGAGACGGAGTGTCGCCCGGGTTTGACATTAACCCCGACACCGGTGAGTTCGCCAGCTGCTGCTCGCTACACCAACACAAAGAGTGGACAGTTAGTAACCGTCGCCGTGGTAACGTGGTCCCTTTTGTGTTTGCCAGGTGTGATCACCACCACGGCGAGTTTCGACCGGGAGCGGCAGAGGGAGTTCACGCTGTCGGTGACGGCCACAGATCAGGCCGAGGAGCCGCTCATCGGGATCTGTCAGATCACCGTCCTCATCGCAGACCAGAACGACAACGACCCAAAGTTCGAGAACAGCCGCTACCAGTGTGAGTACTGCTAACGGCTTACTGCTAACTGCTAACAGTACTGCTACACTCGAATGCAGAAGTTAGTTTTTTGTGACTTTATTCCGATAGATTCTGTTCACACACTTTAAATAAGTTCGTAGAAACGCTGCATGTGAAAGAAAAACGTCAATAAACTGAATTAAATTTGTACAATTAACTTAATTTTCCACCTCGTGTGTCTGAAAGTGTGAAACGAGGCGGTGAGGCGTTCAGGGTGAACGCTGCTGTTGGGAGGAAACAGGTGAAACGTGGCGAGCGTCTGTCTGTCTGTCTGTCGTCTATCGGGCTGCATCCTTGTAATCCTGGAAAGCTCTTACGGCTGATGAAACGCTCGCCGCCGGCTCCCGCGGGTCCGTGTTTGTTTACTACGTGTGCAAATATGTGTTTTGATAAGCGTCGTGTCAGAAGTTCTCCTCGTCAGATTAGGGAAACGCACAGGGTGGCTCATTAACTATTGAACAGGCAGATTGAAATGTTTCTGGGACATGAATTCATTTACCACCGGGTGTGTGTGTGTGTGTGTGTGTGTGTGTGTGTGTGTGTGTGTGAAGTGAGCTGGAAACAGGCTTGTTGTTTATCTTATGGTCTTTATCGACATACATTAGAATCACTATCTTCGCTCGAGGAAAACTTGACAGAATTTAAAGTCCACATGAAACAGAAATCGGCGAGCTGTTTGTTTTTGGTTCCCGCCTCCCCAGCTGACGTTAGCAGCACGAGCTAACAGCATCTCACATTGACCTCGGTACCACTGTCGTCAAACTGTCCTCTGTCTGTTGAAGATTGATGGGTAGATGTCAGGATATTACTGGTTGAAATCACATTTAGTTTCGCAGGAAGACACAAATACAAAAAAATACAAATAAATTGAGTTTATTGTGAATGTTTTGGCATAAATTGTTAAACAGAGGGGAACAATATAACTGCAGATGTGATCTTAAAGGGTTAAAATAACATTTTTAATTACCACATTTTAAGTATAATATTTTATGTAAGTATAATGTTCGTGGTGTTAATGCCCACACTCTGGGATAAGATACTGTCTGCACACTGAAGACTACACGTGGATCTTTGACAGATTATATTTATATGATGATCTGGATACAGTTCTGTAAACGTGGATACCGTTGGATGTTTCCAGATACAGGGCCTCTTACCGTTGTGCAGTGCAGCATTAGCCGACCTCCCAGCTGTCAGGTTCGCAGTCGTAAACCCCGGCAGGCAGTCGGATCCTGCGTTTGCTCGTCTTGTTTGTTGTGGTTGTTTTCTGTGACACTCATTAGACTCAGCAGGATCCGCCGCTGATTATACAGCTGAAACGTATCCAATGAGACCCACAGACGGTCAGAGGGACATTATTATTGACACAATGCTTGAAATGCAGTATTTACGGAGGGGAAACGCCTCCTCCTCCCCCCCCCCGCTGGTTGTTTTTGTTGTGTGATCAGCACTGACGCTCATCACAGTCAGCAGGATTGGAGGTTATATTCATAAATTTACAAAATGCATCAGTTGACTTTGCAGCGTGAGACCCAGAAATGACAAAATGAGGTGACACACTGCTGACACAACACAACGGCGTGTTCCCATTATTATAATATCTGCTTACCATCACAGAACACCTTCTTACATTGTGTTCAGTCGGTTTTAATGAAATCCAGCGTACGCGCTCCGGTCTGAGTGTGAGTTCAGGTGTAGCTGGTGCGTCGTGGTTAAATATAAATACATGAATAATACATTAATAAACACGTGTAATATCAGGAGTAGGGTAATTTACACTGTAAAACAACATAGGTTCATTTAACTCAAAACTTTGTTGAAACTGATTTCGTCAAACATTTTTAAGTAACAAACTGGTTTAGGTTGAAATTGATTCTTGATGAATTTGAAGTGGCACTAACTCAGTTTTATAAGTTATAGAAAGTCATTGTAACTAGGTGTTTTGTTTTTCACATTAAAAGCAGAATAAAGCTACTTAATCAAGAATGTTTCTGTAGTAGAAGAATTAGCATTATGAGCAGCGACAGTACTTTTAGTAGAGAGGTAATAAAATACTGCTACCGTAGTACTACTGCAGTGGTTGGCAGTACCTGTTATACTAGTACCGATAGAAGTAGTCATACTTTATTGATCCCTTCCAGGGAAATTGGTTGCGCTACATTATAAGAAATAGAAATAATAAGAATGTTAAAATATGTGCATTATATTAGTGTATAACAACAATATATGTAGAAAATATAAAATAAGAGTATATTACTAAAAGTAAAATAGTAAAATATGTATATTACTACAGCAGTATACAACCATATTTACGGTTGTAGTAGTTGTACCAGTACCAGTACCAGTAGCAATACCAGTACCAGTAGTAGTAGTACCAGAACCAGTAGTAATAGCAGTAGCAGTACCAGTACCAGTACCAGTACCGGTAGCAGTACTGGTACCAGTTGCAGTAGCGGTACCAGTACCGGTACCAGTAGTAGTAGCAGTAGCAGTACCAGTAGTAGTACCAGTGCCAGCACCAGTAGTAGTACCAGTAGCAGTACCAGTAGCAGTACCAGTAGCAGTACCAGTACCAGTAGCTGTACCAGTAGTAGAACCAGTACCAGCACCAGTAGCAGTACCAGTAGCAGTACCAGTACCAGTAGTAGTACCAGTAGCAGTACCAGTACCAGTAGCACTAGCAGTACCAGTAGTAGTACCAGTAGCAGTACCAGCACCAGTAGCAGTACCAGTACCAGTAGCACTAGCACTAGCAGTACCAGTAGCAGTTACCAGCACCAGTAGCAGTACCAGTAGCAGTACCAGTATTAGTTTTTCATGCCCTGACTCACAGTTCATCTCTTCTCAGACTTCCTGCGGGAGGACACTCCGGTAGGAACTAGTTTCCTGCGAGCGGCGGCACACGATGACGACCAGGGGAGCAACGCAGCCATCACATACTCCCTGTCCAATCAGAAGCCAGCTTACCTGCACATCAACCCCAGTACTGGCTGGATTTACGTCAACCACCCCATCTCACAGGTGAGCGATACACCCAACGTCACTAAACTATACCTGTGAGGACACCTCGCTGGCCTAAAACTCAAACATGGTCCTCACAAAGATAGTAAAGCCTGTGTCAGTGCCTCGTAGCTTCATGCTACCGTTTCCTTTGTGTTCTTTCTACTACTTTTATACTTTATATATGTATCATATATTATATACCGACACACATCCCTACTCCAATAAACAGGAAGTGCATGAACGCAGTAGTATTTATAATATACAAATAAAGATGATGACAGCAGGGTCGGCGTCACAAGGTCGTGTTGTTTCCGCTGTGGGGAGAATAAAAATTAAATGTTTCACAGTGTGTGTGTGTTTGTACGATCGTACAAAGTCAAACTGAAGCGAATCTGTCTGTTATGAATGATGCCGACTGTTCTTCTTCGTCTGTCATCTTCCTCTCTGTTCTTTGTCTCTGCCTCTCTTGATCTTTTAAACAGCACTTCAGTCAATAATTGAGCAAAGGCAGATTCACCCGCTCACTTGTTTTTATTCACTTTTATGAACCAAACAGTTTCTGTTTCTCTGCTTTAATATTTACTCATCCGACAAGCGTTCAGCGGCCTTTCACGGCTTCAAAGTTTTGATCACAAACTTTAAGAATGAAAAAAAGTCCTTTCTTTAGTTTAGTTTCTGTAGTTTTATAATCGTCATTAAAAGCAAAGAGCCTGAAATAAACTGATACGAGACGTTCTCCTCGGTTTGTTCAATGTCGTTCCCCCGCAGACGTCCAAGATCAACCAGCAGATCGTGGCGTCCGATGGAGGGAACCGCAGCAGCTCCGTGGAGCTGACCGTCATCATTACCAACGTCCACAACCAGCCGCCGCACTGGGAGCAGCCCGAGTACTGGGTCACCGTGCCAGAAAACACCGTACGAGACGCCAAGATAGTGGTGAGTAAACCGTACCACAGATATAGGACGTTTGTGGTCGTAGTGAAAAGTCAGGTGACCCCGGTTTTGGATAAAGTTGTTTTTAACAATACTTTTATAACGGCACCGGTGCCAAGTCTCAGAACTCTTTAACTTAACCGCTTCTTTAAAAACAGGAACAATATAATGGTAAACAAAATTAAAAAATGGCATTTGTTATGGCTTTAGATTGAACTGTTTAAAAAACATTGGAAGCTTGGGAGGTGAGTGTGAGGTGAGGGGAGTGTAATCTGCAACTACACGTAAATCTGGTCTTTTAAACATTTGCCTCAGGTCGTGTTTGAATCATTTCGAGTGAAATGCAGCCGCACTTACACACCGCTTCGCTCGCCATTTTAAAGGACCAGTGTGCAGGATTTAATGACATCTAGTTGCAGCTTGCAGCCAACTGAACACCTCTCGCGTCTGTATTGGACGACCTGTGGGAGTGAGAACGTAGGTGCGTAGGGGAAACTACGGTGGCTGAAATACAATAAAAAAAAATACCTCAAGCTCAAGTGCGCCCATAAAAAGGAATGGCAGACGGACCAGGAGCAGTTGATGTCAGTGGGAATGGGTTCCTGTTGCCTGTGGAAGTGTTTGACCTTATTTCTCCACAGTGGAGGTGGCAACTGTAGGTACGCCTGTTGCTAAATTTTTGGAGTCACTGGCACTCGAGTTTCATCCAGCCTTTGCTTTACGTGACCTCCGCACCTGGATCACAAGCGACTGAAGCTCCTCCGATCGATGCTGCTGTAAGTTCTGGACGAGGGAAGAAGACTCGGAAAAGAGGGGAATATTTTAAACCTCCTGCAGGAGTTCTCTTTCGTTTACATCCTCCTTCACATCTGTGCAGAGCCCTGAGGAGACTCTTTCTTCTCCTTCATCCCTCTCTCCTCCCCATCCTCTCTCCTCCCTCCCTCTCTCCCTCTCTCTCTCTCCCTCTCTTGGTGTCAGCACGTTTAGCCGAGCTCTTCCAAACATTTTCTGCCGAGCAAACAACAAACCCGCCCCGAGTCTGTCTCACCTGACTCACTCCAACCGCCACACACACACACACACACACACACACACACACACACACACACACACACACACACACACAGGGTTCGCCCGTATACCTCCGGTGGTTTTTCTCTCTTTTGATCCCTCCATCCTAATTTGCTCTCTTTTCCTAAGCCGCTGGTTTAGAAGGTGGAGGAGTTTTTACCCTCCAGCTGCTCGATTTCATGGAGGTTAGTCAGTTTTCAAACAGTTGTAGGGCCTTGTGTGTGTGTGTGTGTGTGTGTGTGTGTGTGTGTGTGTGTGTGTGTGTGTGTGTAATCCTGTGTAAGCCTGTGTGTGTCAGAATCTGTACCTGCGCTGTATTTAATCTTTCTTCCTCGTTCTTTTCAACCCTCACACCATCACTGTAAAGACTGATAGTAATCATGATGGTAAAGATGATGATGACCATGATGATGATGATGAAGATTATCCCACCCACAGCTCCATTTGTCAGAGATGATTGACAGGAGAGAGATAGATAATTACACCTGCTGTCGCTGTGTCACAATGGACTCTCATCACCTCTGAAAAACAGATGCTTAATTACTGTCTTTAACCTGACAGAGACTGTATGAGGGAGAGAGGGAGGGAGGGAGGGAGAGAGAGAGGGAGGGAGGGAGGAGAAGAGGTAGAAGATGGAAAGAGCTCCAAGTGTCATCAGTAAAAGAAGATATCTGTGATAATCAGTGAAGAAAGAAAGTATCAGTGGCATTTTTTAAGTCAGATTTTATTTATTTAGAAACAAAATCACAATTTGTCTTCTTGACATTTGTCTTTACAGTCTCTGAAGCATCAGCCTCGGTCTTTAGACCAGAGGTGCCCAAACTTTTACCCTCCAAGGGCCAAAACTGCCATTTAACGTGAGCCACGAGCTAAAAGCTAACAGCTACTGTACTGACTGACTGACTGGTGCCGTAGTGTAAAGAGCTAGAAAGGATCTGGAGGTAGTAGATTGGACCGCTGTCGGTGAAGCCAAAAGTAAAAGATTGAAGTTATGAAGTTATTAGAAGTTATTTTTGTCCCTATTGGACACTGTCGATGTTTTATTTAGCTCTCCTTCTCCACCTTTCTTTATTTCTCTCTCTTTCATTTCTCTTCTATTTAACAGCGATTTAGTAACGAGTGTTACTTTAATGAGTAAAATCACCAGACTGCCCCTTTAACACATTTATCGGAAGGTTTCGTACGGGTCGTATTGAACATAATTCATGCTGAAACCTTGTTGATTAACATGTAACACTTCCCACACCTGACAACACATACGGATCAATCACAAGGCTGTAATTCCTCCTCCCTCCTTCCTCTCCTCCGCTGTGTTAATTGCACTGAGGAGGAACTGTTGTTTTAAATTTAGCAGCATTAATAAGGTTTGTTAATTACATTGTTAACGCGGTGGATGGAGGGTGATACTGCAGAGTGTGTGAGTGAGTGTGTGAGTGTGTGTGAGTGTGTGTGTGTGTGTGTGTGTGTGATGCTGTAATAGTCTCATCATCAGCTGACTTCCTCCTGTTTGCTTCCTCTTCCTGTCGATGCTGTGTACAGTCTCTGATTGTCTGGTGGAACTGACATTTTTCCTCTTTCACTCATTAAGTTTTTTGCATGTAATTGTTTTCAAAATATAAAAACATAAAGTGCATAAGTAGCTTTTATAACAACAGTGAATTCAAGTCTATTAAAGGCTTGGCAGTTACATCATGAGTCCACAAACATCAGTAGAGAACTGTATGTTCATTAATATTGTAAATATCCAGTTATGTTTTCAGAGCAGGACTGTAAGGTAGACACTGGTGGATAAAACTTGATAAAGTACCTTTCCAGTGGATAAAACTTGATAAATTGTTCAGTAACAGTTTCATGGATACAGTGGGGGACTCTGATGTGGTGAGCCATAGCTGTGGAGATTTGTGTCTTTTTTATTGGTGCACAAACAGACAATCCAACACCCACCATGTTGTTGCATTACAATATACCCAGTCGGGGTCAGCAGTCTCCCATTTCTGAATAAATATGACAAGCAGGCTCCGTAGTAGCCGTCCAGTTTCCAGGTGAGGAGTCGTGTCAGGACGCGTTGGTCCTCTTCAGGAAGCGGAGCGTGGCTCTGCCTCGCAGCGGGCCGGCGCAGCGGAGCGCATGGAATCAGCACTAATGAGAAATCATCTCATTAGACATCAGTGCAGTGTGCTGAGGCTAAGCTGATCAGTGTCTGCCATCTTCTCCCACACAGATTAACGCCTGTGGAGATATCGCAGCAGATCGTTCTCAGCTGGTGTCGGCTGGTGCTGAGTGTGATTCAGCAGCTGGAATACAGATCATCCCGTCAGCCTCGCAACAGTCGGCAGTCGGCTGAGGGGGGGCGTTAAGGTCAAAAGCAAGAGCGGGGCCTTTGTATTCTGTAAATGTGACTCATGTTTAATTTTATAACGCCGTTGTTGGCACTTCTGATTAGCACAGTTTTACATGCATCTGAAGCGAGTAATTAACTGACCTCGGGTTTGGGTTTCTCTCTGCCTGAGCCCCGCCCCTTGTTGCTCTGTACTCCAATCACAGTTCAGCAAGCCTCGGTCAACTTCCTCCTTTCCTGTACTTAGATATGCTATATGCTAAGCTAATCTATGTTGAAAAGACAATTTGAGGATGGTTGAAAAAGTGACACTCGCTATGTCGTTAGCTATGTTCACATCACTTTTTTAACCATCATAAAAATGTGGTTGTATTTCCAACATAGATTAGCCTAGCACGTAGCATATCTAAGTACAGGAAAGGAGGAAGTTGTTATTGGAGCTAGCATGCTAACATCAGCTAACTTTAGATGTGACTGGGTTTTAAAGGTCCAGTGTGTAGGATTTAGTGGCATCTAGCGGTGTAGTTGAAGATTGCAACTCGCTCGCTTCCCTATCCCTTTCCAACTACGGTAGCTGTGACTTGTTTGTTTGGTTTGTCCATTCTGGGCTACTATAGAAACATGGCGGACTCCGCCACTAGAAGAGGACGTGCTCCCTCTGTAGATAAAAACATCCTGAGGTAACAAAAACACAATAATTCTCATATTCAGGTGATTAAACACTCATAAAAACATACCTGTGAATGTTATATTTCTATATTTCCTCCTCAGTGTTTCACGCTGGAGCTTTTAATGGATGAACAACAGAAAGTGGACAGACTCTGATGTTGGTGTGTCTTTGTATTCCTCTGTGTGTCGCTGAGTGGCTGGTAAAGACATGAGAGAGAGAGAGGGGCGCTCGAGCTGCCGTGGTCACTGGGAGAGAGAGGGCTGAGAGGGTTTTGGTGTTTGAAGTGGCAGACAGCGTTTCTCACTCAGTCTCTGTGAGGAGACATGTTACCTCTGGTGGAAACCATGTTTAGAGTTGCTGGAAGGTGAATTTTTTTTTCTCTCTTTTAATGTAGCTTAGCTGACAGTGTCGTCCTGCTTCCAGTCTTAGTGATACGTTAGGTTAAAGCATGTCTTAGACCTGTGGTTCCCAACCTGGGGGGTCGGGACCCCTACTAGGGGGTCGCCAAAGCTTCATAGGGGGTCGCGAGGTCTTCTTGATTTTACTAGAAAACTTAAGAAACATCCACAGTAGACGTGTGTCGGAGAAACATTGATTTTTAAGATCAAAATCACTGTTTCAGTGTTTTTAGCAGTTTTAATCATTTAGTGGCAGAAATTACTGTAGATAACATATATACTTTATTAATCCCCTATTGGGGAAATTCTTCTTTTCACTCTTTTTTATTCTAACACACACACACACACACACACACACACTACACACTTGTGGACATGCAACAGGGAGATAGATGGTGGAGTGATGGGCTCTCCACGTTAGCGGCGCCCATGAGCAGTTTCTTGGGGTTAGGTTGAAACTGGCACCTCTCCAGCTACCAGTCCACACTCCACATTGTGGTCTGTGGGATTTGAACCGGCGACCGGTTCCCAAGCCAAGTCCCTGCACACTTAGCTACTCAAAGGGGTTAAATCAGTGGAATATGACTATGTGTGTCTAACACAGGTCATAGCCTTTCTCTCAGTACAGTAAAGTGAGGTGGCTTCAGTCAGCCGTGGAAAACACAATCCGTCCCTGGTGAGGTTGAGAGTGTGTGGTCAGGAAGGACACACACACACACACACACACACACTCTTTAAGGTCAGCTCAAACTGCAGCTGAGAGAATAACGGCAGTCTTAAAAGCTCTGCTGCTGCTGGATGCACCAGACTACACACGCGCATAAACTCGTCCAAAACACATAGTTTCTCGCAAACTCACACAAAGAACGTCAACAAACCACAAACTGAACCCTTTTTTGGCGGCAGAAGAAGTGCCACACGCTCTTCTTCAGCTGCTTTGTCTCCATAGAAGGACTGAACAGCGGCTCCGGCCGTTGAAACGATGCATTCTTTGTATCACGGTTGTGTATCTTACTGTGTCACTTTCTGCTGAGTGTTTGGAGGGTTTATGGATCTGGGAGACGTTAAAGCCGTTAGCGACCTCACCGTCGACAGCTCAAAGGAGGGAGTTATTGTTCCAGAAATGGAAATGGTTTAGTCGGAGGTCAGTGTGGGTTTCTGTTTTGAAATGAGAAAACCAAAATCAGGATCTTTAGATAAACTTCATCTTAATGTTTGATGTTTTATTTTGTACGTACAGGAGCAGGAAGGTGTCCGTCAGACGCCATGAAGCTCTGGATCAGACACACAATCATAACTCTCTCTCGCTCTCTCTCTCGCTCTCTGTCTCCCCATCAGACCATCAAGGCGACGTCTCCGCTCGGTGACCCCCGGGTGACCTACAACCTTGAAGAGGGTCAGGTGCCGGAGACCAACATGCCGGTGCGATTCTACGTCAAGCCGAACCGGGCGGACAGCTCGGCGTCCATCCTGGTGGCCGAGAACCTGGACTACGAGACGACGCGCTTCTTTGCGCTCAGAGTGCGAGTCCAGAACGTCGCCGCTGTGCCGCTCGCGTCGTTTACCACCGTCTACGTCAACGTGACAGGTGAGACGAGGGAAGGAGTGTGTGTGTTTGTGTAAATTACACCTTCTTCACCACCTGGACAAACCAGATCGTGGCACAGTGACGTTCTTAGATTAAATCATTAAAAACCTTCTCTTGGGAATGTCCATGTCCATTTATGTGGTGTGACTACGTGGCTAGCAGTGAGCTAACCATCCTAAAACACTGCATGAACATTCCCAAGAGGAAAAAATAGAAGCTTTAAATGAATACAACATTTTTCAACATGCTGACGGAGGACAGTTTGACGCCCCCTTGGCGACATCAGCTAACAACATCTAACATTAGTGTTAGCTTCTTTTAGCAACAAGTCCATCTGGAAACTCCATAAATCACCTCGGTATCGTCAAACTGTCCCCTGTCTGTCTCAGAGGTTGTCTGTTGGGATCAAAGTGGCAGCTGATGGTTGCTGTCACCGGTTGTGTTCTCGGCCTTCTGATAAACGATACATCTGCTTTGTGGTGGTATGTTCAAGACCGTACAAGACTATTAAATTGGGTTGTACCTACAGTGTATGTGGATATTTTTATCTCCGTATTAGCAGTTAACAGTACACGAAATAAAAAAGCACACAAACTGTCATTTCTTCCTGCTTTCACAGCTCTTCTCGTTTTAAAACCCAATCCCATTTCCCCTCGTGATGAAGCCATCGCTCAGCTCTGAGCCAGCGGAGGGAAAGAAGAAGCGTTCAGGGAAACTCTGTAATGAGCGAAGCTGCTGGAAGAATAATGAAGTGTAGTTCAAATCCCTGGTCGTCTCTGTCTCAGAAAAACCAGCAGCGACTGGTTGCTCGAGCTCCGTGCCGCCTCATTTTAACGGCAACTCGCTTCCCAATCGGCGTCTGTAGGCGGGCGGAGGGAGAAGGGAGAGAGGAGACGACACTTCCTGACTTTGATTGGCTTTGAACAAACCCACATCGGACGCTGTAATTGGCTTAGCGGAGCTTGAAAGCGAGCTGACAAGCTGCTTTGTGGACTCTTCACGGTGTTTGGAGGATAATTCCTCACTAATAACTCAGTTTTCATTAGCGAGGGGGTGACGCAGTTCAACTCTCTGACGGACGTCTGAAACCAGACTCTGTTTCTTCATTTCACTGGAGTTGATCTTCACTTTTTTAATCCTTCTTCTGGTGTGAAAAATTTTGCAAAAAACCCACAAAGTTTTCAGTCTTTCTTTGCTTTTTCTTCGCCTCCTACCTGCTCTCTTTCTCCATCTCAGCTTGTTTTCTCCGTCAGTTTTTGATCAGCTTTCAGGGACACGACAGACAGTTTGTGATAAGAAATTATGTGTCAGAAATAAACAACATATTTTTTAATTTCTTTCCTTTTCAGATGTGAACGACAACGTTCCTTTCTTCCTGTCGTCCACCTACGAGGCCACGGTGCCTGAGGGAGCGGAGATCGGCACGTCAGTGGCTCAGGTGTCGGCCACGGACCTGGACTCTGGTCTGCACGGGATGGTGAGGAGCGTCTACACGTTATCATCTGTTAACTTCTGCTTCTTCTACTACAGCGTCTTTGTCCTTCTTGTGCAGATCCACTACGTGATCCTGAAGGACGAGAGCGGGGACTCGCAGTTCTTCAGCATCGACTCGCGCAGCGGCGTCATCGTCACTCGAGCCTCCTTCGACCGCGAGCAGAAAGCCTCCTACCTGATCGAGGTCCAGTCGCAGGACGGCTCCGAGTCGGCCAGACCGGGTCAGCAGGGACAACCCAACACCGGTAACACACACACACACACACACACACACACACACACACACACACACACACACACACACACACACACACAGGTAGCAGTCAAAGTGAAAAATAAATAGGAATATAAGTCTTTGAAAAGTGTATTTTGTCTATCTGAGGGGTAAAATTTTGCCGCTAGCTTAGCTACAAACAGAAACCTTTACAGCGTGAATGTGCTTCTAGTGACTGTAAGTAACTCCAGTGGACCCTCTGTTAGCTCTGTTAGCTCTGACTACCAGCTCACTGTTTCTGCTACACTGCTGTGGTCGCTGTCGAGGTCAAGTGAGTGGGAGGAGCTAACAGAAGTTACACTTTAATATCTGGAGAGAGTGAAAGTGGGAAGGTAAAGTGACATTAGAGTTGTGGGTGTTAATTTGTGTCTCCTCTCTCTCTCTCTCTGTCTGTCTCTCTCTCTCTGTCTGTCTCTCTCTGCCTGTCTCTCTCTCTCTGTCTCTCTCTCAGACACCGCCTACGTCAGGATCTTCGTCACCGACGTCAACGACAACGCGCCGGCGTTCGCCCGGCCGGTGTACGAGGTGAGCGTGGAGGAAGACAAAGAGGTCGGCTTCGTCCTCATCACCGTCACCGCCAACGACGAGGACGAAGGTGAGTCAGTCTGTCTCCTCCTTCCTCTTCTTCCCTCATCTTTTTTTCCTCTCCCCATCTCCTCTCGTCTCTCATCTCTTCTCTTCCGCTTCCTCATCCTCTTCCTCTCTCCTCATCCTCGTCTCCTCTTTCTCTTCCTCAGCCTCTTCCTCTCCTTCCTCCTTCCTCCTTCCTCCTCCTCCTCCTCCTCCTCTTACTGTCACAGCTCGTTAGCGAGTGCTGTTGCTCCCTTGAGGTCGACAGTTTTGATGTTTGTCTCTTTGTTTGTGTTTGTCCCTCGTTCCTCTTCCTCCTCCGCCCTAAACCAATAAGCAGCAGGAAGCAAAAAAATATGAAAACAACAACAAAACAGGCGTCTCCCCTCCTCTCTCTCTACTCTCCCCTCCTCCCTCTCTCCTTTCTCTCTCTCCTCCTCTCTCTCCTCTCTCTCTCCTCTCTCTTTCTCTTAATGACATCTGCTGGCGTCGTCTCGAAGCCTCGGGGGTTTTCTTTACTCGGCGTGAAGAAGAGTGACGTCTGATTATTTATTGTCTTTTTTTTTTAATCTTTAACCTTTTATTTCTTCGCGCTCCGCCTCGTATTCCAACATCCGTTCCCTCAGGAGATTCCCGCCTCCCCCCAAAAAAAGCTCTGCTCTCCTCCAAACTTTCTCTTCGCAGTTTGATCGGATGTTAGAATCGAGCCTTTTACTGTTAAAAATAGAAAGTGGAAGCAGTTCGAGTTGAGACTGAAGACAGGAAGTAGAATCAGTTTGGGCCGAGTTGGTGGTTGATGATATATATAATATCAGAAATGACTCACAGACACATCAGACAGTTAGCTTTAGCCTCCGTCCGTCACCAAACTCCTGAGGTTTAGAAATCTGCTTTGCTTTATATTATTCATTGTATTACGGGTTTAATCTCTCAGCTGCTGCTGTGTGCAGTCGTTGTTGGAAGTGTTTTAGTCTTTATTCCCCTCAGACGGATCCCTGCGAGATTCGGGAAGACGCTGAACACGGGATTAAGAAATGCTAAGATAGCAAACAGCAGATGATTCCCCTCCCCAAACGTAGACCTTTTATCCCCAGTTTGTGTCTCGTCAGGGACTCCCCGAGGTAATTAACAAACACCCCTCGACCCCCCTAAAAACCACTGGGGGGTCCGGAGAGGGAGATGGAGTCATCTTCGCCCCCAAAACCTTCCTAACAGGCAGATAGGCGGGAGATTAACGGAAAACATACAGACCTGATCCCGGCTGAGTCAGCAGGTTGAGATCTGGAAGCATTAAGCATCTTTTTCTGTCTGTGAAGACTTTCATGAAACTCCTCCACTGGTCTAACTGGTCTAACATTAAATAAAGACAGTAATGATATATATTTTACATTTACATTCATGTACAACATAAGGTTATAAAATCGATTTAATAATTCAACTGAATATATTAATTGCATCAAAAAACAAAATGAGGCAAATATTTAGAGGATTTCTTTTTAATAAATGAAGAATTACTTTCTTTCTAATAACAAGAATTACGAGCGAGCCTCTATAAATACTCGTTAATTTGTTACAGTAATTATGTTTCTGGGGTAAAAAAGCTTTGGATCCTCGTTTGTGAACAGATTTGAGGAGAGAAACAGTCAACAACAGAATCTGGATCCATATCTGATCAGCACTGTTTGACAGTTTGATCTGAGTTTGGTGCGTTGAGCTGGACTGACTCACTGAGAATGAGCTGTCAATCACAAGGTAGCCCCACCCTAAAGCATACCCTGCTTTATGGTCTGTTTTACTCTAAATGGGACCATCAGTTACTAAATGAACATCATGCTGTATGGAAGAAGACTGAAACTAGAGACTGAGACCAGAAACTCATCAGGAAACTGTTTACTGAGCTCATAAATCAACTGAGAAGTCGACTAATTTCTCCATAAGACTGAATGGTTTCAGGATGGAGCTCCCCCTGCTGGCCGTTACATAGACTGCAGGTCCTTAGACACGGTCCGTCATATATGCCGTCATTGCCTCTTATGCTGCCTGTAGTCTTTGTTTAGACTCTACAGACACGCTGTGTGTATATATGCAGGAGGTATAGTGTGTGTGAAGGTGACTGAAGGTGAAAGAATCAAACTCCTGACAGAGTTAAAGCTCCAATCTGAGGTTTGATGATCTGTAAACTCAACTGAAGGTTTTATCCTCCGACTGCATCACCTTCAGCTCTCTGTTTGTGTGTGTGTGTGTGTGTGTGTGTGTGTGTGTTATACGTTATGACCACAGTTTGCTGTTGAAGCATCAGTGACCTTCTGTCCAGATATAAACTGGAGGTCAAACAAACACAATTACAGGAGAATCACACACACACACACACACACACACACATTGCTGCATTTGTATTTGGTGTTTGTTGGAATAATCAAAGGTAGGGTGGAGTGTGTGTGTGTGTGTGTGTCGGTGTGTGTGTGTCGGTGTGTGTGTGTCGTTGTGTGTGCATCCTAAAGCTGATTAGGCGCAGCAGCTTTTGTCACCCGTCGTGTTTTTTTTTTTCTGGATCCCGTTTGGTCCTCCGAGTGGAAAATTTGCCGAACTAAGTGCGTCTGGTAATGAGATCAAGAGGCTCTTTTTTAATTCCGCTGAGTTTGGTGTTTCAGTTTAGTGTCGCCCCGGGGTTTAGTAAACACACACACACACACACACACACACCTACTGCTGCAGTGAAGCTGGGTGATAATGAGGGAGTGAGTGTGAGTGTGTGATGTTACTGTGCAGACAGAAGCTGCTGCTGATGATGATGATTGGCTGCGTGTGAATGCTGTTGGTTTATAATAATAAAGTTCAGCTGATCAGAGCTTGTAATTATAAATTATCAGTTTAAAAGTTCTGCACTGCAAGAAAGGAGGTTTGTTTCTGGGAAATGAGTAAATAATCTTGTAAATAAGAATGTTTTGCATTAGAAAAGTCGTCTGGAAATGAAGCAGCTGTTTAGTTTTTCATAATTTTAATATAAAATGCTAAAAAAAAGTCACTTATTTTTATTATGCTGTATTTTTTCTGAAATAAGCTTTCAGATGTAACTAGCTAGCTAATGATGATCCGCTGTAGCTGCGCTCTTTCAGTGAAAGAAGTCTTTTTAATTTTAAGAATTTGTTTTCCATTTGAGGTCACATATTATTATAATAATAATAATAATAATAATAATTATACCAATAACAAGGGACAGTTCCTACCTACTGTCTCTGGAATAAAGAACCACCGGCTGCAGGATTTCTGGGCAGTCAGCTGAATTTTCAAACAGCTCCAGTATCTCTCGCAGCCATCTTGAGGCCACAACATGTGATATTTTTTCTAATGTGGTTTTAAATCGAAATGAAACTTCCTCCAGTGATGAGTTTAGTCCTTCAGAGTGTCGACCTGCAGTCAGCGCTCAGGGACGACTTTCCCCTCCGGTCCACCTCACGAGGAGCAGAGATCTGACCTTAATCTCAATTTTGGGCCTCCTGCTAGGCTTCGAATTAAATCAGCCCTATCCCCCAGTGTGTGAGTTTGTGTGTGTGTGTGTGTTGTGTGTGTGTGTGTGTGTGTGTGTGTGTGTGTGTGTTAAGAGGGCAACACCATATGGCCAGACTGATCATTAGGGAGGCTGCCGGAGGCAAAAAAACCGCTGGAGCTACTCCCCTTACACACATTCACACACACACACTCAGCCGCTCGGCGAGTGTCACGACGGATCGTGCTCAGAGGCTGTGACGGACCGGTGCACTTAAGCTTTTCCTCACGCACACACACACTCACACACTCACACACACTCACACACACTCACACACACTCTGTGGTGTCGTAATGAAGGTCCTCCATGTCTCCACAGATGGTGTTTGTCTCCTAAAGTCTCCTTGGTGCCGGTAAACAGAGAGCAGGCCGGACCCTGACAGACCTGCCTCTGGGCACCGAACATGCATGTGTGTGTGTGTGTGTTTAACGTGTGTGTTGTGTGTGTGTGTGTGTGTGTGTCGGCATTTCTTCACCACATCGGGAACAGAGAGGAGAGGAAATCAGAGGAAAGAGGAGTTAAGAGGAAGAGAGGCCAGGAAGAGAGGAGGAGGGATGAAAGGGTTCAAGAGACAAGCTAACAAAAGATTTGGGGAAGTAAGGAGGAGAGTAAAGGAAAGGAAATAAGGAAAAAGAAAGGAGAGGAGGAAGTAGGAGATGAAGTCAGAAGAAATATGAGTTTAGGGTAAGCAGGAAGAGAGGAGGAAGGAGGAAGGCGGGATGGAAGGGTTCAAAAGAGATGGACAAAAGAGGAATTACGGATAATAAAAGACTTGTCGAAGTAAGGAGGAGAGGAAAGGAAAGGTGGAAGCAAGGAGATGAAGTCATAGGAAAGATGAGTTGTTTAGAAGAAAAAAGAGAGGAAAGGAAGAGGGAGGAGGAGAGGAAAGGGGAAGAAATGCAAAAGGGGAGGGTAGAAGGTGAGGAGAGGAGGAAGGACTGAAAGGGTTCAAGAAACAAGATAACAAAATATGTGTGAAAGTAAGAAAGAGAGTAAAGGAAGGAAGGAAAAAGGAGAGGAGGAAGGAGGAGAGTCGTAGAATCCAAACTGGAGGAAGCTATCGTATCTTGACTTTTATTTAACCTCCTCTGGTTTGCAGCAGTCGATGGTAGAAATACTGTAAAAACTACGTGAACTTACGACCCCGTTAGCGACCCGGTGCTAACCGACCGTCATCAGCCTCATTGTTAACCTTCGACGGTTAGCTCGCTGGCTAGCCGTGCACTCGTTACCGAACTTCTGGAAACAAAATATTTTGGTAAAAGACCTCGAGGAGGGAGAAGGAGAGCAAGAAATCAAAGATGGCGAGGAGAGACAGCGAGAGAGAGCGAGAGAGAGAGGGAAGGTGTGGGGCAGAGTAAGGCATCTAATGAGCCCCACTGTGAGAACGACGCCTGTTCTCCTCCCAAATATTTTATATCTGCTGCTGCTGTCCACACGGGGTCATCACTGTGTGTGTGTGTGTGTGTGTGTGTGTCCACTGCCAATCAAACACTTGTTTTTCAGGATGGAAATCGACTCCAATTTCATTCAAAAAGTTTATTTTTCACAATAAGAGCTCCACTGTCACCAGTGCACATTTATCAGCGTCACCTGGAAATCGTGTCGCAGATATTTCCTGAAAACAACAACTGCCGTCTCGTTGTTTTCTCTAGAAAATATATTTGATTTGAGTTGAAATAACTCAAGTAAATTAAGTTAATTGTACCAATTTCATTCAGTTAATTGAACTTAAAACTAATTAATATATTAGACTCTTCATGCAGCTCATTTGAAATGTGTGAACAGAATTTATCTGAACTAAATAACTTGAATCTTCTTTATACCAATGTTCCTACTTACAGTTGAATTTGCTCAGTTTTCTTCCACTAAAGCAAATTATTACTGTCAAAACAGCTGACTTACCAAAATGGAAGCCAATTAATATATTAAGTCAAATTAAAGAAAACAAGTCAGGTGGAACAAACTGGAATTAAATTGCAGATTTGAAATACTTCACACATCTAAGTTGAGTTATTACATATTAGAGTTGAGAGCTCCAGACAACACAAACTGACCTCCGCTTCCTCCCTTCCAGGCGCCAACGCCAAGCTGCGCTACCAGATCACGGCGGGAAACACCATGGGCACGTTTGACGTGGAGCCCGAGGTGGGCACCATCTTCGTGGCTCAGCCGCTCGACTACGAGATGGAGCAACGCTACGAGCTCCGGCTGGTCGCCTCCGACGGGAAGTGGGAGAACGAGACGCTGGTGGTGGTCCAGGTGGTCAATCGCAACGACGAGGCGCCTGTCTTCAGCCAGACAGAGTACCACGCCGCCGTGACGGAGGAGCTCACGCAGCTGCCGGTTTTCATCCTGGAGGTCAGTGATCGTCCTCGTATGGGTATGATGTCATATTAAAGCTCCATTATTATTATTAAGCTTCAGATTCATTTTTATGCAGCACTGACTTCTGTCATCTCTGTGCTTTACTACTTAAACAAGTTTAGTGTCTCTAAGCTAGTTAGCTCAGTCCGTGCGGGCCGGGGTGAGTGCTGGTATATTTACACTGCTAGCAAAGGAGCTTCGGTCCCCTGAGAGGAAGAGGAGAGACAGCGGTGAATGCTGATGGTGAGCAAATAAAAGGCTGCAGAGAGACGGCGAGCCGGCTTTCTTGCCGCATATCTAGGCTGTACTCTTTGTTTCACCCAGTGCATGCTGGGATCAACCCCTCTGTCACCCTGCACAGCATAAGCGGATACAGAAAATGAGTGATATTGAATAAAAAAGTAATAAAAAAGCACAGATTAGATGTCCGTCCAGTCCAGATGAAACTGTTTAAAATGTCAACATGAGAAAGTAGCGCCTCCTGAACGCACCTTCACCGCGAAGGAGCTTGTTGTGAGAACGTATCAGGTTAATACAGACGGATCTTAATACTGTTGGTCACGCTTCAAACCGAGAGTTGAATTAGCCCCGAGCGACACCTCAGCGTGGATCCAGTGTCCACGTCCTAACACATCACACGTGTGTTTAACACAATATCAGCTGATAGAGGCACTGAGATCGACAGGAAGGGCCCAACATCTGAAAAGTTGCCTCAGAAAGTCGACCTCCTTTTTCTTCTCTGGCTGTCATCCGCCTTTCGTCACACCTATCTCCGGTAATTCACAGTAATATGCGTGTGCCGCCAAGCTAAATCAGATTAGAAAGGTGGAAGTGCGTCTGAGAGGGCAGGAAAGTAATCCCCGTCAGAGAGGCATGTGTCACCGAGTCCTCAACCCGGGCCTGTTTCCCCTCGCCTGCTGGAATTGATTTGATATACGCTCGGTTCCTCTCTAACTCTCTCAATAGTTTTCCCGGCATGCGGCTGCCGGCCCCTCCCTGAACGCACGCCGCTCTGAGCCCCCGTGTATTAATACAATTCAGCAGATAGTGAACGGAGGGGAAAATCCAATTTGAAATGAATATTTTTTGACTTCACCTGCACAGCAGCCTCCTCTGTGGCGCAGCGACTGCTCATCTTCAATATTGTCTACCTGCATCACGTTGTCATGAGAGCCAACAGGGGGGAGGTGGCAGTGGCGGCGGCGGGAAGGAGAGGGGGGAGGGAGAAAACTTCAAAGGCTTCTGTAAACAAACCCTCTGGTGAGGAAAGAGGAGAAGAAAGGCTAAAAGTGTACTTTTTTCTTGCTTTTGTTGCCGTCTATTAACTTTTAATTGCACTGTGTGTCGCGGTGACAGATGTGAGAGCTTGTGTCGTCGCCGCCGCCGCTCGTGTCCCCTCGTTCAGAGAGATAGCAGGAGGGCAGGTTAATTAAGCAAACAGGACAAAGCAACAGAGAAATGTTTATTCCTGTGTCGCAGAGTCCCCGCGTGCTGCAATCAGCTCCCTGCCTCGTGTCCTATTTGCTGGGCTTGACATTTGTACATAATGAAAAAGCAATTCAACTGTTTTGATAAGAAACACCTCAAAAAGCAGTAGTTCCTTTAAAGAGGAAAGTCAGTGTTGCTACTTGTGACAGCCAGCGACCATGTTTCATTTCAGTATAATGAAATCCAATTTATCACCAACAGAAAGTGGTGTTTTGTGGGTGATTGGTTTTATTTTTTTTTACGTATTGCTTGTTTTTAGGGTTTAAAAGTCTTCCAGTGTCACCAAAATTTAGATTACAGTTTTTAAAAGGAGAATATTCGACGAGTATTTCATACAAAAAAGCTATTTAAAACTTAATTTAAAAACATAATTTAAGTATATAAAACAATGTCCTCCTAAATAATCAATATCAGTTTAATTGTACGCTATATTTCAAATATATATCCACAGTATTACTTTCCTTGTACCCTATCAAGGCAGCAGTAGACCAGTAACTTTGTTCTGTGAGGTAAAATTACAGTTTTTTTCAGTTGGGTCTGGTGGCTTTAGATAGAGTGATACAACAGCTTCAGTTCCCCTGTCAGAAATTTCCGTCTGACGGCGAAGTAAATGTGGCCCGAACTCGTCTAAAAGCAGAAGTGTTAATACTTTTTCTGAATGGCCACAGTTGGGGAACAGGTACCTCCCGGCTGCAAGAAATGTACAGCAACTCAGGGTTAAGACGTTGTTAGACGATCCAGCAAACACAGGAGCGGCTGTATCTCGGGATTCGTCGTGGGAACCAGAGTCTAAATACATGTCTTTGCATTTCGGGTCTTTATCTGTGTGAATGGAGTGGAACAAAATAAAGTAATTCTTCTTCTTAACACACCTGCGGCCCTGAGCTTTCTTTCCGTAACAAATTCTATAAATGTCTAAAGGTGGTCATATATCTTAATTTATTACCTCAAAATATATAAATCTATCTCTTCTGTATTTCAGTCTGGACCAGGAATGGTTAGTAGATCACCTGAGATCACCTGAGAGGGGGTTCATGTGGTAAAAATAAGTCTCATTTTAAATTTGTCTAAACCTTTGCAGGTGTCAGCCACTGATCCAGACCAGGAGGCTGATCAGACCGCCCTCCGCTACTCCCTCCACGGCCAGGGTGCTGGTGGCGAGTTCACCATTGAAGAACGCACAGGAAGAATCTACGCCCAACGGCGTTTGGACCGCGAGGAGCGCCCGGCCTGGAGGTTCCTTGTCCTCGCCACAGATGAAGGAGGGGCTGGACTGACGGGGTTTGCTGATGTTCTCTTAGAGGTCCGAGATGTCAACGACAACGCGCCCTTCTTCCCATGCCCAGCACTGGAAGTAGATGGATGTTTTGTCGGCCAAGTGCCTGAAAATTCACCTGCCGACACCTCCGTCATGGAGATGCGCGCCATGGACCTGGACGACCCCAACGAGGGCAAGAATGCCATGCTGACCTACAGCATCATCAAGAACGTCCGCAACGAGATTAACCTCAACCTGTTCTCCATCAACGCCAGCACAGGGACCATCTACACGGTTCTACGCTCCCTGGACCGGGAGGTGGAAGACCGGTATCTGGTAGTGGTCGAGGCCAGGGATGGCGGGGGTTTGGCGGGAACAGGGACAGCCACCATTATGATTTCAGACGTCAACGATCACCCACCCGTCTTCTCTCAGAGGCTCTACACTACTCAGGTGAGTCCACGAAGGTGAGGCAGTGACACGCCTTCATTCCCTTCTGTTGTTGCTAATAATAACTCTGTTGTGTCCTCCGGCGTTCAGGTGACAGAAGACCTGGAGGTGAACAGCGAGGTGCTCGTAGTTTCTGCCACAGATGGCGACGAAGGCGAAAACGCTGTGGTAACCTTCAGCATCGTCGGTGGTGACGAGGACAGGAAGTTCTTTGTGGAGACAGACAAAGTGAACCGACGTGGCGTGATAAAACTTAAGAAGAAGGTCGACTTCGAGAAGCCCCACGAGAGGACTTTCAATCTGACCCTGAAGGCTGAAGACGCTGATTTCTTCAGCCTCGCCTACTGTCTCGTTCAGGTTGAAGACTCCAACGACCACGCACCCGTATTCTTCCCGCAGTTCTACGAGTCACCGGCCATGTCTGAGGATGTACCCGTGGGGACGATTGTTGCCCAGGTTACAGCTTCTGATCTCGACTCCGGCCAAAATGGACGCTTTTCTTACAGTATTTCAAAGGAGTCGGACCCTTACGATCAGTTTCTGGTGGACCAGTCGGGTTGGGTGGTAGTGGCCAATTCTCTGGACAGGGAGAAAATCTCACAGCACAGGATCATGGTCCTCGCCACCGACTCTGGGACTCCATCCCTGACTGGCACTGCCATCGTCGTGGTAACCGTACTTGACATCAACGACAATGGGCCAGAGTTCGAGGTCCCCTATAAGCCCATGGTTTGGGAGAACATGGCCGCGCCCCAGGCGGTTCGGATGAATGAAACCTCCCTCCTCCTCCACGCCACCGACCGGGACACCTCCACCAATGGCGGACCGTTCTCCATACGGCTTCTCATGCTCACCTCAGACGCCACCAACTTCAATTTAACTGACTTTCGCAACGGCAGCGCAGCCATCACCGCCCTCCGGACCTTCGACCGCGAGCGGCAGAAGGAGTATCACCTCCCGATTCTCATGATCGACAGCGGCTCTCCTCCGATGAGCTCCACCAGCACGCTGACGGTCGTCATCGGGGACAGGAATGACCACCCTCACTCACCAGGACACACTAACTTCATCGTCTACAGTTATGAGGGTATGTTCCAAGTTTTCTGTTTATATAATTGACGGTATTACCACCTTTAGTTACAGACATTAGCAGGATAAATCTGGGTGGGGAAGGTGATTACCACCACCTCGTCACAACCAGATCATCACAGCAACGCCATGAGCGAAAAAACATCGCATGACCTCGTAAAAAGTCTTATTTTAGAGACTTTCTTCAAGTCGCCACCCCGTGAGTTTTAGCCGTTGACGGTCGTGGTTGGTCGTGATTGGCCCTGCTGCTACAGCGGCATGGTTATTCCCCCGCTGTGAAGCTGTAGTGGAAACGCATGTCATCACAGCTTGGCTTGGCCGACCAGGGTCCGTGGAAAAACCCTGTTATGTGAAACGGGGCCCCTGGCTCTTCTTTGATTTAGTAGGAGATCAAAGTGAACCGCTCCAAGAAAAGCAGAAATATTTACCTCCCTTGTGTTGTTCACAGCTACAACTGAAGAGTTCCTTTAGATTTTCTCTGCAGTTGTTGCCTTTTAATTTGTATTTTCTTTGACTTGTTAACCTCCTTTTATCCAGGAACAGGCTTTGCTGTTTTTCATTTCACACCCGAGAGCCTCAAAGTACAACTTTCTACTCCGCCGTAGAAGTTGCGGCGTTGCTCAAGGGAACCCTGGTGGTAGTTGTAGACAGACAAGAAAACATTTGTCATTCATCGTCCCAGTTCAGAGTTCACCAGCTGTTCTGAGGGATTCAAACTGGTGTCTTTCTGGTCGCAGACGGGCTCCTCTAACCTCCAAGTCCCCCCGGTGTCCCTCCCACCACCTCCTGAGTGCTCTGCGCTCGTGTTGTTAAGACTGTACTTGTCACAGTCGACTGCTTGCAGCCTCCCGCTCCAGCCCACATCACTTATTTAGCATTTCATACCATCTGTCAGCCTCCTGTAATTTGCTGGAAAAACTAAGGTTTTCTGTAATGTATTTTTAGTGGATTCCCTCTCCGGGGGCCTTTCCACATGAAAGTACATTAACCCGCTAATACGAATCCATCACGTAGCTCAACAACATGCCATGAAGCAAACAATTAACTCCAGCTTAAGTCCCAGGTTTGATGGGCACATAAACAGGAGCCATTTTTAAAAGGCAGCTGATTTCACGGCTAAAGAGATTACAGCGCTGCGTTCAGCTTTTTTTGGAAGAAGGGGGGAAAAACACTGTGCGAGCGTGCACGTCTTCCTGCTGTGCTGTCAAACCATGACCGTGTGTGCCAATGAGGCGGCACCCGCCACCTTATCTCCTTAAAGAAGCCTCCACTTTCTCTCCGTCACTCTTAATATTTGGGTTGTACCGCAGGGATCCCTCGCACTCAAAACTAATTCCTTTCAAAGCCGATGCATTTTTTGACTTTTTTTTTTTTTACTTCCCACCTCCTGACAGGTATTCTCCCGACGACAGTGCTCGGACGAGTTCAATCCCCCGACCTTGATGACTGGAGTGAGAAGGTGTACCGGTTCGAAGGCAAACCATCCAGGTACTTTGATCTTGTGCGGTGAAAACTGTGAGATGGCTGAAAGGTGACATGCAGAAAAGGGGGAGTGATGGAGGGGAAAAGTAGAGATAGAGGAGTAATAGTTGGATGTCGAGGTAAAGAGAGGTAGAGGGCTTTGAAGGAGAGCAAGGCCACGAGCTCATAAGGCAGAGAGGCAGCAGTGCAAACAGAGGAAGAGGTAGAAAGTTGAGGTCGAGTGGTAGAAGTAGGGATCTGAGAAAGAGAAGCAAAGTGGGGAAGACAACAAAGGAAAAACACGGACGCAAAGATAACGAGGTGGAGAGGATACCGCTGGCGGGTCAGTGTACTCGGCGGACAACAGATTTTTGTTCTGAAATGAGAAAAGCAACCTGTTTTGTTTCCCAAATTCAGAAATGGTAGTTTCACAGCGAGCAGATTTTCCTACCAACAGTCGAGTTTCAAACAGAATACACTCTCAGGTTTTCCAAGACAGCATTTTCTGGATATTTGGTCATTTTAATACATTTCCAGGTGTTTCCATGATTGGAAAACTAGTCTCTAAAGACTGTCTGAGAGGAGGCCCACACCCTCAGACTGGATTTAAAGCAGCAGGTAAATGACAACAGGAGGTAGTTTAATCCCTGTGGACATCTGGACCATCTTTAATACAAGTGTCCACACTCCTGTTGGGCACATTGTGAGTAGCTTGTAGATAAAAGCATCCGGAGAATGGCAGATGTAAAGCAGGTTTAGGACGTGTTTGGAGCAACGCAGCAAAGATTTCCCCCCCGTTAAAGTGTCCCACCTCTCATGTGACACGCAGCATGAAGAAACAGAGAGAGAATACAAGAGCGGCACAGGAACTGACAGATTTAAAATAGAGAGGGAGAGACAGTACAAAGGTGCGGCGGGAGAAAGGAAAATTGGGACAGAGAAACAGGCAGTTTGAAGGGGGAAACAAAGAAAGAGTGAAAGAGAATGAAAGGGCAGAGGACGGGGAGGAGAGAGAGATAGAAAAGGGGATCTGACTTGTCAGGAACAGTGCTATTAATACTTCATAACCAGCGGTATTGAAAATTCCCAGTGAAGCGCGGCGAGGGCGCGCTCGTTTTGTTTGATGAGGCGAGGCTTCATGCGGGCGCGTTTGAAAGGAGAGCCTGATTGCGCTCCCTGCCACCCTCTCTTCTAACGAGATACCTGTAAGGAGGGACGACGAGAGACGACAAGAAACGGCCGAGAACAAAGGAACCGCCGGAGAATTACCATAGATGCTCCTGGAGCCCTCATCACGCTGGCCCGCGGATAGCAATTTGTTCCCAGTATGGATCAGGGTTAGGTCTCGAGTTATTTAACGCACAGAGGCGATATGAGCTGGAGGAAAGAGAAGAACAACCTGTCACGTCACAGGACAACATATAGACATATAAAGAGAAAGATATCATCTGACAGACTGTTAGGGATTAATCTGCACATCATACACTGTAAAAAATATATATATTCAGGCAGATGGAGCGGATAAATAGTACAGTAAAATAAAAATAATATATATATTATATTTTATATTATATTTTTTGGCTTTTTAATGTTTAATTGAAGATATTTACACTGTAAAACCAATTAAATGAGCTGTAAATACAGATGAACTCTGCTATAATACAAATAACCAGGCTTACATTTACAGCAGAGTGCTGTTATTATTAGATTTTTCTTATTTTAATGTAAATTTTAAAAGTTATAGAACTGTAAAAAAAGTAATTATTGATGTTTTCACTGATAAAAACTGTGTTTGGACAGTTTACCAATGCTTATACACTTATAAACAACATTTATTCAACGTTTGTGTCATTAAAACTTCCATAATTATTCAAAATATCTGTAAATTAACAAACAAATCCATGTAAAATTACAAAACTAATATTTTTTACTGTTAATTTTCACTATTTGTTACATAACAACAACAGTATTAAACTTAAATTTAACAGTTTTAACTCTTAAACAGTAAATAGCTGCAAATAATTGTACATTTGCAAATGTATTTCAACTTTTTATGTGAAAAAAGGTCAGTTTCTTTAAATAAGCAATACTTTTATGATTATTTACAGTTACAGTACACATTATTTTACATTACACATGTAAATTCACAGGATATTTTTGTAATTTTATTAACATTTCCATGTATTCCATGCATAAAACCCAATAAATGTAAATATCCTCTCATTGGTCAGAGTGTTTGCCGGGATTGAAAAGTGTGACATAAAACCAGGCAAAGGTCCGTCTCAACCTCCCCTGCAGCAGAAGGTTTGATCCCGGGTGCATTTTGGCCTCGATTCAGCCGCAGTTAATTAATCCGTCTGGTTCGAGCTCTGAAGGTCGGCGCGGTGTAAAGAGGTTAAACAGTTACATGAGCCTGATGGCGCATATTCAGGACCGGGGTTTGGACCTGGGCCACGGCGCCTGGAATCGACTCTCCGGTGCAGCGGAGCGGAGAGCGCCAACGTTTTCCAGATGAAGAACGAGGATCCGTGTTCAACCGCAGACCTCCATCTGGTCCGAGTTTGATCAGAGGAATCCCACATGAGAGAGACTTTACCCAGATTTAAGATCGCACAGAAAAATAGATCAATAAGAGGATTCCTGCTCATATTAACATCTTCTACCAGTTAACTCTTGTGTTTTTGGCGTTGCTCCATTTTGGTTGCTCCACGTTCACCTCAATATTATAAATAATAAAAGTTAATATTTATATATAATATATATATGTAAATAAAGTATTTGTTTCTGTCTGAACTGGAGAGGAAAATATATACTGTATATTCCAATTAAACTAATTTATGTCCCAGTTTTTAAAGACTTCACTGCTTGACTAGTTCCACCGTTTGACTCTTAACATATAGAGGTGACAGTTTTATTCAGATCCTGCTCTCTTTTGTATTTAATCTTTATGCAAAATTGCTGTTTCTAACAATCACAAACTCTGGTTTGGTGGAAAAAAACGCTTAATTCAGCGAGTTAGATGAGAAAATATCTGTAAAAAGGGCTGCAATCGTTCCAATGTAAGCTACCGTTAATCCTTAAGGACAAACGCGTTTGACAAAGTGCGTCCGCTGAATGTTTGTTCCACTGACAGACTCAGGTTGTTATTGTCAGTGTCTGACATCATTATGGAAAGGATCCCTACAGAGATAGACCTTTAGTTTAACCACAAACAGCCGTAATATCACTATCACTCTCCACCAGACTCCAGAGACAAAAACACTCATTTTACCTTCAGATCATCAGAACTTCATTAAAGTGGACAGAAACAGAATTAAACTCATTAAAGCGTCTCTGTTAGTGTTTCCAATAATCACCAACTCTGGTTTGGTGGAAATAAATCCTTAATTCACCGACGTAGATGATAAAAACAGCAGTTTCAGTCGGAGCAGACCGGCTATGGAAACAAACCACAGAGAGGCTGCGATACAACACAGGCAGAGGGAGAGAGACACCATGTGACTCTGTGTCTGTATATAGAGAATATAATGTTAGCTCATATATTAATGTTTATAAATCTCAAATAAAACCTTTAAAGGACGACAGAACTGGAAGAAATTAAGGACAAAATCCAGTAATTTCTTGTCTTGACAAACAGATTTAAAATTAAACGGACTGTAATTCTTACTGTAATATTTCCTTCTTGTGGAGGGAAGCAGCACATCTGGACTAATTATTGACCAATGATTGATTGATTGATTGATTGAACGACCATCTCTCTTCCTCTCTCAGGTTGTTCAGTCTGAACCAGAGCTCGGGTCAGCTCACTATCAGAGAGGGGGCTCCTCCGGGCTCGTACCGCCTGCAGGTACGCGTGTCGGACCACGCCTGGCCCGACGTCACCTCCACCGCCCAGGTGGACGTCAGGGAGCTGCGGCAGGACGCTCTGCGCAACGCCGCCTCCATTCGCATGAGCAGTGAGTCCCACAGTGATGATGTGGGAGTGTAATAATACTATTACTGTTATTACTATTGGAAGTTTGACACATGACAAGATGCACTCGTGCACGCCCCAAGTGGTTGCCATGGTGACTGTAATTGCAGGGGAGCGATGTCGCTGCCGGGTCCTGGTTTTGAGCGCTGTCAGTTGCCCCAGGCTCCATCAGCAGCAACTGACAGAGAGGCATGATGGGAGAAAAAAAACACTCCCTGTGTTTTTTGCTGTCTTCTTCTTTCTTTTTTTGTTTTATTTCTTAATTTTTCTTCCTTTCTGTCCTCCTTATCTTTTACAGAAGCTTATTTCTGTATTTTTTCACGTTATTATGACATAAAAACTCATTAAAATGTCACAGTGTCATCACAATAACTATTTTCTGTTTATCTTTTTATAATGTCAAATGTTTCTTCACGTATTGTTGCGTACAGTGTTTACTGCTCTACTCAGTTAAATTATTATATTCCTCATTTAAACTTTATACATTTAAACTCTGAGCTTTCTCCTCCTTTTAGCAACGTTTTTGTTTAATTACACTGTTGTTGTTTACATTGTTTACACCCTAGCGACAGTAGCATAAGCAGTTAGCCATGGTTTCTGTTTCCATCGGCTCTTTCCTGCTCGGTGTGTCAGATGTTTACTTACTGCTCTGCCTCCTTTAACGAGAGTGTTATCTGTAATAAATGTAGTTTATTTGCTGTGCTGGAGGCCGGTGCGGGTTCAGTTCACAGCTCGGTCCAAACCGGATCTGTTTGTGTCCTGAGATAACTTTTGTTTGTTGTTTAAGTTATTGTTAAAACATAAAAGGTTTGCTGTTATAAAGAGATAAATAGTATATTGTTATTGACACTATGACATTGTGATAATATTGTATGTCGTACTAACGTGAAAATGTCTTGTTTTACACCACGGTCTGGGTAAATACTGGATTCTGATTGGCTGCTGTGTGTCTATTAATTCCTGTTGTGGGACATCTACTGAGTAGCGTATCGTAGCTATCTGTCTCGTAGCTGAGCCTCTGTGAGCGGAGAGAACTAGAAATATCTCCTGTTGCCAAGTCGAAGCTAAGGTTTGTCCTATTTACTGGAGCAAAACAACATTTCCATTGCATTAGAACATTATGGGATGGTAATGATTCTTCCAGGTATGAGTTAGACCCTCAGGTGTTACCAGGGAAACAGAGTTATGGCTTGTAAAAAAACTTTAGATTTTAATTGAAAAAAGCTTAAAAATATGAAATAATGATGGTATAAGCGGGTTAATGCCCTTTGAGGTCAATTAATGGGCGAAGTGGAGGCCAGAACCGTCCCGACGCACAGCCTCGTCGAGCATTATCTCTTACATAACAATGAACTTTTCATGTTGTAACGTGATACTGATCCGCTCTTCTTTTTCTCTGATGGCTGCTGCAGTCTTTGTATTTTTAATCTTTTCATTCATCTGGAAGTATAATGTCTCTGCTTTTTCATGCTGCAGCTGATTTCCCCTGAAGCTTTATAAACTAATTAAATCAATCTGTTAACCGTCCTCCTCCTCCTCCTCCTCCTCCTCTCTCAGACCTCACAGTGGAGGACTTCTTTAGCAGCAGCGGAGGTGAAGAGAGCCGGTTCTCCCGTCTGGGTCGAATGTTGGCCGAACTCCTGCAGACTTTGCCGGAAAACGTCCAAATCTTCTCTGTGGGCGGCGCCGGCCAGCGGGGAGAGAAGGCGCTCAATGTATGGTTCGCCGCTCACGGCTCGCCGTACTACAAGGCGGAGAAGCTGCACGGCTACGTGGCAGCGAACAAAGCCAAGGTGAGGAGAGAGTTAGTGTATAGGTAATAGGGGTCTTTTTTAAAGTCAATGTTCCTTTGATGAATTCAGGGTTTAAAGGAACGTCACGTCAGTTAGCTTCTGTAGCTATTACATAAGCTAACTGAACACTGCTCGCGTCTGTATTTGACGACGTGGGAATGAGAACGAGCTGTGAAGCGTGTAGGAGAATCTACGGTGGCCCCACTGGACCTTTAATCTCGTCTGTGGTAACACATTTGTGTGAGGACACACTGTTGATGCCCGTAAAACTTTCTTGGTCATTTTAAATTCTCGAGCGCCCTGGTTGCAGACTTTAAGGGGTTAAAAAGATCTACAAAATGTGGTTTTTAATTTGGCACAAAAATATTCTCTCAATTGATTAAAAATGTACAAGGTTGAAATTGTTTCAGAGTTTATCTCACATGAATTTTAAGCGTTTAAAACAAACACCACAGCGAGTTTTAAAAGCCTTAAATCTCTAATTTATGTTCTGTGTGACACAAAAAAGCTGACTCATGGCTGACTCTTTTCTGTCTCCCAAAAAACTCCTTTAAATGTGGAGAACACAGGATAAACTTTAAGAGCTGTTGAGTCAGAGCGAAGTGTGAAAGCAGGGAGGAGATCAGCTGACAGAACTCATAATTACGACTGCACACAGAGGGTTAAAGATACATTAATTACACATCAATTAAACATCACATTCACACATTCATACATACATTTCAGCGGCCACTTACAGACACTTAACACATTCTGTAAACCGTTTAACGCTCCGTCTCACACGCGTGGCAGAGGTTGAATATGGAGGTCGCAGGTTGACATGCGGACACGTATCTCCAACGAGGGGCTGCTCGTATGATACACACTCACACACAGATTGCTGTACGTGCATATGAATATTTCACATCCATTAAAAGCACGAGAGCAGCTGCTGAGCTGAGGTCAGGCAGGAAGGTGACGACAGTTAGTGAACCATGTAAACACACACGTGTTTAACACGTGTGCACACACGTTTACTGAGCAAAAGTGATGGAAGATATAAAATGTGGCATTTACACCTTAAAATGTGTATAAACTCTAGTTTTATATTCTATATGTAGTTGAGTTCTTACATTATCTCAAATGTTTCCAATGTTCAAACTTAGATAAATCTGTCATTTTATTCAGGTAACGCTGCGTTTCACCGGTCGCCTGTAGATGGCGTCATATCCCCTTTGTGCCTGCGTCAGCGTTGTGGTTGTCTGCCAGAAGCTGTCATACATTGACTGTTGATCCAGTCTGAAGCCACATTGTTACCATCCACTGTTTAGATCTTGGTGCTTTTTAACTCTAGATTTGAACCGGATGAAGGATTTTAGTCATCGGACGTCTGGATCTTAAGTTATCAGAGAAACAAGCTGAGCTAACGTTAGCAGCAGCTCGGCTCGCAGCCCCTCCGGGACGTCCTTTGTCTGTCCAACAGCGTGGGAGAAGCAGTGATTGTTAAGGTGGAACTGCTTTATTCAGTGTGTTTAAGGTGGAACTGCTTTATTCAGTGTGTTTAGTGGTTTTAATCAGCGGGTCAGTTTGTTTTGGAGAGGAGGAGACCTCTGTGGATCATCGGCTCCCGGTAGAAACCTCCTGTAAGTCTGGATCTTAAGTTCTCGGAGAAACAAGAGTTAACGTTAGGCGTTACGTGTAGCTACTGCATTAAAACACTAAATTTAAGAGCAAAGGTTGAGTAATTAGTAGAGTAGTCACAAGTTCAGTTCCTGAAGCCATTTTGTGTCCAAGTGTCAGGACAGATTCAGTATCTCATTCAGCAGCTTATTTAAAACAGTCCTTCCAGAAAAACTAGTTTTTTTGTGATTGTTGCAAAAATCCTTGATTATGCGGCACGTTTCTTAAAAAATGCGATGGAATATGCGGGATATTTATGCAATTTTATGCGATGAAATTGCGGAAACTTGCAAAAACTGTGGCTTCATCGCGGGGTTTGCGGCTTTTCGATGATGTTCATGTCGCGTAATTACGTCACTTCATAACGTTCTAGGCAACAGGGGACAATGGCTGCTCTTGTGTGAAGTAAACGCAACATTTTTCAACTTTCTGCTAAGATATATGTGACGAGGGATTATGAAATCATGCAAGCCCTGCGTATTTTGAGCGGAAATCCGCAATTTATGCGGTGAAAGTGCGGCGTCTTTGAAAAAATATGAATAAATATGCAGACTTTGGCTGATTATGCATTGAATTGCGCATAATCGCGTTTTTCTGGATGTACTGTTAAAAATACAGACTTAAGTCGATAGAAAGTATTGAATACAAACACCACCGGTGGCTGTGGCTCAGAGGCAGAGCGGGTCGTTCCTTAATCGGAAGGTTGTGGGTCCTTGAGCAAGATACTGAACCCCAAATTGAATCCCAAATTGCTCCCGATGCCATGCATCGTTGTGTGAATGTGTATGAATGTTAGTTTCTGTTCAATGGACTTTGCCATCACTGAGTGAATGTGTGTGAAAGGTTGAATGTGGCCCGTAGTGTAAAAGAGCTCTGAGTGGTCGGAAGGCACTATACAGGTTCATTTACCATTTACCAGAACAAAGCACACAGCATGATTAAAAATAACTTGTACATCAAATGCCGCAGAAGAAAGGCGTGTCTTATTATCTGAGGTTAAAAGGAAATTTTAGAATCTGATTCAGAACAACAATGGCAGATAAATCCAATAAAACTGGCTCTGGAGCCAAACACTGAAGCCCTGCCTGGGGAGTGTAAGTCACTGTGGATATAAGAGCGTCAGCTGAACAACTAAACTCCCCTAAAAAAAAAAAGAAGTACACACAGTTGGAGAGAGACAGGAAACCCTGAGGGACTCTGATGAAAACCTCTCACCCATAAAGACAAAACAAGAGCAGAGAATCGAGGTGACAAGCAGGAAAACGGGTGAACAGAAAGTAAATGACAGCAAAAACTTTAACAGGAGGGGGAAATGACAGAGAAACACCAAAGTGCATAAATAACATTAAAGGGAAATAAAGTAAAATTCAGATATCATTGATGCAGGTAGACGTGAGATGAAAGAGAGCTGCTGTCATTCTCTGAAATTCTCTATTATGTTCAAACACAACTCACAACTTCAATAGTGCTGTTTGTTTTTTGTCCCAATGTTACTTTATTTAGATTTTACATTCAGCCCACATTTAGTTTTAGTTGTAGTTTTATGTCTCCTGTTACTTTCAATTAGTCCGTTTCTCTTCGGGGGTTATTTGGTTTCATAATACTTTTAGTTTAAACTTAATATTAGTTTCAGTTAGCTACACGCTAGGTTTAGATTCGGTTAACTACCTTCACTTCAGTTTCTTTTCTTCAGTTTAACTTTAGTTTTAATTTAGCTTTGGTTAGCTTAATTGGCTTCTTTCTAGTTTAAAGTTATTTAGTAGTTTCAGTTAGTGACGGTCCGTTGTGCGAGTTTATCCTGGTTTCAACTTGGTTTCAGTTTATTCTAGATTCTTGCAAATGTTTTGTTCCTTTTACTTCAGAAGTTCTAAGTTACAACAGTTGTTTACTCTCAGTTAGCCTCGCGTTAGTTAGTCAGTTATTTTTATCCTCGTTACAGTTAGACAATGTTTTAGGTTCTTCGAGGTCATTTTTAGTGTTCAGGTACTTACAAACGTGATTAATAAATCATAAAAAATACTAATCTAATTCTCTTATTTTGACGCCCTGCAGCTGGAGGCCTCGTTGGGCGCGACCATCTCTCAGGTGGGCGTGGACGACTGTCCGTCCACGGACTGCGGTCAGTCCGGAGGCTGCAGCAGCGACGTGGCGTTCAGCCAGGCCCCGGTGGCGCTCAGCAGCGGCAACACCTCTCTGGTGTCGCTGTCGGCCTCATCGACAGCGCGGTGCGGCTGCCGGGGCCGAGAGGCGATCCACCTGCCCTGCTCCACCTACCCCACCAACCCCTGCCTCAACGGGGGCAGCTGCCAGGACGGGCCGCTGGGATACAGGTAGGCACAGGGAGGGGTGTATTATTATTATTATTATTATTATTATTATTATTATTATTCTAACAGTGATTTATTTAAGGTTTATCAATGAGTGAACTGACTTTATTCAACAAATACAGAGGATATAAATATAAACTGTAATATAAACAGTGAACACAACAACTGCAGGAAGGTTTGGATGAATTTATGCTTTTTTTTTAGATTATTTCCTGTGAATATTGATCAGAAATTAATTTTTCTGATATTTTTAAGAACTTTTTATACAATTCTTTGTCTGTATTATGTTTTTTTGTTGTTATTTTTAACAATCATACAGACTGGTCATCAGAGTTTAGATGTTAAATAATACATTGTGATGTGATAACTTATTTTAAAATGTTGAAACATGGAACATTTAAAGTTACACAAACTCATTCTTGATTAAATACATTTTACTAGTCGTTTTTTTACACAATAATAATTAAAAAAAGTTACTAAAGCTACTTAAAAAAAAATTGTTTCACTTAAAGATTTTGATGTAATCGGTTTCAACAATTGTTTGAGTTAAATGAACTTTTCTGGTTTTTAAATATAATTAAAAAATATATATAAATAAAATCAAAATACAATGGAATGTATAATAATAATAATATATGTATAATTTAGTAATATGATAATAATAATCTTATATATTTTAGGATCTTTGGAAGCCGGTATAGTGATATTTATTCTTAATAATAATAATAATAATAATAATAATAATAATAATAATAATAATAATAATAATATAGCTGTGATACACAAAATATAATTAGACAGTAAAATAATGAATACCAGAATACAATAATAAGAGCAGAATTGAAGTCAATAAATAAAAACCAATGAAACAACCTCTTCCTGTCTCTCAGATGTAAATGTCCTCCCATGTTCGACGGCCCCGAGTGTCAGCAGACCAAACACAGCTTCGGTGGTCAGGGATACGCCTGGTTCCCTCCCATCATGCCTTGCTTCCAGAGCAGGATCTCCCTGGAGTTCCTGGCTGAGTCTGCGAACGGGCTGCTCCTCTACGACGGGCCGCTCGGCCCCGCCCACTCCGGCGAGCAGGAGGACTTCATCGCCGTGGGTGAGTGTGCCGCCGAGGTTGTTCTTTAGTAAAAAATACAGTAATTTTATTTTATTAAAATACAGTTTTTAGCTTTATTTTACACAAAATCTTGTGTTATTTGTCTTTTAATGTTTAATTAAAGATATTTAACTGTAAAACCAATAAAATGACCTATAAATACAGGTGAACTCTGATATAGTACAATTATTATTAGATTTTTCTTATTTTAATCTAAATGTTAAAAGTTATAGAACTGTAATAAAAGTCATTTTCTGTGAAATTACAGAAATTATTGCTGTTTTCACTGATAAAAACTGTATTTGGACAGTTTACCAATGCTTATACACTGATAAACAACATTTATTCAATGTTTGTGTTGTGAAAACTTTCATAATTATACAAAATATCTGTCAGTTAACTAAGTAATCCATGTAAAATTAAACAAATACTTTTTTGCTGTTAATGTCACTAATTTAAGAAATGTATCAACAGTATTAAACTTGAATTTAACAGTTTCATCTATTAAATAAACTGTAAATATCTGCAAAAACATAAATTTACAAACGTATTTAATCTTTTTATGTGAAAAAAAGGGAATTTTCTTTAAATAATCAGTCATTTTATGATTATTTACAGTTATTTTACATTAGACATGTAAATTCAGCAGTTATTTTTGTACTTTTATTAATATTTCCATGTATTTTATAAACAGCAAGTGCAGCAGAAAGTAGACCAGAATGCAACTACGAGACAATCAGTGTGTAAATATCTGAAACTCTGAACTCACTGATGAGAATTCAGTGAAATGATTTAAAGTCTTGTAAGTCTGTTTACTTTTACTAAAAGTTCAAACATTATTCTTCTAACCACCACGCTATAATCTCGCAGTGCTGGTGGGAACGTGCCGCTCGTCCTTCTTCAACAAACACAAAGAGTGACTCAATGGCGGCGCCGTGAAGACAGTTTCCTCGGCGGACAAAGAGCTTCATAAACTCTAATGTCAGCTCCCGGCGGGCCCCGATGTGGCGTTAACGGATTAGCCTGCAGATGGCCTTTCCAACACTTCTTGCATAATCCCGTGGCGTTAAAGTTATGTAATTATTGATCCGGGGCGGTTGCTGCGTGACACCGGGGAGGGAAAAATCAAAGGCGGCCGCGGCCATTGATCACCGTGAAGCATTTTTTTACTCAACATGTTCAATAACGTGGCCGTGAGACAGTGAACGCTCTTAAAGGGAGAGGAAAACTGAATCATGTCTCCTCATCGCTCCCATGGCTCTGTAACTCACTGCCTCCCGACCTTTGACCCTTTCTATCATTCAGTTAACTGACCAGCTCATAAACCGAACAGTGAACTCAGTGACTGCAGGAAGTTGGTGGAAACCAGAGATTTGAATGAATTGTGAGCAGATTATTTCCTGTGAATATTGATCAGAGATCAGTTTTACTGGTAATTTTAGGGAACTTTTATCCAGTTCTCTGTCTGTATTCTGTATTTGGTTCTTTCTTCTCCCTCGTGTTCTGTTTGCTGTTCGGTTATTTGAACACAAATGTCGTATTTCCATCTTGTTTTCTGGGTTGTTTTTTTCATCGCTCTTTTATCTACGTCATCTTGTTGCGCCCTCTTCTTCTTCTGGTTTTTCCGACTAGAGAATTGGCGCCACCTACTGCTGACCTCGTGAACTAACTGCAGATAATCGGCAGTGGATGGAAACAAGCGCTCAGTCTCATTGTTCTTCTGCCGTTACTTTCGTTCTCTTCACCACATATTGTTAATTCCATGTACAGACGCTAAAATGAGACCAAAGGTTACGAAAAATAGTACGAATTTTGTAATGACCACTCAAATGTGCGACATTTTAACTCATGTTTCAGGTACCAGATGTATTTATTTCTTTGAGTCAGCTGGAGGTTTACACACTCACGTTAACAAAGCAGGAGGAAACACTTTAAACTATATATTTATTAATTGTGTGGGTTTACTGGACTGTGGGCAGTAAAATAGAAAACTAAGAATCTCTTCCTTTGTTTCCTCATCCAGAGTTGAGGAACGGGGTTCCAGCTCTGAGTATAAACCACGGATCAGGAACTCTGACCCTGCAGCTCCCGCCGAAATCCACCGTCACCGACCGCCGCTGGCATCGCCTCGACATCATCAGTGACGGAAAGGTAGGATTGGTTCCGATACCACAGTTTGAAAGGCCTCCGATACAGCCGGAAACGACGGATGGAGTGAACTTGAACTTTCTATAAACTGTAGGAAAGATGGCCGACAATAACAACGAGCCAACAGTCAGTTGTTGTTGTTGACGTGTGTGTCTCGTTGTCTGCGTTCAGGCCGTGCAGCTGATCCTGGACCAGTGTGGGGGGGTGGCGGTGAACGAGCAGGAGGGAGTCGGGGGGGACGCTCAGGAGACGGACGAGTCCGGCTGCAGAGCTGCCGGAGAGACGCCGGGAAACCAGAGGTGAGTCCGAGTCCGGAGACGCATTTACTGAGAATTTATAACTTATTATTATAAATATTTAATAAAGAGAAATAAATCTGAAAACTCCTCCTCCTCTTCCTCCTCAGATATCTGAATGTCTTCCAGCCTCTTCAGTTGGGAGGAGTGAAGGAAACGTCTCCTCATCGCCGTTACCGCAGTTTCACCGGCTGCATCCGCAACCTGGTGGTGGACAGCCAGGTAACTGTCTGTGTGTGTGAGTGTGTGTCTGTGTGTGTGTGTGTGTGTGTGTGTGTGTGTGTGTGTGTGTGCCGGCGGTTGGACAGATGATGGTGTGAGTTTACCGACATCACAGTCTAAGATATGATATAACTGAAGAGAACCTTCCTCCTCGTCGAGCTGCGGCTCTTTCTGCTTCCCAAAATGCCTTCAAAAAGTCTTAAATATGATTTTGACAGGTTTTAAAAATTGATTGGATGAATGAAGTTAATGTTATTTGTATAAAGTTGCATTTTTCAGACACTTTTAAATGTGTTTCTGGGAAGAATTGTATTGATCATGCTGTAACAACTACTAGAGGAAATCAACATAGAACCAATACTGATTTTCCTTCATATCCTTTGTGCTTCTTTTTTTGCCAGTATTGGTGTAAAATAAGTATTTAATGCATTTAATATGATCTTAAATTGAACGTGTTTATCCTAAACTTTGGTCCGGAGCAAACTATTATCCCAGAGGTTCCCTGAGGATGAAGCATAATGATTAGTGACCCTCTGAACTGTCCTCTGGCGCCACCATCAGCATGCTTCACGCTCCCCAGGAGGATGAACCCTCTCATGACCCAACAGTTTTATGACAAAACAAGAGCTGCTTAAAAGAAAGAGGAACATAATCCATCCTAACAGGCGTCTGTAATCAGAGCTGCTCTCTTGCTAAGCGTTAAGGTGGTTTGACACACCGCAGAATGAAAACACTGCACGGCTGCCAACAACCAGCATGTTCAGACATTCAGTGCATGTCAAATTCAGTCTCACTGCATTTCAGACTCAAAGCAGGAGAATAACTCCTCCGATGGCGGCTGTATTCAGCGCTCTTTCATAAAGGTGGTACAGATAATCCTCTTTCTGCCTCTGTTCCTCAGGTGTACGACCTGGCGTCTCCAGGTGAGAGCGTGGACAGCAGCCCCGGGTGCAGCCTGACGGACGGGGTGTGTGTGACGGCAGCCGGACCCTCCTGCGGCGTTCAGGCCTCGTGCCTCGCCGACTGGGGCTCCTTCAGCTGCGAGTGTCACCCAGGATACACCGGACACAAGTGTGACAGGGGTGAGGGACTCTGGCGGCATCAGCCTGAACTCTGAAGGGATCACGTGTTGAATGAAAATATTAAAACAGAGAGCAAAAAGCAGTCGTAGAGAGTTATTGTGGGTTTAACTGACCAGCTTGTTGTGGAAAAACTGATATTTGACTTTGAGCTTGTTTGGAAACTTCCACTTTCCACTTTCAGCTAAAACGAGTAACAATCATCAGATAAATGTTCTTTACAGCGTTTGTTTGCCAACAGTTGTCAAACCACTGCTGGTGAACTGTTTTTATCTGTGTGAGTGAAATATGACCTCCCTCTTTCCCGCCCTCAGCCGTCCCAGAGTTCTCCTTCAACTCGGGCAGCGTCGTCCGTTATCAGCTCCGAGGTGGCGGCAGCTCTCGCCGCACAAACATCCAGCTGCTCCTCCGAACCAGAGCCACCTCGGGCACCTTGCTCTCCGTGACGTCCCGGGAAGCCACCGAGTACATCGTCCTGGAGGTCAGTCCGCCAGTCGGCCGATCATTGGCTGACCCTTTTAAGCAGCGTTCACCAATCAATACGAGAGACGTGATGCATTGTGGGAAGGTTTCGGGAAAGTTCACGCTGTAGTTTCTTTCAGATCATGGAGGGTCACCTGTCTGTCCGCGTCAACCTCGGTGACGGCGCCCACGCCCTGCGGCTCCCCGGCCAGCGGGTGGACATCGGGCAGTGGGTCCTGGTCAGCCTCAGTCGCCATGACAACCTGTTTACCCTGCGTCTGGAGCAGGGCGGGGGCTCACGGGAGGTCCAGGCCCGGCTGGGGAGCCGCAGGGAGATCGTGGTTCACCCGGCCAGCGTGATGGTCGGCAACGGCCCGACCGCCGGAGACAAGGCCGACTTTCAGGGTGAGACATGGATCTGATCTGGATTCAGTTACTTAGTGAACTGACCCAGAAGAATCAATGTGACACAATAAGAGCTGCTTTAATTCTTTAAATGCTCCAAAAGTACATTAAGAGTAAAGAAATGTACAAAAAAGTTACCAAATTATCAGTAAAACTCATCTCTGATCAATATTCACAGGAAATAATCAGCTTTTTACTCAAACTTCCTGCAGTTATTGTGTTCAGTATGTTAATAATAATAATAATATTTATTGATTTGTGGACGTTTCCTCCCGCAGGCTGTCTGCAGGACGTTCGTTTTAACGGTCAGGTCCTGCCTCTGGACGGGCAGAGCCGGGACTTGGTGACGGTGCTGGAGAGGCGAGGGATCACCTCCGGGTGCTCCAGCGACGCCTGCAGCAGTCAGCCGTGCCGCAGCCCGCTGCGCTGCATCGACCTGTGGAGGAAACACCAGTGCAGGTAAAAGACTGTCACACCGCTGCTTCACATCTGGAAAACTTTTCTGATTTTATTCTGATGTCATCTTGCTCTCCGTCCCCTCCCTTCGTCTCCCAGGTGCCCCGGCGGTCAGGTGACGGTGACAGATGACTCAGGTCAGCAGCGCTGCGTGCCGTCGCCCTGTGGATCTACTTCCTGCCGTAACGGCGGCGTCTGCCAGGCGCTGTCGCCCGACAGCTACCGGTGCCGATGCCAGGAGGGGTTCAGGGGTCAGCGCTGCGAGCTGGGTCAGGTCAAAGGTCACCGGCTGGCCGCCCTCAGCCCCAGCTCCATCCTCGCCATCAGCATGTGTCTGCTCGTCTTCTTCGGTAAGGGACCGGAGAATTATTCATGAGCTCCGTTTAGAGAGAATCAAATGAGGAGAACTTTCTCATTACACTTTAATTAATTAATTAAAAGTTTCCTGAACTATAATGAAGTTTAAAACAATAAACTTTAGACAACACGAGCCAAACGGTAAGAGAGTGAACTTAGAGCCATATCAAAAACTTATAATAAACTTATAATGGCCCCACATCCCATTTTAATCAGTTTTAATGTATTCGTGGTGCACGCCACGTACGCTGAGTGGGGTTTGATTTGCTGCGTGTCGTCTTTCTCTTTCTCCCCTGAAGAATCAGCTAAAATAAAACGCACTGTGATCAATAAATGCCCATACATATGTAAATGACAAGACCAATAAGCACTTTAAAAATAGACTGCGTCAGACATTACGGGGTTAATATTATATAAAACAGGCAGATTCTCTTTTTATTCACATCAACTGTTCAGAGTGAGAAAAAGACTGAGCGTGACGTCAACTCAACCGTCTCCTCTAAAGACCTTTTGTTCCAAACTGAACTGATCAATAACTTTCCCATCAGCAATCGATCGGGAACCTTCAGACAGCGTTTGACACATTTCAGTTACGTAACGTTCACAGAACAATCAGCTGTTACGTATAGTTCAGGAAGCTGATGGCTGATTCTCCTCCCACCAACAGGCTCGTTTGTTTTTCACCTGTTTGTCGTAATTATCAGTAATTAAACTTAATATTAATTAACTGACTGAGACTCAGTTAACGAGCTGCTGCCTGCTACAAATATACAGGAAGGAAATGAAATCTGTCCCGGTGGCACAGAAGCACATTTACGCAAAGATGCATATTTATACTGTTCCCCCCTCTCTCTCCCCCCTCTCCCCCCTCTCCCCACTCACTCACTCTCTCTCTCTCTGTGTGTGTGTGTGTGTGTGTGTGTGTAGCGGTGCTGGTGGCGGTGACGGTGTGGAACCAGAAAGGCAGCCGTAACAAGTTCAGGAAGCGAGGAGTTTACCACATCCCCGCTGAACACGAGAGCTGGGAGGACATCAGAGAGAACATCCTCAACTACAACGAGGAGGGAGGGGGGGAGCAGGACCAGGTACACACACACTAACACACACACACACACACTAACACACACACACACACACATAAATAAGGAAATTCAGATAAAAATGTAAAATATGTTTAGAAATGTAATTTTTTTAATGCTACATGAAACTCACACACGTTGTCAATGTGTCACATTCTTCAAAAATATTAAAATATTCCTAATTAAACCTTTTATTAAATACAATTACACCACAAAGCCTTCAGCTGACCCTTCATAAGCCCCGCCCCTGAGGGTGGTTAAAAGATGACATAACACATACATGGAAGCTAATGTTGTGCTAATGTAAAACCTTACTCAGCTAATTTCCATCATCATTGATTGCTTGTGTTCCTCCTTCCTCCCAGAACGGATACGACATCACAGAGTTGAAGCGTCCGCTGTGCTCCAGTTTGTCTCAGTCCTCGTCCTGCACCACCGCCCCGCTCATCAAGTCCTCCCCCGGCTCCCAGGAGGAGGTTCACCCGTCCAGCTCCTCCTGCAGCTCTGGCGCTCCCTACCTCAGCATCCCTCATCACCATCACCACCACCAACAGCACGCCACCACCAACAGCTACACCAGCGACACCACCTACGCCAACTACACCGCTCACGTGGGCAGAGACGTGGAGACAAGCGACGGAGGCGGCTACGCGGACGCCCCGTCGGGCTCGCGCTCTCACGTGGATTTTAAGAGCTACGTGTCGCGAATAATCTGGGAGGCGGACAACGACTGCGATGCGTTCCCGCCCGACTCGTACCACGTCTGGTGTGTGGAAGGCTCGGGGTCGTCGGCGGGAAGCCTCAGCTCTCTGGGGTCGGCCGCGTCACGTAGAAACATTACCGCCGCGCCCGGCGACGATGAGGAGGAGGAGGATGACGAAGGAGGGTTCGTTTATGACAGGCTGTCGCGGTGGGGCCCCAAGTTCCAGGCTCTGAGCGAGATGTACGACCGGCCCCAGCTGGCCCTCACGTACAGGGACGCAGTGGCATACATACAGAGGAGCCACAGCCACGACCTCCTGCCGCACCACCACTAGGGGGCGCCGAGACACACAGTTAGTACAGACAGGGAGGAAGCCGGTGCTGCGTTCACGTCCCATCTGAAACAAACCAAACCCAGGATGATCAATCAGTTATCAATCAATCAATCAATATCAGATTATTAAAAAGTGCTGCTTGAACGTCAGAACCAGATTTTTTTTCTGAATTAACAGGTTTATTAATTCCATATAATTCAGTTTTATAATTAAAAGGCGAAAATTAGTCGCCACCTATGCAGATGATACCCACTTATATCTATCGATCAAAACGAGAGAAAATGTATCATTAAAAATAATATTTTGTAAACTTTAGTGGAGGAAAGCTGCTTAAAATGAGCAGGTAAAAAAACATGTTCGCTACAGACTCCAAAAAACTTCACAGCATCATGATTTTAATTGGGTTTTTTTTCAGTGAAAATTTAATTTGTGATGCATAAATTTCCACAATAATCGTGAATCATATTGCAAAATAACTGCAATGGGATGTTTTTACCACATCGTGCAGACCTCACCGAGAGAATCTGAGCTCCATTGATCCGCCGTGAGGCAGATGGGATACACCGGATATCACAATATTGCAATTTAATCATTAATTTGGAGGATTTACTTTTATAAAATGATTGAATTAATTATTGCACATTGTCTCACAAAGGAAATCCTGATGCAAAAGTGACCCGTCTGTGGTAAATTATTTAACTTTATTTATGAATATTCATAATTTTTGATGACTGATACTATAGGACATATTTACCCACTTTTCCAGGTTGGTAGTCCAGCTTTGTTTATTGTCCTCAACAAGTAAATTACAAATAAACCCTGAATCATAGACTGAATATTATCAATTTATACTAAAACTCTCTGTCCAAACACACGGATACTTTCTGTTTTTTCGGCTGATTGAACCTCGTTAAAGTTCATGTTTGGGAAGAAGAAGATTAAAAATAGTGCACTCATAATGAAATAGAATAATAATAATAATAAACTTTATTTATATAAATATTTATTTATATGGTTACTTTGCTCAAATTAAAGCTCAGGAAGCTTTTTTTAATGACAGTTGGTAAACCAGCTCTGTATGTGCATTACTGCCACCTGCTGGACTGGATGTGGAGCTGTAGAGTGGCAGGAAACAAACAAATAAAACAAAATAACTAAATTCTATTATTTCTGTTTATTCTTAAATAATTAATTAAAAGATTATGAACTTTCCACCCTCACTGTGCTTGAGACTAATCAGCTGAAAGAACTAAAAACACCTGCGTAGGTGCACATCGGGCCTTAAAATCTGATTGGCTGCACCGGGCGACGCCTTTTCAAATTCTCAGTCCTGATTGGCTGTTGGTCCCTTTAAAACTAAGACCAACTGTTCTTTCTGTAAGTTCATTCAGTCATGAGGCACAAAGCAGCAGCAGCAGCAGCAGCAGAGAACGTGAGTAAATCAAACTGGTTTATGTGGCCGCTGCTTAAACTTAACAACAATCAACAGGAAACTGGTTCAGTGTGTTTGTTACTGAGAGACACTGACAGTAAACTCAGTCTTTAAACCTTTGAATTTCTAATTTCTTGTGTATTTATTTCTCCTGAAAGCGTCACTTCTTATATTGTCAGTGTCCTTCAGTCTGTATTTGTTCAATTTTAATACAAGAAAGACTACCATTAACAAGTATTTTCATTATCTGTTAGTCTGTGAGTTTCTTAATTAAAGAACTAGAACTAAAATCAGTGAAAGTTTTCCCACAGACCAAAGTCCAGTCTCAAAAGGTCTTATTTTTGTCCTAAAGATTTCTATTTTCACAAAACACAAAGAAAAATCCTCAAACTTTAAGTATTTTTGCTTAAAATATTACTTCAAAACATTTATGGAACAACAAAACTGTTGCAGCGCCGACACAAACGCCACCAAAGCTCATCCTGAACGGAGAATGTGATGCGACGCGAACGCAGCGACGGCAGAAGCGAAAGGCTCCGACGCCTCTCAGGGGTCGAGGGGGGGTTCGCTGTGACGTGACCCCGATGTTTGTTCGTGTAGAAAAACCAGATAATGTTCGAGGTCTCGTTTCAGAGTTATGGGTTCATGTACCAGCTTCCCACAGGAACATGTCAAACATCCTTATTTATTCCGGCTCTTTAAAGCAGCTCAGCGTATTTATTTCTGTTCGTGGTTCTTTGTGGGTCGCTGAGTTCTCAGTCTGAAAAAATGTGGACTTTTAGGGTTCAAGGTTTTCTTTTTTTTTATGTCCTCTGGAGGAATATTAGCATCAAACTGTCAGAAATCTCACAAGAAATGATCCTGGTTCATTTGTTAACAACATTAAGGCCTTGAGTCTCACAAACAGGACTGGAGGTTCTTTAAGGGTGTTTTAATGTAGCGTTTTAATCTTTTTACCCGCGCCCCGACACTCTTCTTTTTCAAACCTCAAGGACGAACTTTCCTTTCACCGTCTTGTTTTCTTTGTTTGCTTTCGCTGCAGATTAAACCTCCAACAACCAGCTTTTAATTTCTCTTTTCTACCTTCCTGTTGCACTAGTGGACGATTCACTCGGACAGGACTGAAAAAAAAACAAAAGACAAAAAAACGCAGAGAAATAAAAGCCTGAAACACGTTTTCCTCCTCCAACATGTAACATAAGATTTGATAGATTGTTTTCAGAAGAGATTATTTTTGTACTCCCTTGTAGAAACTTGTGTTAACATCGCGGATGGCGTCAGGCCGTCGGTGTTCGTGAACGTCGAGATGTTTGTTCGACGACGTCCTCGGAGCTGGAAAAACACAGCAAAAATCACATCAATGTGAAAGCGTGTGCAGATTCTTTAATGACAAAACTGTCGAAGCACAAAACAAAGAGCTTGAGTCGTCTGCAGGTTCAGGTTTGAGAGCTCGGAAAAAGAAGCACAAAATCCAGATTTTACCGAAGCCGTTTTCAACTGTTTGTGAGTTTAACATTCTGTCATCTATTCTGATTACAGAAATATGAAATAAATTTAAATAAAAGACAAAAATCTACATGTTTTATAACAAATCTGACAGTTGAATCTGAAGTTTAGAATTTAGAAACATTACTTAATAAGGCTTTCTCATCTGTTATTGGACTCCTGAGGGTCAGTACAGAACTTTATTTTAGCAACTTCAGTTTGACGCTCTCAGATCTCAGCTGGCAGACTGACTTCAGATTTTGTTAATAAACTTCTGTAAATGGCGTTCTTTGCTTTTTAAAAGGCGTGTTTCGCCCCTCCCACCTTCCAAACAACCAAATGTGATTTATTTTTATTTTTTTAAATTAAAGAAAATGTGAAACAGCGGTTTTGTTGGGTGACTTTAAACCAGCGGTTGTTTCCTACCTCTCGGCGGCTGCGTATGTTGTCATTGCACCGTCTGATGAATGTAGTTTTATACGTAGGGAGTCAACGTTCCCCCGTTGAGGGTTTTTAGGAAACAATCAAAGAGTTTTTATACAAACTCTACTTGATAAAAGTGACTCTTAAAGGAGAAGTGCGTAACTCAATCCTCAGCTGGCGAAACGGCAACAATCGGATATTTTAAAGGTTTTTTCGAATTGCACTTGATTCTCGATTCTTGTGTCACAACAGTCGGTTTTCTCTTCAGAATAAAAGAAGCCCTTCAAAGACTCAAAGCTATGCATCCAAATGAAACAACACGGGTGTCTTTTTCTACGCCGATGTGAAGCTCCAGATGTTGTCCGTGCTGTGTGTGTAAAAGTGTTTTTAACTTCGACTGAGCAGCGTTGATCTGTATGATATTGTTGTACATATGGACGTTTTATAGCAACCTAACACGGAATATTCCTTTTGTATATGACTTTTAATAAAATGGCTTTTCCCCAAAAACCTTCTGGTGCTTTTTGTGTGTTAAAATATACCTGAAAAACTTTAACCTTGGACCTGTTAGATTTAGCCTCAGTATATTAGCATGCCATCATAACCAGGGACCTGTTGATGTTTGTTTGTACTATCAAAGTAAAAGACCCCCTTTCAAAATAAAACAGTAAAACATGGGTTCTGTATGCCTTTCAGTAAGATTGAGATAAATTAGTTGTTATATATAGCAGCACCATGCAATAGTGAGGTCCAGTTAGTAGCTGTTCTGTAGCTTGTGAGCGTCTTTCCTCAGCAGGTAGTTCCCCCCCCGGTTGCCATGGTGACTTCTGTATCCGTCTCAACTTAAAAATTATAAGTAAGTTAAAGTTCTTGAATCTGGAAACAGCTGACAAAGTATTTAAAGTAATATTTGAAGTATTTTTTTAGTAAGCAGTTCATATGGTGGCAATACAAATAGTTTGTAGTATCTGCTGGATGAAAATATGGTGCTTTTTTTTACTGACATACATTTATTTAAAAACTTGTAAGATCAGGTAATTAATACAAAGTATAATAAAGTTATACATTATGATGTATTATTTTAGATTTATTTATCCAGGGGAACATTCATAATATCAGAATATAAAATAATATTCTGCAAAAGTACTTTTACTTTAGGTATATGTTGATTCTAATTCTTATGTACTTTTACTGGGATTTTATTATATATTTAAGAGTATTTATAGTATGAGAGTAGAGTATTATTCCTCTGACTGACTGGTGGAGGTTTATATTTACTTGTGAGGCAACGCTGCCACCATGTGGTCAACTCTGATATTACACAGGACTGAATTATTTTCTGTATCACTCACTGACACTTCAGTTTCATTTTATTATCCCAAATTAAATATTTTGTCTGGATTATAGTCATTTTGGTTATTAATTGATCATTTCTGAATAAACTGTCTAAAAAAAAAAAGTTTCTCTTCTGAAGGCAGTTTGATAAAGTATATTTTATGAATATATAAGGTGACTTAAATGCGACATTATAAGCGTATGTGTGTGATACAAACATGGACATTAAATTGTTTACTTTATGTAGTTCAAATACACTGTAAAAGTTAAAAACCATAATATTACAGCAGCTTGGATGCCAACTTTTTAATTTTTTATAATTAATTTTAGCTTTCATTTTGCATAAAATCTTGTTGGCTTTTAATATTTAAAGACATTTACACTGTAAAACCAATGCAATGAGCTATAAATACAGGTGAACTCTGCTATAATACAAATAATCAGTCTTAAAGTTACAGCAGAGGGCTGTTATCAGATTTTTCTTATTTTAATCAGAATTTTAAAAGTTATAGAACTGTAAGCTGTGGCTCAGAGGAAGAGCGGCTCGTCCCCTAATTGGAAGGTTGTTGGTTCGATTCCCCGGCTCCTGGAGCCACATCTCGAAGTTTCCTTGAGCAAGATACTTAACCCGGAATTGCTCCCGATGCTGTGTGTGAATGTGTATGAATGAGTTAGCTGGCCCATCGAACAGAGTGAATGTGTGTGAAAGGGTGAATGTGCCATATAGTGTAAAAGCGCTTTGAATGATCGGAAGACTAGACAGGCACTATACAAGTACAGGTCCATTTACCATTTAATAAAAGTCACAATCTGTGTAATTACAGTAATTATTGCTGTTTTCACTGATAAAAACTGTATTTGGACAGTTTACCAATGCTTATACACTGATAAACAACATTTATTCAATGTTTTTATTGTGATAATTATATAATAATTAAGATCTAAGATATAAGATATCTGTCAATTAACAAACAAATCCATGTACAATTACATAACAAATACTTTGTACTGTTAATTGTCACTAATTTTATAAATGTTTTATTAGTATTAAACTTGAATTTAACTTCACGATCTCTCTCCCTGTTTGCATGTCCACAAGTGTATGAAGTGTGTATTTCAGCCTGTGTATAAAATCAAAAAATAAAAGACTGAAAAACCAATTTCCCCAATAGGCGATTTATAAAGTACATATCTTATCTTATCTGAACAGTTGAATCTATTAAATAAACTGTAAATATCTGCAAAAACATTATAAACTGTCATATAGCTCATCAGACTGCACATGCTCAGTGCGGATTGGCCACTTTATTTCCTGCCTGTTTGTCACATTGCAGCAGCAGAGAAGCCCCGCCCATATCATACAGGCCCCTCCCACTGCTCAGACCCAGACTGTGACCCCTGACCCCTGACCCCAAACTTTCTCCAGCTCCAGTTTATCTCTCTCGTTTAACTCTCTCACTGCCAGCCGTCCCTGGTTGATATAATCCATCATACATCTTGAATTTAACAATCAAAAATCAAATAAATCTTCCTGATTATTGTAGAAAAAGTGAATCTTTGAGACTTTAAAAAGCTGATCAATAGAAGTAGCCCAACCCCCCCCGACCCCTGACCCCTGACCCCCGACCCCGAAGCACATGAGCCAGAGTGCACATTGAGTTGACATGAAGCGTATGCACTGTTGCAAACAATGAATGGAGGTTAATGTGCTGTAACGCAGATGAGTTTGGCAGTGGGGTGCAAACTCAGCCTCGTTATAATATAAATATAATATAAATAAAAGCTGTTGCACCCTGGAGATAAATTATAACTTAACTGTAAATAAAAACTGAATAGTTACACATCCTAATATACTGAGGCTATCATGCTGACGTACTGACGCTGAAGATAAAGTGTAAACCATAAAATGTCCCAAAATAAACTCACTGACGGTAAAACAGTTTTTCTGCCACACAGCACAATTTCTTTCATTAATTGCAGCCTTTTTGTGACACAGTAACCAAGTACGGACCTAATTTATTGATATATTTCAATATTGATCGAGCTTAACTACGATGTTAAGGCCTTCTTGCTTATTAGGGGGTGAAAGAAAACTTTAAAAAATACACACAGGTAGGTCTTTCTCTCAGCGTTTGGTTCACTTCTGTGTAAGTTAATGTAAAGTGTCTAATAGAACAATAACCAAACGTCAAGGAGGAGAAATTGTCCAAAAAGAAAAAGAAGCTTATAAAGTCTGAATGATTGTTAAAAATCATTAAACACACAAACTCCCTGCAGCTACTGATTATATCTATGAAATATGTCACTGAGTCAGTTTAATAAATGATAGAAAAGGGGTCCTCAGAAGGAAAAAAGGCTGGTGCCATATCACATGTCCCCAAAAGGAACATAAACGTGTATACATGTGTATGTGGAGGCCACGCTTTCCCAGGCCGACACAATGCCCTCCATCTACAGGAGTTTCTTAAAGGGGGGTAGCATGTATATATGCGGGGGGGGAATCTGTCTGCCAGAATACCCTATATATGTCTCACTCTCACACACACACACACACACACTATTCAGCCCTTTGTCTCTCTTTCTGTGGACGTTCTCGTTGTCCTGCAGCAGTTTTTTCAGGCAGATTTTTCTGAACTCTGTGAAGTAACATCTCCAGCACATCTTGTGTCTCCTCGTTAGCACGTGAATGTTTTTCTTTACACGCGCTGGAAGTTTTCTTTGTTTTGTTTACGGCTGCCAAAACTCTAAACGTCGCACTAAACTGCGACCTGAAGACTTGTTGCTTCCTCTTCACCAGTTAGACTCAGTCAGTGGTTATAATATGGTCCTTATTATTCAATGTATAACAATAACAGTAGAGAACAACTGCAGGATGTTGAAACAAGTGATTTGGATGAATTTTGAGTAGATTTTTGAGTTTTACTGATATTTTTATACAATGTTTTTTATTATTTTTAACACTCATACAGACTTAATAAGCTTCTTTTCGGACAGATTTAGTGTATTGTTTCTCATTGTTCTATCAGCTGTTTGGTTGTTTTCTAATGCAAGATGACTTATATAAGTTTATCTAATAATAATAATAACTAAACTTTAAAAATAACAGTTTAATTTATTTTGTAGTTTATTTAGCTTATTTAAAGAAAAAATATTAAAGTACATTTACAATATTCCTGTTTATTTAATAGATTAAACTGTTAAATTCAAGTTTAATACTGTTAATACATTTCTAAAATTATGTCAGATTGAAGTATGGAAGTTTTCACCACAGAAACATTGAATAAATGTTGTTTATCAGTGTATAAGCATTGGTAAACTGTCCAAATACAGTTGTTATCAGTGTAAACAGCAATAATTACTGTAATTTCACAGATAATGACTTTTATTACAGTTGTATAACTTTTAAACTTCAGATTAAAATAATAAAAACCCAATAATAACAGCACTGTTGTAAATTTAAGCCTGATTATTTGTATTATAGCAGAGTTCACCTGGATCTATAGCTCATTTTTTAACCAATTATAATAATAAATCACATTATTTTCACTGTAACTCGCAATTTAACAGAGAAACTGTGGAGAAAACAGGAACTTTAAAATCCAGTAGGGACCGCTGTGTTAGTGTCCTTATCCTAATGCTGCCTTTTTCACAGCAACCATTTTGACTAGCGTGGTAAACGTTATCAGCGATACTAATTAAGGCTCTGTTCCATTTAGTGTGGCGGCCTCTGTTTGACCTGATCATTCATAAACAGCTATTTACCCCAAAATGCCTGCTGTGAAAAAGTCTATCCAGTGGCTTTTTGTTACGGTGGTCATCGTTTTAAGGACGATAAAAGTTTGCTGCAGTTGCTATAACTATAGTAAAAGAACATGTATGGATTTTAAACTTAATTCCATATTTTGTAAATACAAGTTTTTGCCATGAGAGTTTAACCTTTTTAAAGTTTACAGTGTTTTGCTGTCATACTTTGACTGTTTTTAGGTGTAATTTTAATCAAAACCAGTCTCTAAATTTCCAGGATTTGTGGAAATACTCAGCAGGTTTACGTAGCTGATCTAAGTGACTAAAATACTATTAAAAGTTTCCAGGATCGTTTAAATCTAGTTTTCCAGCCATGTAAATACATTAAATTGTCTACATTTCCAGGGGACATGTTGGGAAATATTTACCACCCAAACATGTTTATTTCCACTGTTTTTAAAGTTTCATTACAATGAGAGTTTTATTCCTCTTCACGTCTGATTAACCGGATGGAGTTTAACAACACAGTTTATGTAAAAGGAGATTAAATAACATTTTCCAGAACAAATTACTGAAATGATCAGAAATCTACATTTCTCAGACCAAACTCACTTCTCATTTCACTTTATTCAAAACATTGCCATATAAAAAGATTACACATTTCTGAATTATCCTATTTACAAAAACATACATTCAACATCTACATACAGTTTACATGGTTGTTTGTTCACTGCAGAGCTCCTCACTCTGTACAGTCACAGGTTTTTGTTCGATTTCAACGGCTCCTTCTGCCTTAAAGTAGCCGTACAGTTCATTTTCATTTCAAAAGGCACTAAGAAAGGACAGGCTAGCACAACAGGTGACAGAGCTAAATCATAAATAGCTTTTACCTTTGGCAGTGATCAAACTGAGCTCATTTGTTTGTTTTTACATATGAACAGACTGTTTGTTTTAATCAATAAATACAAGCACTGAAAATGAAAACTCTGCACAATTGTAGGCAGTTTCCTATGAAAGTCAAGTTTTCCAGGAATGTAACAAGAACGTGCAACCAGGTTGCAACTACAATAAAGAAAAAGGATTATTGAGCCACAAACACATCAGGTGCATTCAAAGACAACCCCAGGTTTCAGGATGTTACAGTCAATCAGGTGTCTGACTGTTCCTCTGGCTCATGAAGATAATGAGTTCATACACTATCTAATGGGATTAGACCGGGGGTGACAATTAAAACACTTTAATTACCCCAGTTTAGAGCAGAATTAAATATTTAAAGGTTGAAATGAGAAACTCACTTCCATGTTCCTGAGAATCCGACTGAAGCACCAGTAAAACTCCCAGAAAACCTCACAGGTACAAAATGTTCAGTTTCCTCTCAAAACAAAAAAACTGTTTATTTCTTTAAAATTTAAAAAAGGAGGTTTGGTTCCCTGCCAGCGTCCCCACTTCACATCAGTGGACTCAGTTGCTACTGCAGGTAAGACGTCTCGTACCTGCTGGCTCAATTCAAACTAATTAACATATAAAAATTATATTAAAAAAAAAAAAGTTTGGTTATGTGCCGAAGAACTGCAGCTCCTGAATCTCCAGTCGCAGTTTTAGAAAACCAAAAAATATAAAAAAGACTTAGTGTTTAAAAAAATAAAACGTCTTCCCTACAACGGCGTGCCGCTCTGCGAGGGGTCGGCTATCACTTCAGGTTAAACTGCGGAGAGAGAGAGAGGTAGCGGTGCTCGCTCAGGGATTGGCTGGTTTCTCTGCGCTGCTGGGCGGAGTCAGGAACGATCCCACGGGGACGGGCGACAGCTGACAGTCGGGTTGGTTCATCTGACGCTTCTGAGCTTTTCTCTGCAGAAAAACAATCCAACATCACGAAAAGGATTAAAAGACGATTTTAAAACATTTAAAAAACAGAATTAGTCCACTTTTTAAATCAGTGCTTTTATTTTGGTAACTTTAAACTTTGACTTATTGCAGCCTTAACGCCATTAAATGATTCCTGTTGGCTGGTTTAGACATTTACACCATATTGGACTCTGGAGTTAAAGGTGGGACCGTTATCGCCTCGCTGTACAGGAAGTTCATCCTTCAGGCTAAAATCAGTAAATATGTCAAAGTAAGTCACATGGAAACTATTTTCTTACAGAGTTTGTTTTATAGTTTGTTACAGTATAATGAAACAATATTTAAAATTGTAGTTATGATAAATGATCACCCAGATAGCATTAGCTCACTGGTTCCCAACCTCTTTATTAAAGAGACTTCTTTTCTGCTGAGTAAACCAAAAACCCCAATTAGGTGATTTTATAGATATTAAACATACAGAACTACTAATAAACTGTACAATGAACCCAAATACAGAACACGGCACTGAGTGTGAAACGAGTGTTTATATAATAATGTGCGTTCTCTCTCACCAGCAGGTCCAGATAACCCACGTGCGTCTGGATGTTGTGTCTGTCGTCAGATTTGACTTTGGGGAAGTTCTTGAGTTGCGGCGCGGCTTCAGACTGCAGCGTGTCCATGAAGGGAGTCATCCACCGAACGCAAGGAGCCACGCTGTCCCACGTCAGGCCTGATGGACAAACAGACGGGGGTCAGCATTTAAAACGCAAAGCCAGAGAACATTTTACCTCCGTCGACAAACAGCAGGAGTTAATTTATCCTGTTTCCGTAACAACCAAAACCTTAATTTCTGTCGCCACAGAGGATTTAAGATTTAAGTCAGACGTCCAGGTAGAAAAATCAAACTTACCTGAGACTTTATGAACGACGTCGAACGTGGAGAAGTGACAGAAGGCGGCCGCGGCGAGAACGCTGTAACTGTAGTCCAACGAGCAGGAGTCCATCATACACAGGTCCAACAGCTGCAAGCAGGTCAAAGGTCAGTACGACAGCAACAGGTTTGATTATCGAGCGCGTTAAGAGACGGGTGGGAGTGAAGGTTTACCTGCGTGATCTGGATGTATGTTTCCGGCGAGAACTGCGGCACTAGGAAGTTCTCATCGCCCGTCTGAGCTTCGACCTGCGCGTACAGCTTCAACCAGGAGATCGGCGTCTCCGGACACAGATTCCAGTCCAACGCCTGCAGGACGACACAAACAAACACCTTTAAGTTATTATTGAATTACTTAAACTCCAGATACGTCTGTTGAAGGTCCTATTGTTAAACCAGAGTTTAAGACCATTATAACCATTTTATAGACCAAATACAAAGTAGTATTTACATTTGGGAACTTGCCAACACAGAACACTGAACTGTGACCTTAAAAACAAAATCCGATGTTCCTCATTTTCTGACTAACAAATTAAAATATCTCTAATAAAGTTGCTCCACTAACGAGGTTACATAACGCCACGCTGCTGTAAAGGGGATTGGAGGAGTTTCTATTATTTCTTGTATCTGGAGCTGCTGTAGAGTAACTTAACTCAAAGTCTCTTATGAGCGCAGCAAGTGACCTCTGTACTCGTATTGATCCCTTTTGATTTTGTTCTTTTGTGATCGATACAAACTTAAGAGTCTGAAAAACTACTTTAAACAACATTAACTTCATTTTAGTTTCAGGGTCTTAAAGCATTAGAGTGATGAAGAGTTTCATACCTTCAGCATGTGAAGCTCAGTGCTCTGGATGTCCCAGATGTCGCAGGCGCCGTCGGTGACGTAGGCGAACTCGAACAGTTTGGGAGGGTATATTTCCTGAAGAGAACAGAACACAATAAGCACCCAGACGTGGATTTAATTTAGTCTCGGCGCTCGTGCCATCGTATCGGGACTCACCTCTATCTTTGAGGCGATGAAGAGCGCCGTGATCCCCAGGAGCTGCAGGCATTCTTTGCCCACGTTGTCCTCCGTCAGCATGAAGCGGTCGAAGTAGTCCTGAGCGAGGTAGGCCGTCTGCCGGTGGAGGCTGTACACCTCGCTCACCTGCACACACAAACACTCAGTTATATCGGCTGACGGCTTAATAAACGGAGCCGGTCCTGATCCGGTTTCAGTCTGCTGGTTCCTCACCTCGAGCAGCCAGTCCAACAGAATCGCCCTCATCTTGGGCTGCAGTTTGGGGTGCCGCTGCAGGTAACTCTTGTCGTGGACGTACTTCAGCTCCTTGTTGAGCATCTTGATCCACACGTCGTCCGAACTGGCCCAGCTGGAGGACAAACGCCAGGTTTTAACATCTTTTTATAATAAATGTCATTCCTGTCAGTTTCAGTCCTGTACGTTTGATTCACATTAAAAAAAGGTTTTGTTCTTTGAGTTTGTGTCACTTAATCAGCTGTTGGCTGGAAACCCTGAAACTGGATCAACTCTGTCTTAATCAGGGTTTCAGCAGGTTAAAGTTAACTTCTTAAGACCTATTGTGGCAAATGAAAAAAAGTACAAAGAATCTGAAAGAAACTGGTATTAGTTTCATTTGGTAGCAACACTGATCAATACACATTTCTCTCATTGATCCAATCCATTTTAAACCCATCACACATATTTAGAGACTTTTTGAACTCAGAGCTAAAAGAGAACTGAAGGTGAACGAGGGTGTTAACAGCTCAGCATGAAGTGTTGAGCAGCAGCAGCCTCATTGAGGTGTCACACACACAGACAGAGACACACACCTGAGGCGAGGAATGGGGGAGGCTTTGATGAAGAGGTTCTTGAACCTGAACTGCTTGAAGCTGGATGGATCTGAAGGCTCCAGCTCTTTGTGGGGGGTTTCGATGAGGACGCACGGACTCGCTCCGTCCTCCGACCAACACTTCTGCAAATAAACAAGAAAACAGTTCAGACGAGCAGATTAAGACTTTTTAATGTGGACTCATTTTATAGTTTTAATTATTGCTTCTTACATTATTTATCCCTCTGCACCTCTATATGATTTTAATTGTCTGACTTTATTTTAAAGCCTGGTTCCAGCCATGTAAGGCAACCTTTAAACAAACAGAGCTGAACGGCGACACCCTGTGGTGAAAAGAAGGTACTGCACAAACGCCTGAGTCTCTTTAACCTGCTTCATTCAGACTCATCATAGAAGATAAACTGAATGTAAGAACTCGCTCCAGCTGCTGTGAGAAAGGACATAAACGAGCAAGAGACGCAAAACTGTGATAAAAACTAAAAATAAATCATTCAAAACCAATATCAGACATATTCCATATAAACAAAATGGACGCCTCACTATAGGAGACTATACTGTAAGAACGTCTCAAAGTTTAAAGGTTTTACTGAAAACTCAAAAATACACAAAAATTAAAGTTTTTAAAGAGGACAGGTCGAACTGGAAGGGAGGAGACGCAGATAATAAGGTAGTAACACACATCCTCTCAACTCTTATCAGCTGTAAACACACATGACACACACACACACACACACACACACACATTCACACACACACACACACACACACACACACATTAATGACACACACACCTGTATTTCATAGCTTTGTTTCTTGGTAGCAGGTTGTAGTTTCTTCTTGGACGGCTGCTGGAGAATAAAAATAAACCAGTGAGTTATCAGAGACTGAAATCATTATTATATTAAAGTTAGTGAGAAACAGGTTGTAGGTAAAAACACAAACCTCTGACTTCCTCCTCTTCAGCGGGGCTCTGACGGTCAGCTCAGGTGTGTTCGAGTCTCTGGTTTGCAAAGTGATGCGACCGCTGAAATTAAACATAAATGAATCAACGTTTAGTGAAACCAGAGGACGGTGCTGCTTCATGTCTGAAATTAATTGAAACTTGGTCAATTTATTGATCAACTCTGAGTTAAAGAGGCAATAACGTGACTTAAATTCAATATAAAGTGAATTAAACAGCACTTAAGCTGGTGGATGATTCATTATTAACATTTAATTCAATGTAATCAGAGATAAATCTATTAATAACTCATTATCAGTCAGAAACCGGCTGCTCACCTGCGTCTGGACATTGTGTCGAATGTTTTTATGGCTCCTCTGCAAAGAAAAAGAGGGAACAGGTGAGATACAGGTGAATGTTTACAGCTGCTGTCAGAATGTAACAAAGCACACATTTACAAACAGATATTATATATAATTAGAGTTTATATAAATAAATACAGAGTAAAGAAGAAATAAGAGCACAAATAAAGTAAAATAAAATACAATTAAATGTTTCCAGATCATTATTAGTTCATTTCCAGGATATTTGTTCATGTTTAAATCCATTTCCAGGTATTCCAGGTATTCCAGGACACATAAAACCTGATTAATCCAACTCTCCTGGGACTCTGAGGCCACATGATGTGGAGCCACTGGGCCCCTTTATTCACAATATAACACTAATGTGTGCGTTAACAGGCCCGAACCACAGTTCAATAACCACAGTGGGGTTATAAAGAGACGACTGTAGAGTCAGACAGGATCCTGAGACATTAAATATTAAATAATATCACATTTTAAAGCTGGTTAGCTTCAGATAACTGCAGACAGACACACCGATAAAGAGACAAAAGGTAGCTCAACGGATCAATAATGGTGGACAGCAGCACATAAAACCCCTCAGACAGACAGACTTTGTATTAAAATATAATATAAGTGGATTTAATGATGATAAAGGCTCAAACTAGCCGGACAGGCTCAGTGAGCTAGTGAGGCAGAAAGGAGGGGGGCTGCTGAGCTTTCCCTCGATTTCAAACAAAAAAAGCTCAAAAATACCGCGTTTAAAAGCGGGTTTCTCTGCCCGAGCCGCTGAGCAAACGTCCCCACACTGCCCCGGGGGGCTTTAAAGGCACCAAAAGGGTCAAATATTCACTTTATTTCAGGATTGAAACTGAAAAGAGGCGCCAATTTCCGACGCGCAGAAGCGGGAGGATTTGAGCCCTGCCTCCGCCTGCTGGAGGGGGGGTGGGGGGGCAGAAAATACCGCTAAAAAACAACCACATCGACTTTAAAACACCATAAACCGATAGATCAAACCCCCGGGAACCAGATAGGATAAAGAAAACCTTTCTCACAGCCCGTTAAAGTCGGGTAAACCGAGACCACCGCGAGGTTGTGCTATGGAGGGAAGAGGGGGGAAGCTACAGTAATTAGCAACTGCTAACTAGGTCAACAATAAGCAGCTATCAACCAGATATTAACCAGATATTAACCAGATATTAACCAGCTAATAACCCCGATGTGCACGTAAACATCGTGTTTAACAGCTTCTGTGTGCAAACCGCTGGAAACCTGCAGCACTTCAGTTTAAAGAGGCAACACAACAGAAGTGCTCAGAGTTTAAAGTTTCCTCATAAAGCTCAGTGTTAGTGCAGATTGAACTCATTACACTCACTATATAAACACACAGTCTGGAGGAAATGCACGATTCAGATGATTAAAAGAGGAAACCGTTTAAAATAAGGTGACATAAGAGATAAAAAAACTCCCCTGTCCGGGTTTAAATCCACAAACACAAAACTACGTAAGGAAAACTTCATATTTAAGATTCAAACGCGCGATATAAAGTACACGACGGCCCGGACAGTGGGAATAAGAGCTGAAAGTAATAAGCTGTGTGTATGAGTCCTCTCCGGCTCGGTTCTCCGGCTCGGTGCTCGGTGCTCTTACCTCCTCGGTGGTGAATGAATGAATGAATGCATCAGCTGTGGCGCCGGCGCCAATCCTTATATCCGCAGTCCTGCCGCTGCCTACTGCGCATGCCCGTTCCCGGTTAACAGAAACGCGCTAAACGTTCAAATCAAAGGGAGATTTTCACAAAGCGCGACAGCGGATCGATAAAACACGATCGATTCACTCGTTTCATGGATTTATTGGTTCATCGGCGGCGCTGGGACGCCGTTAAACGGGTTATTTACCGCGTTTAACCGGAGCCTTCGTTCACTTTAACGGACAGCGCACCGTCGGACGGTCTTTGTGACGTCAAACACGGTTTCCGTTGGTTCCGGTTGAACTTTAACGGCTCGGTGGACGCACGTGAACCGTTTGACGCCGGAAACGAGCGGTAAAGTTTCAGCTCGCGGAGTTATTTAGGGTTTTTTTTCGCGGCATCCAAACAACTTCCGCGCTCGAGTCCCGCCTGTGGGAAGGGCCTCCGTGACGTCGAGCCAATGGGAGAGCGAGGAGCGAGCGCCGCGTGCTCACTCCGCAGAATGTAAACAGAAAGAGCACGTGGGGCTCCTGTCAAAATAAAACGCTTCTTTTCTGCTCTTTTAATTTATTATTATTATATACATTTATATTATATATTATACATTTATATTATATATTATACATTTATATTATATTATATATTATACATTTATATTATATTATATATTATACATTTATATTATATATTATAATATACATTATTATATTATTTAAATATAATATTTTATCCTCACAGATGTTACAACAGAGACATATTATATATATATTATATATACATTATTATTATATTATAGACATTAATATTATATTATATACATTTATATTATATTATATACATTATTATATTATAGACATTAATATTATATATTATACATTTATATTATATATTATAAATTTATATTATATTATATACATTTATATTATATAATATACATTAATATTTATTATATATTATACATTTTATTATATTATATATTATATTTATATTATATATTATACTTTTATTATATTATATATTATACTTTATATTTATTTATAATATAGATTATTATATTATTTAAATATAATATTTTATCCTCACAGATGTTACAACAGAGACATATTATACATATATTATATATACATTATTATTATATTATAGACATTAATATTATATAGTATACATTAATATTATATTATTTAATATTATATTATATACATTTATATTATATTATTATATTATTTAAATATAATATTTTATAGTTTTTAGCTTTAATTTTATATAAAATCGTGTTTAATTTCTTGTCTTTTTAATATAATATTATATATATATATATATAATACAAATAATCAGGCATTAATTTACAGAAGAGTGCTGTTATTATTTAATTTCTCTTATTTTAATCTGAATTTTAAAAGTTACAGAACTTACTTACAGAAAAAGTCATTATCTGTGAGATTACAGTAATTATTGCTATTTACACTGATAAAAACTGTATTTGGACAGTTTACCAATACTTATACACTGATAAACAACATTTATTCAACGTTTCTGTTGTGAAAACTTTTAATCCATTAAAATTAAACAACAAATACTTTTTACTGTTAATGTCACTAATTTTACATAATTTTAGAAATGTATTAAGAGTATTAAACTTATATTTTACAGTTTAATCTATTTAATAAACAGTAAATATCTGCGTAAAAGTTATAGATTTGCAAATTTATTTAAACCCTATGTGAAAAAAAGGAACTTTTCTTTAAATAAGCTGTAATTTTATGATTATTAACCGTTACAGATTTATTATTTTACATCAACATTTAAACATTTTTTGTAATTTTATTAATATTTCCATGTATATAAAGAATACAGAAAAAATCTGTAAAATAAACAACAAAAACATGTAAACTTACTGGGAAAGTAATATTATTAGTAGTTATAAGTAGAATATGGTCTCTGAAATATATTAAAGTGCCTTAAACCTCCAACTGAAGACTTTCAATCACCGATAAAAGTGAATAAGTCGACTTTGAGTTAATATTTGTGAAGCAGAAGAATCAGCCGGAGACACGAGAGCTGCTTATGAAAACATTTATTATCGGCTAATAAGAGATCACATGTATTAACTATTACAGTTCAAAAACAGATGACCCCACTTTTTAATTAGCTTTTTTTTTGTTTTGACATCAGAACAGAGTGAATTGATCTGTCACACATCCAAAAAAAACAAAAAAAAAACAAAGAAGGAGAACAAGTTATGTCGATAAATAAAAAGTTAACCCCTAAAACAAAATCCTACACCTTTTTATTCCTTTTTGGCAAAGTGCTGTATTATTCCAGTAAACTACACAAAACAAAAATAACAACTAACACTTGGTGAAAAATAAAAAATGCCACAAATATTCTTCACACTTTTTCTTTTTTTTCTTTTTAACAAAAAACAAACGAGGAGAGAAAAAGAGGTTTTTGCTACATCATTCTGTCTGGTTTTGTTGAATCGTTATAAAAACTGGACGTCTCCGAGTGGTGCATAGTTGGTTTCTAATGTCTGTTTGTTTTTATTTATTTATTTATTTATTTATTACGTCCGCTCGGGGACGTAGAAAGAGAGACAGAAAACAAAATAAAACAAAAAAGGGAGTTCAAGTTCTTCATTGATGCATTGTCGTTACAACATTTCAACCTGGAAGGCACGTGATCCACAAATTTCAAGGCATTGAACAAAAACATTACAAATCCCTGTTAGTTTGATGATGGAGAGATGAACTGAGAACAGAAAATAAAAACAACCAAAGGCTCCGGACAGCAGGAGGAGACGCCTCCTCCGATCCCTTCTGTCTTTAAGTTTGCCTTTTTCTTTTCTTTTTTTAACAAACAAAACAAAAACACAAAATAACGTCGTCCACGATCGCGAAAGCTCGAAAGCAGAGAAAGACATTCGAGAAATAAAAAGAGAAAGGTTAAATACACCAGAGAGAGAACCACTCAACTATGGATTATTTACAGCAAACCGTACGGACGCCTAACAAACGTTTGTTAGTGCTTTCTCAATAATGCTACCGTTCAATCAACGCGACCCACACTGCGAACTCTGTTATATATATATATATTTATTTATAAAGTTAAAATAACGAGCTGAGCGTGTTGAAATGTAAATGTAGGTTGAGATAAATCAAAATTATGAGATAGTGAAGTTAAATGTTTGCCCTTTAATGTCACAGCTGACCCTTCATAAGTCCCGCCCCTTGTTTGCTCCTATACCAACAGCCTCGGTCAACTTCCTCCTTTCCTCCTTTCCTGAACCTTTTAACCATCTTTAAAATGTGTCAACATAGATTAGTTTAGTACAGGAAGCGAGGGAGTTGACCGAGGCTAGCTCAACTGTTATTGGAGCACAGAGCGAAATGGGGCGGGGCTTAGCAAGGCTCAATTATGAGATGAGGAGTCGTAATAATAATAATGAGATAATAAGTAAAAATGAAACACGAGTCGTAATTATTAAATCATAATTTGTCATTAGCTTCTATCGGACTCAGTCTGTGTTTGTGTCCCGCAGTGTGGTGACTCGAGTCGGGCTCGACGTTCCCTACAGCAGACGCATTAAACACATTAACGTCCACCGCGTCAGAGCACCGACGCCAGCCGCTGTTAACAAACACCTAAACAGTTAAAAACAACCAATAAAAGAACATCAGTATTATAAAAGTAGTGATAGGTTAAAAGATCATTGCTACTTTTTTTTTTTTTTTGGTTTAAATATTTTAAACAGTTTAGCAAAAAATGTAACTAAAGTTAACACGGAAAATAAGAAGAGTTAAAAAGCATAAAGTACATTTTCTTAAACCATGTTAGGGTACACTTATAAAACATCGCTGACAGTTTCTCTCCATCTCGATGGGTTTCCAACAGTCGACTGAGAACGTCAAATAAAAAGGTTCATTTTCACAGTCCTGGGACCAAAAAGATTAAAACTAAAAGTCGATCATTACTCATAAACGCTGGGTGGAGAGCGGGAAAAGTCCGAGCAAAGAATCATCAGCCGTCAAGTAAATCTGCATTTTCCTAAAGAGTAAAAGGTGATTGGTTGTGACCCTGAGAAGTGGACTGCAGATTCATTTAAGAACAAACAATAATAATAATAATAATAATAATAACAACAACAAAAAGAAACAAAATCTTTTTCCATTTTCTTTTTTTCCCGCCGTCGTCACACTAACACAAACTCTACGACCATGCGACAGATTGCACACTAACATAACCAAACATACCTAAGCAAGAAAACCGTAGACGCATATAAACCAACTTCATACTGATATGTAAATTTTATTTTTTCTCTTTTCAAAAAAATATTTTGGAAGTTTTTTTTTTTAAATACATTTTTAGTTTTTTTTTTTACATTTCTATTCATTTAAAAGCTACCGTTAAAACAAGGCGTTTTAGTGATATTTAACCCAGTAATTTTTACCGTCTTTTTTTATTTTATTCCATTTTCTTTTCTTTTTTTTGTCTTTTCAAACAAAAAAAACAAAATATTGTGAAAAGTACTGAATTACAAAGTCAGAGGCGGGTTCAGCCGGCGGGGCAGGACGGGGCAGACGGAGGAACGTTCAACCAACAGGAGACAAACTTTAAAAAAGGCAGGAAAGTGAAGGAAAAATAGCGTTAAAAAAGAGCTTCTTCTGTCTTTCTTTCTAAAGCTGCAGGTAGAAATCATAAAAAGGAAGCACAGAGAAACCTAACATCAACCTAAAAGGCAAATCAGCTACAGTACAGGTTCTGGTTTCAGTCAGAACTGAATCTCTGTTCTCGGTTTACTACACACTACAGTTTCACAGACAAAAGCCCCTGAATGCAGCACGCTCACACCTGGGTCGCGATGTGGAGGAAATCTTAGTGTCTGTGAAGTTTGGAGGACTGAAAACACGAAGCAACCGACATATTCTGACTTTTACAGGTTTTCCTGCTGGCACAGGACGGCGCTCGGTTCTTCGTTCAGGTCCGGTGGAGTCTTACAAATACCACTAGGAGGCGTTAGGAGGAGCCAGAGGACGCTGACGCTTTCACAGATTATCTGCCTCATGTGCTACTATCAGGATATAAAGAAAGATTCAACAAATATGACAAATACAAATATATTTGTATAAAAATTACCGTCTGCAGCTTTAATTGCTATCTGGTTTGTCAGAATGCATTCTGGGAAAGTTTGGTGTAAAAATAGATTGCTGATTACAACACTGTCAGACTTTTTGAGGGGATCTTTCCTTTAAAGGTTTTGTCTCTCTGCCTTTCTGGGCAAAACTGTGGGGGGGGCAACTACCACAGCACTCCTGCACTGATTAAACGGCGACGTTGTGCTGCAGCACCGAACGCGTTCAAGCGATCTCGGGATCGGAAACGTCTCCGGTCGTCCTGTCGAGTCGCACCCAAAATAAAAAGCTGCCGCGACGTCCTCCAAGCATCCTGCCGCGCTGTGAACCCGCCCGCTGAGTAAAGTGACCTACAGCATTGATTCTACACATTAAGTTGTCCGTAAAGAACGAGAAGAAGAAGAAGAAGGAAGAAACAGAAAAGAAAGAAAGAGGAGAAGAATCACAGTGACGACTCTTCTCCTCTGTGATCGATCTCCAGAGTAAAACATGGATGACAGAGGAGGAGAGGGACGTGTCCTCTCCTCTCAGAATCAATATGGAGGATGAGGAGGATGAAGAGGAGGATGAGGAGGGAAGGTGAGAAACTTTTCACCCACTGGCCACATGACAAAAATCAGCCACTTTCCCTATTTCACCGTCCAATCAGCTTTCAGATCGGTGTAACTGGTGGCTGATGATGGTCGGTTGTTGCTGGTGTTGATTTATTGAGAAGATTAAAAGCAGAGGTGTGTGTGTGTGTGTGTGTGTGGGGCCAGTGTTAGTTTCCCATACTGCTTAGCGGATCGAGGTTGATGATGATGAAGATGAAGTTGCCGTGACACCTCAGAAGTTGAGGTGTCTCTGGCTGGGCTGGTGCAGGTGCGCGGTGCTGGCCTTCGGGGGGCGCAGCAGGTTGAGTCGTCGGAGGGCGTTGCGGGACAGCGGCTGGGTGCGTTGGGTGGCGTTACCCGACCGCTGCTGCAGGAGGCCGTTGCGGGCGGAGAGCGCCGCAGCGTAGCAGGCGGAGTGGAGGCTGGAGCGACGCTGGACGACGGCTACCTCCGGCCTGCGGGGGGGGGGGACAGAGACAGAGACAGAAGCAGAGAGCTGTTAGATGGAGAGACAAGCCTCACCGCACAGCACAGGACACAGCGCCCCCAACAGGAAGTTCCCCGTTGTGTGTTTCCAGCTCTTACCTGTGGCGAGGGCCGTCCAGAGTGCGTCTGCCCTTCTCCTTCCCACCGGAGGCGGTCGGGGCCGAGGGCATGTTTCCAGGCAACAAGCCCAGCTCCAGGTCGAGGGAGCGCGGCAGGGGGTCGAGGGTCAGTCTGGGGGGGCTGCGGTGGGCGTAGACGGACATGCTGGGGTGCTCGATCAGCAGGTTCTCCAGGGGGCTGGTCTCCAGGAGGACGGGCTTGCTGCCACGGCCGGTGAAGCAGGGCGGGGGGGTGACGAACCAGCTCTCCTCCAGAGAGCCGACGTCCAGACGCAGGAAGCCGCTCTCCTCTTCGTCGTCGTCGTCGTCCTCCTCCTCCTCCTCCTCCTCCTCCGCCCCGCCGTCTGGGTCGGTGTCGGCTGTGGAGTTGAGGGAGGTGCAGGAGGCGTAGCGGACTGGGGGGCTGGCCATGGGGGAGGGGATCATCACCAGGTCCTCCTCCTCCTCCTCCTCCTCTTCCTCCTCCTCTTCCTCAGGGCTGACAGTGGATCCAGAGAGGCCGTCGCCACACTGAGCGGAGCAGGCTTCAGCTGCAGGGGAGACACAGCAGAGTGGGTTTACTTTACAGAGTTTTAAGCTTTTAACGGGTTTAATTTATGTAATCTCAGCGTCAGAGAGCAAATGAAACCAAAACTCTGTAAAATATGTGTTTTTGTTATTTATGTGAATTTGAGAACATTATAAATCCATTATTGGAGCTTTAGGTTGTTTTCCAACGGGCTGCTAGTGGAGGCTTTCATCAGAGACACTGCAGGGCAATGTCTTCAGTGTGCCAGCAGGTGGCACTGTGACCTGTCTGCTCACATGTAAACAATCAGGAGAGCTCCAGGCGGCCTGACAGCTCAGCATCACATGTGCAACTGAACCCGCAGCCTGCACGCATGTTTACTGTCGGTCTGCAGGCCGGACGGCGCTGAACGATCTGCTCAACGACCGCCTGATCCTTCCACTCTGCTTCCTCCGCACGAAGCTGCAGAAACAACACGCACAACTGCACATAAATCAGCGAACCCGCAGACATCCTGCTAAAGAGTCGGCCTCTTTTTGCTTTTGATCCAAACATCAGCTTCTAATGACTCGCAGAGAGAGACAGGAAGTTCTGAGGCGGAGAGGCAACATGATCTCAAGCAGCCAGACTAAAAATAACTCAGACGTCTGTTTGATTTCAGTTCTGTTTTTTCCCCCATAAAAGCTTCTTATTGCTCAAACCCTGCTGCTTTTTATCCTTTATCCAAACACCCTGCTGACAAAAGTTTAGGAGCTTCATCTAAAGACCCCCCCCCCCGACCTCTGTGCGCTCACTGTTTACAGAATGCATTTCTTTCCATGCATGTCAGCCAGCTCATCACACGTGAACACCGTGGCATGAACAGGGCTCCGACTCCCAGGAGTTCACAGAGGAATCCGTGTTTACCCACAACAGGCCAGAGGGTGCTGACTCAGCGCCAGCCAGCTGATCTGCACGCGTCATCCTCTCGCTGTCCGATCAGCAGCTGAGCTCTTCCTCCAGAGGCTGGCGTCTGCAGGAGTTAGCGAGGACCGGCAGTGTTTTGGAGACTTTGGCCGGCGGTGTGACGGGTTAATGAGGTCGGTGTGGATTATGAACGAACCCACTGACCTTCCACTCGACTCAGAGTCAGTTCACCTTCAACCAGACCAGAGTCACAAATCTGCAACATGACGTCATTTTAGCTCAATCATTTTGGTATATTTCCCTGATCAAGACGAACGGCACACTTGTGACAGCCCTGTAGGACCGTCATCTGTGATCTGTGTGTACGCTGCGCTGCCTTCTGTAAACAGGCCCCCGGCTCGCAGGCCGCAGGGCCTCCATACAGTCCAAAACACGGACATGCATGCAGTCCTGTTGTCTGTACATTAAGGGCTCATGTGGATATCACAGCACAAGTAAACCCTTAATTCACTGAGTAACGTCTGCACTGGTTACTGTGGCTTAAATAATAAACTAAACTTCAGTATTAACAAAACTCATCTCCAAACCACAGCAGGTGGGATTGTCAAGTTCCTAATTGTGACTTTTATGGTAGTTTGTGATCACTTCCAAACTGTTCATTTATGTAACTTCTCCAATAAGTAATGCTTGTTTTACTTGTGGAAGACATTCACACAAAAGAAGATTTCCTTACGTTCAAACCTTCAGACTTCCAACCAAACATCATCCTGAGCGCTCGTTAGTCTTGTGCAGAGCTCAGCGAGACTTCACGGACAGTTGTGTAACTTTATGATGCACCTCGGAGAAACACAACACTGTATCCAGGTGTGTGTGTGTGTGTGTGTGTGTGTGTGTGATGGAGAGGGTTTAGCTGGAGGGATGTCAGAGGCGGCTCTGTGCCCATACATGTCCACCTCCACAGGCCCAGAATGGGAACTCCAGCTCCACCAGGTTCTATTTTTACCTCCTCTGGTTCCCCCGGGCGCTTTTGTTTGACCCGTTTACAGGTTGACTACCATAAACTGCCTGATGGCACCCTGCCGCCCCACCACCCGGCCTGAAGTGGACCAGCCAGCCTCTGGTCCTCCCCCTCCCCTCCCACCTGAAATATTCACACGGCTGTGGAATCGGAGACGGGTCAAGTCGAGTGAAGACCGGCGGCGGGTGAACGGTGGGCCAAACTGAAGCTGTGCTGAGAGCCACCTGGAAGTCCCTGCAGTGTGTCATGTTTCTGTATACAGTGTGTGTGTGTGTGTGTGTGTGTGTGTGTGTGTGTGTGTTTTGACTGGGATCTTTTTTTGATCTCAGAGACTCAGCTGGAAACTTGGCTCGACTTTTCGCGGCCATTAAAAGAGTCTAAAGTTATCCCGTATCTTCCTTCCTGAATCTTCCGTGTGCAGGTTTATCGTCTCTCTCTGCGTCTCCGCTCAACGTCTCCTTACTAACTTTACCCTGCAGCTTTCAGCTGATCTCACAGTCTTCATCAGCAGGTGGATTTTGCTCTGCTCATCCTTTAAATGAGCCTATTTTTTTATATTTTTAGAGACACGTTTACATGTTTTTATGCACAAATTTGAGGTAAATTCATCTTTTACTTCTGCTAATATTTATGCTCTGAAAAAGTTTCATTTATGACACTTTTGTCCAAAATTGAGTTTGATTGTTTTAACTTGAAATATTAACTCAACATGTGTGATAATAAAGCTGCACAGCCACAGAACGTGCACACAATCGGGAGGGTTTTATATCCTCTTTATGTGCAGCTGCTGCATTCACACTGTTTTGGGGTGTATTTGGAAAACAAGCAGCAGGAGACAGATTCCTTTTCCATGTATGTCACTTTATTTGGGTGATCTGCCAGAAGGAATAACGGGGAACGACAGATATCTCCGGAAAACTAAGACTGTAGCAGCAAACAAACAGATACAGACCGACCCACCTACAGCAGATAACGTCAATGTCACATTTAAGACATTTTAAGGCCTGAAATTCAGATTATTGGATTTTTAAACAGACAGTAGAAAGGTTCAGGTTTATAAACTGCTGCAGGTCAGCGAGTCGGCAGCTGATGAGCTGGAGTAAAACTGTCAGAGCGTGTTTTTACTTTGCGTCACGTCGCCACTGTGCGTGCCTTCGAGGTTTTGGGAGGATTTTATCTGAGGTTTCGTATGTGGTTACAGGTTTTACTGCTGTATGTTCTTTGAATTAAAGCGTGCTGATTGTCGTTTCTGGAGGAATTTTTTTTTGGAGGAATTTTTTTATGGATGTATTGTCCAGTGTAGAGATGAAACAGTTCATTTATTAATCAGCAACTATTTTTACAGAAAGGAATATAATAATACATTTTTTTAAAACGACTTAGAAATCAGTCATTTATTGTTTTTTTTAAATCATTTAATTTAATTTTTTTTTACCGGTTTCACCAGGTCATTGTATTCTCATGAGACTTACCCAGGTAGTTGACCAGGATCCAGTCTTCATCATCCTCTTCTTCCTCTTTGCCGTCTCCGGGTCTGCTGCTTCGACTCAGCTCCTCCACGTCGTCCCCGAACAGAGCGCTGGCAAACCTCTGGAACATCCCTGGGCGTCCTGGGGGGGCCTGAGGCTGAGGGAGGGGCTGGGGGAGGCGCGTGGCTCGGGGCGACGGCGGGGAGGCGTGGCGCACACTTTGGTCATCAGCTGCGGGGTTCACGGCGGCAGGAAGGCTCCGGAAAGGTGCTAAAGTGCATCAATAAGGTGTGGTCATGGATCATCTGAGGCTGGACATCGCTCAACGGCAGGGTCGGATCAACGAGTGCAAAAATACAAAACGAGCCCTGAGAGGAGAAAAGACAGATTTAATCAACACTCTGATAATCAATTCATCATGTCAGCCTCTCAAACGTGAATATTTCCTGGTTTCTTTAGTCCTGTGTGTCAGGAAACGTCACCTCGGTTGACGTTTTTCACCATTTTCTGGACCAAACAACGAATCAACAGACTAAGTGATCATGAAAATGATTGTTAGTTGCAGCCAATAAAGTCAATAAGACGAAGTTTGAGTAGAATCTGAAGTCCTCATTACAACTACAGGAGTCTTTCATGTGTCTGAATGTCCAATAACAAGACATTTTACCTCCAAGAGCAGTTTTTAATGTCATTTTAACAAAAATGTCTCAAAACTTCTGCTGTCAGGTCAGATGAGCATCATGTGAATTTAGTCTCACAGCAATCAAGTCCTAATTCCTCAAACTTTAAGATGCATTAATAAGGATTTTGGCCTCGCCTTATAAAGCCGTTACGGACAATATTTGCTCTCTTTTAGGTAGCGTACAGTGAGCGCTGAGAGTCAACAGCTAAACAATGAGCTGTAAACCACTATGAGGCTCAGTCATGCCGGTGGGGGCAGAATCAGGTGATAATTCTGGAGTTATTTACAGCGGAGAGGAGTCTTGAATTTGCAGCGTATGCAGAGATTTTGTTTTAAAATAGAAAATGGGTCAGACGTCGGGTCTTGATTTTGGAGGCCAAGAATCTTCGCAGCTGGGGGGCCATGTAATTATTAAGTTACCTGTAACCTTATCGACCGACCCCCACAGACACTGTAAATACTGTAAACCCTCTCCTACTGGCTCTAATCTCAGCGTAATAATCAGTTCCACTCTATGTGGGGGTGACTTTTAAATGTTTTACTCTTTCCTGCAGTGAGTGTTTGCTAAAGAAAATACAAAAACTTCCTTACAAAAAGTCCTCATGAAGATTAAAATGTGAAGATTTGCTGAATATCTGTCACCTGCAGAGCATCACGTCCACACCTCTCATGGAAAAAACAACTCTACAGCCATGTTAGGGAGTGGTCTGATACATACACCAATGTGTGTGTGTGTGTGTGTGTGATTGTGTGTGTCTCAGGCAACAGATAAGGGTGTTAATCACACACACACACACAATGAGGGCTGTACTGCTGCACACACACACACAGGCTCGGAGGTTGTAAACTCAGTCGGGATTCATTTCCTGAGCAGCAGCTGCAGTTTCCTCACTTATTGAGCTGATGGGAGGCGAGCAGAGAGAAGCCGTCCCGTCTTGTGTTTTCACTCAACGGTAAATAAAGAAAAGGACGCGCTGTGTTCAGAGGACACACAGACACAGCTGGCCGGCAGCCGCTCTGCTGCCTCTCAGTACAGTCTTTCATGCTCAGAGAGCTCCAGTAGAGGCGATCAGTGTGGCCGTCCCACTGCAGCTGCTGCGTTAAAGGGGAAGGGAAGGAGGCCTCTCCTTTGGCACAATATTGGTGGATTGAAGCCAAAGGGTGCAATCCCCGACTCGTCCTCCGACTGTCCGGCGTTCAGCAGTGAGTGAGCGCTCAGAGAAAAAGGCTTTACACTGATTTATGGCCTTTCTCCGCCCTGGGTCGGGCCTCTCAGGCGACAGCTCTCAGATTGGTGGAGCAGACTCTGCAGACACTACTGAGGGATGATAAACCGCGTAACGCCTCGACGTGTTTTTGTTGTGAAATGAATCAAAATGGTGACTCACAGTTTGACTCAGTGTTTCAACAAACCACACAGAGTTTGCAACAGTTTAATCCTGAGGCCTCTACCAGAGACAATCGGCTGGTTTTATAAAGTTATTCTTAATGTCTGTTTCCCCTTGAAATCAATGAAACGAGGAGGCAGAGAAACACTACCGCTTTTGTCCACAGGGGGCCGCCAGAATCAACACAACAGAGTTCCTTATAGCGGCTTTAAGTGGAGTTAATAATTAATAACAACAAACTACCTAATCACAATGTAAAGACTGGTGTGTGCATACAGGTATGATATAAATAGTGTTACAAACTATAAACAGTGTAGTGCGAGTAAAACTCATTGTTCTTATTAAGATTAAAGGAACAATGATGTCCCCTTTTTTATATACATCTTTTTACATTTTTTATTTTAAAACTGTGATAAAAAAGATAAAATAATACTAATAAACTGCACTTTCCATGAAAAAGCATAAAGAGGCGACACAAAAGCAACTGTGCACGAATAAAACAACTAAAGGAAGTAGAGTAACAGGTATGAATCACTTATATATTATATTATAACTATATCATTAATAGTATAATTAGTCACTGTAAACATTACAACCTGATGTCACACCTTATTTTCAGACTGATGTAAACAAACCTCTAAAAAATATATTTTGAGTCGGTGTGTATTAAAAGGCTTGTCAATCCCTTTGGGAGACACAGCAGATGTTATTAATGCTAGCTGCTAAAATAACCACCACCAGGAGGCTAACGTCTATTGTTTATCTGAAAACCGACAGAAACCCAAACGTCGGATTTTTGTGAACGCGTCCTCCGTTGTGAACGAATGTTCCGCGGCTGTGATGCGTTCAGTTCCTCTGCTTCCAGTTCGTTTTTCTGCGTTCTCATATTCATTACAAGCTGAAAAGAGGGAGGGGGAAAAAAAGAAAGAAAGCGGTTTTCTTTTTCTTTTTTCTCTGCCTCAGTAAACAGCTGTGACCGCGGGACGGACCGAAACACAGAAAACGGTATCACAACAACAACAACAACAACAACAGCAGCAGCAGGCTGATAATCTGCTGCACCTGTTCCTCCTCCACCCTGCACACACATTTCATAGCACACTGAATATCAGACCATGATCACAATCACACAAAGGGAAGCTCCTCTGGGTCACTGAGTCACCGCAACTCACGCATCTGTTACATCATACCCGCATTATTTATTCAAACGCGGTTAAAACCCGTAAATCTGATGTGAATAAGCTGCAGGATCACACACACACACACACACACACACACACACACACACACACACACACACATATATAAACACAGGTCCCATAATGAGGATGAAGCCACATTACTGTGCTGGAGCTCATACAGCTGCTCACACAGCTACAGGACAGTAAACTGTATTAATTGTGTGTTTTTGTTGACATTGCAGGTTGCAACAGTAACTATCTCTATAATTAATCGATCAATCTATCCTATAACATATCAGAAATAAATGAAGGAATGTCTTCAGATGTTTTGTCAAGAGTCGAAATCAACTTAAAAATCATATTTGGGATAAATTCTCAAATTAAACATAAAAAAACAGAAAGTAGTGAAATATGTAAATAATAAAGTTTCTGAAATCCAATATGATCTCTTCAGGTTTCTTACATTGTTTAACAAACAGTTCAAAAACCGACACATCTCTATTTAAAACGGTGATGAAAAAAAAAGCGAATCCTCACTTGGAAAAAGCTGAAAACAAAGAATAATTGACGTTTTTTCTTGATAAATGACCAACTATCTAAAAGGTTATTGATTCTCTGTAGAGTCGATGTACTAATAGACTAATCGGCGCTAATGTGATTTAACAACCAGTAAAACAACAAGCCGAACTGGTCCGGTATTAGTCCGGTATTAGTCCGGAGCAGCAGCAGGGTTTGTCGGTTACAAAAGGGGAAGGGGAGGAGGCTGTAACCCTACACCGGCCGGACAGATCCCGAGGGCCCTGAACTACAGACATATATCAGGAAAACATTCCCACAGCATGCTGGGAACTTATTCTTATTAAAAACAACAAACCAAAAAAAACCCAACCGAGTTCCTGCAGAGCCACAGCTAACGTTAGCCTAGCCACATGAAGCTGAACACCGCAGAGTAACGCAACAAAACAAACAAACAAACAAAACAATGCAACGCAACAAAGGCCACAGCAACGTCTGTGTCCCGGTGGAGGAAGGGGCTCTGCTGTAAAACAGACCATAATAAGAGGAGGAAGAGGCACCGGAGCCGTTAACGGACACCGAGAGGAAAACAAAGAGCTCACCTGCGGCAGAGAGAGAGAGAGAGAGAGAGGGAGGGAGGGAGGGAGGGAGGATGTAAACGGGTTAAAATCCTTTAAACTGAGGTAGATGGATCCTTTTCGATAAAATAGAAAAACTTGCGGTTTCTTCTCGGAAGAAATAAAATATAAAAAGAGTTAATTTAAGGATTGTTCATCGGGAGTCACAGTGTGCTTCAGCTTCTACTCCTTTTTCTTCTTTCTCCCCCTTTCAGTCCGTTTCCTCCTCCGTCCCCCGACTGCTGCTCCTTCTTTTGTTGTTGTTGTGGCGCTCCAACAGCTGATCGCGGGTGACGTCGCCGGCCGGCAGCCAATAGGAAGGCTTCAGGGGCCAGGAGCGGCTCGGGCCAATCACAGCGCGCGTTACAAGCTGTCACCAACCCACGTGACCTCTCCTCCCTCCTCCCTCCTGGAAAAAAGAAAAAGACATGACTGGGCAAAGCACACACACACTCACACACTCTCAAACACACACTCACACACACACACTCACACACACACACACTCTCACACACACACACACACACACACACACACACACACACACACACACACACTCACACACACACACACACTCACACACACTCTCACACACACACACACACACACACACACACACACACACACACACTCACACACACTCACACACACACACACACACACACTCTCACACACACACACACACACACACACACACACTCACGCACACTCACGCACACACACACACACACATACACACTCACACACACTCACGCACACAGACACACACTACACACACTCACACACACACACACACACACACACACACACACTCACTCACACACACACTCTCACACACACACACTCACACACACACACACACACACACACACACACACACACACACACACACACACACACACACTGTAAATGTAAACAGTCAGCTGTTTATTAAAGTCATAAAACAATAAGTGCAGAAATAAAAATAAAAACTTTTTACAGACTTTTAGTGTTGTTTGGGGTCAAATACGACGCGAGGGGTCTTCAGTTAGTTGCTAAATCTGCTCGATGCTACTCACTCCTCCACGCTCGGTCCGTTCAGCGACACGTCACACACACGTTATTGTCTCAACACGAGAGGGTTTGATTCAATGTTTAAAAAATGCTTCTGGTTTCATTATTTAGTGAACGCAAAGAAAGAACGTTTGTGTTTGAGAACGCAGCTTGTTCATCAGTGGGGGGGGGCTGTATGTTTAATGCACCTGAACAGGTGTTCACAGAGGAGAGGGTCTCCTGCAGCCGTCTACTGCACGAGGCTACAACCAGATAATGGGTCAGTGGTGGGGCCTCAGAGGGGGGACCCCCTCTCCCCCTCTCTCCCCTCTCCCCTCTCTCCTCTCCCTCTCTCCCCCTCTCCCCTCCCCTCCCCTCTCCCCTCTCTCCTCTCCCCTCCCCTCCCCCCTCCTCCCCCTCCCCCCCTCCCCCTCTCCCCTCCCCCTCACCCCTCTCCCTCCCCTCACCTCTCCTCTCCCCTCTCCCCTCCCCTTCTCCCCTCTCCTCTCTCCCTCACCCTTCTCCCTCCCCCCCCTCCCCCTCCCTCTCCCCTCACCCCTCTCCCCTCCCCCTCCCTTCCCCCCCCCCTCCCTCTCACCCCTCACCCTCCCTCCCCCTCTCCCCCCCTCCCCCTCCCCCTCCCCCTCTCCCCACCCCTCCCTCTCTCCTCACCTCACCCTCTCCTCTCCCCTCTCCTCTCCCCTCTCCCCTCACCCCTCCCCCTCCCCTCCCCTCTCTCCCTCTCCCCCTCCCCTCCCCCTCCCCCCCCCCCCTCTCCCCTCACCCGCTGCCCTCCATTCAGCCCATAATCTGGAGGAAAGGCCGTAAGCTTCAGACAAAGGTTGTCCTGCTGTTGTGTCTCAAAGCCTCAATATTTTCTGTTCTTTGTTATTAAAATGTTAAAAAAACGGTTGTTATATACATTTAATTATTCATTCAAACACTAAATGTTTTTATTCTGTTTAACATCTCAAACTGTTCATTTTAATGCAAACAATAAAGATCTGCGTGCCGTGACCTTTGACCTCCCCTAAGCGTTAAAGCGTCTTTAGGTGGCTGTCAGGTAATAACCATACGTCATACAACAGGAGAGGCAGACGGACAGATTCCTGCCTCAGCTCGTTGACTTTAATGACCACAGACTGGTTGGCTCCGCCTCCAACGACTTACTCAGACACGCTGTATGTGGAGGGACAGGACGAGGACGCGGGAAACTTATCCTCTAATATTTATTCAACCTATATAGAAAGAAATCAACGGCGTCCAGGTATAAGAGAGTAAGACATTAAACACACGGAGAAATCAGCGGAGACACGTTGTTTACGGAGGCTTCCTCCAGCTGATGGCGTGTAAGAAAACTTTATAAATATATATTATAAATATTTCTGTGAAGAAAAATGTTAAAAAAAACCCACAAAAGTTCCTCCAAATATCAGGAAAACTCGTCTCTGATCAACATTGACAGGAAATAATCTGCTTCCTGTTGCTGATGTGTTTATTACGTATATAATACGTCTTCGTCAGTTTACTCGAGGTCGAATCTCCGGTTCTGACTTCGAGAAAATAGATCCGTGGGTCCCGGGATGGTAGCGAGAGCGGACAAACCTCCATGCACAGCGCGGCTCTTAGGTTTCCGACGAATGCAGACTACCGCCACCTGCTGGTACAGAGAGTCACTGCCTCTGGCGCCGAACGTACGCGCTGGTTGGTCGCTGTCCTGACTTAGCATTTATCTCACAGCACCGCTCACAGAGCTTCTAGTATGGATCCTGTAAGTCATTATAATGAGAAAATGTCTCAATATTTGTACTTAACATCTTAAAAATATGACAAAGTATCTTGAATTTGAGTAAAAATGAGAACATTTCTCAATATTTTAACAATTATACTGACTAACAGAATCCCTTTTCCCCGTCGCATTGGCAGAAATGTTGTTTCTTGTTTTGAGGCGTGACTTTGACTCTTCTAAAGCTTCATTTAAAGCCCACACAGAGCAGATATTTTCTCATTGTACCCGAGCAAACACGCTACGAGGTTTTTCAGCCCACTTGGCAGCGACAACAACGCGAGGTCGTTGACCCCCGCGGTGCTCAGAGAGGACAGGATTGTGCAACGCGGACTGTAAACATTAGCCAGATTATGTAAAGCTGAAGGAAGGTGCATTGTTGTGATGAATGTGTAACACTGATCCGCTTATTATGTGGGTAAGGGGGACATTTTGTACGACACACACACACACACACACACACACACAGAGTGAGCACCTTGTGTGTGTCATTACTGATTTCTAATGAGGAAGATGTGACTTCAGTGTCTATCAGCAGGACACAAACAACCTTTTTAGAGCCACGACCTCCACAGAATATTCAGGAATTACAGGAACAGGGTCCACGAGCTCCAAAAGAGAGGGGATTTTAGGATTGATGCAGCCTTAAATGTTTAGTAGGGACATTTTGTCTTAATGTCTAATGTAAAATAACATGAAAAATGAACTGTAAATAATCATAAAATTACTGGTTATTTAAAGAAAACGTCCTTTTTTCACATTATTTCACAGATATTAACAGTTTATTTAATAAATTAACCTGTTAAATTCAAGTTTAATATTGTACATGTATGACATTATGTCAAATTAGTGACAATTAACAGTAAAAAAAAGCATTTATTGTGTAATTTCATATGGATTTGTTTGTTACCTGACAGATATTTTGTATAATTATGGAAGTTTTCTAAACAGAAGCGTTGAATAAATGTTGTTTATCAGTGTATAAGCATTGGTAAACTGTCCAAATACAGTTGTTATCAGTGTAAACAGCAATAATTACTGTAATTTCACAGATAATGACTTTATTACAGTTCTATAACTTTTAAAATCCAATAACAGCACTCTGCTGTAAATGTAAGTCTGATTATTTGTTTTATAGCAGAGTTCACCTGGATTTATAGCTCATTGGTTTTACACTGTAAATATCTTTACTGTTTACATACAGTTTGTATGTGATGTGAATGTTTTCCTGTTACGGCGTCGGACGGCGGGGTCAGAGTGCAGCGGCGGTGATGTAACACAGAAAGGGAGCAGTGAAGGACTTCTTATCGCTGTTGTTTGTGATGTCAGAACAGTACAGGTGTGACCTTGTTATTTCGGGAATGGAAAGATCTGGAGTAACATGTTGTCCCTGTGGCCTGCTTCTGTGTGTGTGTGTGTGTGTGTGTGTGTGTGTTTTTCCACATGGATGTGTAACATGTGTTTGTGTGTTGGAAATATTCACACTTTTAGAAGCTGAGGAAGGACAAAACATTCCTCTTCCTACATTAAGATCAATATCTATTAAGACAGTATAAAACATTAAAACTAAACAAAGAATACAGGAAAAAGTTAAATGAACTGTATCATACAGTGTATATCAGCGGTTCCCAACCTTTTATCTTAAAGGAAACCTTTTCTATCAGTGAATAAACTGATAAACTGTACAATGAACCCAGATAATAACAATAACAATAACTGTATAATTTCCTGTGAATATTGATCATGGATGAGTTGATATTTTAAGGAATCTTTTATAAAATGTTCTGTCTGTATTTTTTAACTCTTTAACAATCACACAGAGACTGAAGCTCTGTGAATACAGACTGTGTTCAGGTCTTCAGAGTTTAGATCTTATGTAATGATTTCAACTTTTTACAACTATTTATTGTTATTCATTTAGTTTTCCCCACAGAGACCTGACTGTGCACTTCAAGAGTTAAAATAATAAAAACTGAATCTTCTTGCATTGTTCTGAATGTTTCAATGTTCATAAATAAAAGGTATATTATATTATATATATATAATTCACTCGCAGAGGCAGTTGAATCTTGTACTATTGAACAATAAGTTTAAGGAACTGTGAGTATTAGTGTGTATGTTAATGGCCCCACCCTCGGCTCCATTTATCAAACCCAGTTGTAGAGACGCAGCATGTTTCACACTCTGCTGTGGGAGCTTAAAACACTGCAGGCTGTTGGGAACAAGGCAAATATAAAAGACAAGATAGTTAAGGTCATAAAAGGAGACAACAGAGGGAGGGAACTTTTAAAATGTGTAAACAGACCCGTCAGAAAGAAGAACTGATGAAACTCTGAATAATGTTTCATTATTGTTTCTATTTCTGCACCTGCTGAACAATATTTACATCCAACAGCTTCAGAGTGATTGGATGATTATAAATGATCATATCATATAATATATTATTGTGTCTCTGGGGTCGTGAACGCTCGCGAGCCTCCTGGGAGCTTTTTTTTTTTTTACAGTTATCTCCTCCGGCTGTCGACGGTTGCCGCGGCGACGTCAGTCAGGAGTTCAGCGACCGTTGATCAGGACGTAAACATGCAGAGAGGAATGTGGGCCGAGTGTAACACACTGACCTCTGCGGTGTGAGAGTTCACAGCTCTACAACCGGGAGGATCAGTGACACACACACACACACACACACACACACACACACACACACACACACACACACACACACAGAATAAATAACTTCCAACTTCACTGAAATTGATCCTGACTAATCGATACGATGGATGATTGATAACATTAACAGTTACTGACTAATTAACTGCCTACAAACTGGCTCCTCTTCCTCCTCTTCCTCTCCTGTCGCTGCCTGAACCCGCCGAGTCTTCATCCCCAGAGTCAGAGTCCTGGTCGGAGCCGCCGTCCTTCCAGCTCCCAGTCCGCATACAGACAGCTTATGGGACCGTTAACTAGCTAGTGTTTCTAAACTGCTCGTTTCATTGATTTCAAGGGGAATCCGACCTGGTGGCAGACGTTAAGAATAAGTATAGAAACAGCCAATCTTCTCACTGATGGTCTTGTTTCTGTAGGTCATATAGAGGAATCAGTATTAGACCAGTTAAAAACACTTTGTAATGCGTTTAAATAAAGGATCTGAATCTGTTGTATTGATCATAGAGTCCTAATCACAAACCTTTGGCCTTGGAGCTACTAAAACAGACAGAGGAAATGTTGTCTTTCTCTCGACTGACTGAATTCAAGCTGCTTGTTCTTCACTGGCGAGGAAACTACACGGCTACAGGAGGGTGGAGGACTGTTAGATGCTCAGATAGAGTTTGGGTGGAGTGTCACTTTAACCCACGATTGACAAACAAGACCACAAACAAGTGAACACACCCGGGAGACGTGAGAGGCGAGAAGAGTTCGATGAGCTGATATCAGACACGAGCTCATTACGCTGCAGAGGATCCAGAAAGCAACGCTGAAGTCTGCAGGAAGAAATGTGAAAGTGACATCCTCCTCCTGAGTTGCATCAGCTGAGGCCGGCATAGCGGGAGGCGGGACGAAACCGCCAGAGAGCCAGCAGGTCATTGGCTCTCAACGTCCCGTCAGTTGCCTCAGTGAACCCTGCTTGGCTGCCCTCCAGCCCCTCAGCTCATAAAGCCAGTTAATAATAGAGGTGAAGTCATAAAACACAGCCCCGGCTTCCTTTCTCCATCAAAATAACTGCAGGAAGAAAGTGAGTCACTGTTAGGAAAATAAGAGTCTGAGAGCACGTGAAGAGATCCACCACTTTTAAATGTCCTGTGATTAAATAACAAATTGTTTTCCAGGACATTTTCCAGGAGTTTTTTTTCTTCTCAAAACGCTGGTCATCATTTAAGGAAGTGTGTGTGTTTCCCAAATTAAATAAGATTGGCAATAAACCCGATTCTGAGGCGGAGAAGAAGACAGACCGGAGGATCATGTTACATTATAATCACCTCAGTTTGAATTCCACACCGCTGCCAAAACAAACCTCAAACCAGCCGGAACGACAGATCACAAACAGGTCGCTCCTTCTGGTGACAAATTTTTAAGTTCACTCACAGCCGATACAAACAGGGTGTTACTGAGGAAGAGGAAGAGGAGGCAGCAGAGAGAGTCACAACCTTATTGAACGTGCAGCATCTCTGGGTTCAATAAATAAACTTTGTTTCTTCACATACATTCAACACTGCTCCACTTACAGACCATAGACTCCTTTATTATTAACTAATGACTAACTTCATTCACATTCACCCGTCAATCAATCTTCAACTTTTAGCAACACAAAGCGAAGTAGAGTTTTTACAGGAAGGGCAGAAGCAAACAGCTCTCTGATTTCAGTTTCAGGTGGACTGTGTGGTCTCCCTCTTTGCTAGCTCACTGAGCCTCGGCTGTGATGAAATGGGGGCTCGTCCTGGACCACAAGGCTTACGTCTCTGAGCAGCACGCGGCAGAGAATCCATCCCAACAGGTTTCATCGTACAGATATTTAGTGTCGGTGTTTCAAAGAAGACGGCTAACCTGATTCTTCGGCTGCTTGGAACGACGCTCACATTCCTGCTCTGGCTCACATATCTGACCCGCAGGCAAACACAGACAGCTGAATACTTCCCTGTGTGTTTGTTTACATCCAGCCTGTCAGTCAGTCGGGAGGGAAGAACGTATGTTGCGTCTGAGAAACATAAAAGGATGTTTTGAAGCCTGGAGGTTTGGTTTTAAAGCTCGCTGACATCTTTTGTTAGCTCCTGTAATTTATGGAGGAATGTGCTACTAACAGGGCTCCAACTCTTTTTAAGAAATAATTTTCCAGGAGTTTCTTTGTTTGAGCTCTAGGCTATTAAAAGAAGTAGAAATACGCTGTTTGTGTGTTTATTAACCACCAACTTTCATGAGTTCTGCTCGCAGCTTCAGCAAAAACAGACTTGACGACAAAAAAGATTGATGCAAGTTTGTTCCACGTCTGGTAAACCCGTTTTAAAGACCTCGTAGGTTCAACAGTTGAGTTTCGAACTAAATATGATCTGAGGCCAAAGATCAGAGCGAGGGGCTAAAATACAATAACACAATTCCAGGACTGCATGGATCATTTCCAGGATATTTGGTCATTTTAATCAATTTCCAGGCGTTTCCATGACTGGAAAACAAGTTATTTAGAGGAATAATTCAACATTTTGATTAACACATTACGACAATTACAATACGATTATGTCCTTATTTGGCAGGGCTCAACAATAAGGACTTCCCAATTGCCGGGTGCAAGTAAAATGCCACTTCGGGATAGCACATGTAGTAGTAGTAGTAGTAAGTTCACTGTTCTCGGTTTAGAAATGCACAAGTCAGTGAGCTGAAGGGCAAGGAAACAGGAGTTTAGCTGGGTGGCGTTAAGAGGATCTGGGCGAAACTCCAACTATGCGTTGGATAAAATGAGGTTGTTTTTCAGGCACATCAAGTTTCTGAAAAAATATCTTGTTTGCGTGGCAGCTAATGAAACAAGTTTTATAGGGGAAAGCAACGTTTGACCCTGTTTGTTACACATTATTTATGTCTCAATATGAAGCTACAGCCAGCAGTTAGCTTCACTCAGCACAAAGCACGGGAAAGGAAACAAAATCCACCTACCAGCACGTCTTAAGCTCAATAATTAACTCATTGTATCATGTTTTCTTTAATTAGCATTACTATTTCTGTCTAAATCTGGCACATTTGCGTCATTATTGATGTTAATTAATGTGTGTGACTAAAATAATAATTAGTAAATAACATTTTCTTGGCACAGTCACTTCCTTAAATACAAAACCACAACATTATGCTCATTGATACCATGTTTATTAATGAGCTTTACAAGTGCTGGCAGGCAGATTTAGCTACTTTTCCAGTACATGACATGAGAGTGGTATCGATGTTCTCATCTCACTCTTGGGAAGAAAGCGAGTATGTTCCCTAAAATGTCGAATTATTCCTTTAAAACTGTAGGGTACTTCCAGAGACACCAGATATTGTCGTACAGTGTAAAAAAACATGTTTTCTAAATGTATAAACTTAAGTTTGTCACCTCCCATCAGCAGAGTTTAACTCACCAAACATCCAAGTGACAGGAAACTCAGAGTAAAAAATACCCACAAAAGTGAAACTAGAACAACAGGTGTTTTTCACATTAACTGGTCGGAGCGAGGAGCGTGCAGCTCGAGGTGGAGGTCAGAGGTCAAGTGAATGCCCCAGTGAACTGATAGTGGACAGAAATGCTCCTAAAGGTGCAGTGACCTGCGGGTGAAACCTCAACCTCAGCTGACCTGCAGACTGGATGACTCTGCACATAAACATAAACTGAGAAAATGTCTGATGCTGCAACAACTCGGTGACCTGCTGCTGGGCGGAAAAAAAACAAAGAGACAGAATAAGTGAGTCAGCGAGGCAGAAAAGATGCTTATTTTCTTCTCACACTGACAAATGTTTCTAAAAAAAATACAGAAATGACGTCAGAAACCTTTAAATCCACAACAGAGACACCAAACCAGCAGTTATATGTGTGTTTGTGAGCCAAGTGAGTCAAAATGAGCCAGAACTTGTTTTGCTTTAACTGAATGGAGATTGTAATCTGCGTCGTTTTAGTTTTAAATTGATTTTACAAGCTTTCAGCATTACAAAGTTAAAGCACATTATTGCACAACGGTGGTTTGTGCTATGGCTCAATAAAAAGGTCAGTTCTTAAAGGGGCTAATAATTTTGACCCTGGTAGTTTTTGTTTTTTGTGAAATAATTTTGTTTCTGTGTGCAAAGTAAAATAATGTAAGCATCCAAAATGAAACTAGGATGTTTGAAAAAGCTGTGTTAAAAATTGTTTGCTTTGTTTAATTGCAATTGGGAAATACTTTTTAAAAAAGGAAGTTTTCATAGCTAATAACATGGCAACAGACGAGCTTTATGAACATTGATTCTCTCACTGATCAACTACAATCAGAGACAGATTCATCTTTCAGTGGTCAAAACCTGATATTTAAATTTATTTGTGTTTAAAACAGGCACAAAGAGCCAGTGACATCTCAGCAGTTTGATGACATTCACAAATGACATTATAAAAGAACAACAGTAAGAAATCCTGATGAGATTCAAAGTTTGGCACATTTTTTACAGAGAAGCTGAAACTGAATACCTGTTGCAACATTAATCTCGTGGTTATTTTTACATTCAGACATGAAGCTCAGTGCGGTATGACAAAAAACATCTAAAAAAAAAAAAAATGTTAAGAAATTCTCTGATAAAAAAAGTTTTGAACACCAGGAGCTTCCTGCTTTTAAAAAGTGTTCAAAGTTCATCTGATTATGTGGCAACAAGTAGAAACTCCACCAGGAGCCGGTATCATGAGCAAACACTCAATATGATGGGATGTAAAAAAATATGATATATATATTATTATACATGGTTGTCTTTATTTAAGATGTTAAGAAGTTTTTGGTGCTTTTTGTTGACAAACCAACTACATATGGTTGTAGTATTAAAGAAACTGCAGCATTAATTAGGTTGGGTGGTGAATCATCTTTCTGTTTGTTACGTAGTTTCTTCGGGTGTTATTTTCATGTATTAATCACATTTTATTGTAAAGTAATTTATGCTCCTGAGCTCCCTCACGCTTCACTTTCCTGCAGTATCAACAATGTGCTAATGTTAGCTTATAAACGAAGTCCACTAACGTCCACAAACGGCCGAGAACCCGCCACAACACAGAGTCCTGAGTCAAAGCTAACGTTACTGTAAAGCTTGTGAAAGATACTGTCATACTGTGGTTAATGTTAGTTCTCATTCGTCAGAAATCAGACGAAGCGAACCGGCTTCGTGATCGCCAAAGATCGCTGGATAACACATTAATCTCGCTTCGTGATACAGGCACCTGGTGTGAGTTCAAAGTTCATCATGACAACGAGTTACTGGAGCTGGGATTCAAACATCCGGATCGCTGAGAGACAAATAAAGCTTGGACCTCTTTTCCTTTCATGATCGGTTTTAAAAAGGTCTGAACTGTAAACGAAAAAGGTGAAAATCTGATTAGCTGCAGACAGAAAAAACGAATGGAGCAAAACTCTTGTGCTTTCGTCCTTTTATCTTTTTCCTTCAGCAGGACAGTCGGTTCAATAATCAGCTGTTTGTCTTTGTGCAATAACAGAGCGTCCTCACTCGTCGTCCTCGGTCCTCCCGACAGCTACGACCTCCCCGACGGAGACCAGATTTCATCCTGAGAGTCCGAGTCGTCCAATCCGAAACCTCCTTTCCCGCCGTCTGCTCTGGCGCGTGAAGCGGCGCCGTTGATGTCGTTCAGCGGCACGTAGGAGTAGTCTCGATGTTCGGGGAGGCGAGCCGCCACCGAGCCGCGACAGACCTGCACGAGGTGAACCAGCAGGCTGACCGACAGCAGCGAGGCCAGAGTGAAGGTGATTATCAGCCACGTTCGCCTGAGGAGAGACGGACGAGGTTACAGCTCCGTGAGCAAAACCAAAAACATACAAAGACGGACGTGCATCCGTACTGAAAGGCATTGTAAAGAGACCAATACGGAAACCAAGTGAGTCAGTGATTAAGTAATCAGGTTATTGGAAGGACAGAGTCAGAGTCCTGGTCGGGTACAGACAGCATTAGCATATGCAACAGCGCACCGTTAAGTGACTTCCTGTGGATTTATACATGCCGTCTCTTTGTTTCGATATCGGCGTTACATATCGCTCACCCTGATTTCTAAATATCTGCGACTACACATATTTTTTACACTGTGTTCAGGCTCGTATATAATAAAACATCCGTACATTTGAACACAGATACAACAGAACATCTGTGGTCTCACCACAAACAACTGGTTTCAGTTCAAATGTTTGGTCAAATAAGGGTTAAAACCACCAAACCACCCTTCTTTTCCTCCATCTGTGACCAGAGTACCCGTTCACAAAGCGCTCTGCAGAAACCATAGCAACAACTAACAATTCCTCACTTGCATGTGAAAGGTAAGGAGGCTAATGAATGCGTCCCGTCCTCAGAGCGCCCGCCTTGTTTTCATGTAAAGGAGAGACGAGAAGCCAAAATCAGAGCGGAGGACACGACTGATCATTCCTCGTTAAATATCTCACGTCACACGGATTTCTCGTCCTTCCTTCCTTCATTTGACATCTCTTCCGTTCATCTTGAATTGGTTTTAACTTAAAGCCACACTGAGAGAAGAACAGAACCTCCTCACACAATGTGTGTTTAACAGAGGTTTAACATTTGGCTGGCAGATGGGAGGATTTCACACCTCGACACATTTTCTGAGAGAGAGAAACCTTTGTGTCGACCAACCAGTGATTATACAACAAAAAAATAGACAAATAAACCTTTCTAGTCTTTTCTAAAACATCTCAAAATGAGAGAACTGTGACCATTTTTAAAGGAGATGGTTTATTAAACGAGAGATGGACAGCGGGGTTCACGTGACTCGACCTTTGACACTTACTCTGTCAGATGAGGCTGCTCTCGGTGAGCTTCTTCGTCTCTTCTCCAAGATGTAAACATCTGTTTGGCCAGACAATGTCCAGCTGTGGAGAGAGAAAGGAGAAGAGGACTGTTTGTTATTAAGAGTTAAAAAAAGAAACATCAGCTCATTAATGCGAGATCAATATTTATATGAACTCTTTGGTAAAGAAAAAAGAAGTGTGTCAATGTAGAGTTCCTGACCCAGTATTGATGTATTCTTGAAATAATTTAATAAATGATCTCAAAGGATAATGGCCAACAAAGCTTCAGGGACACATAATAAGCCTATTAAGTCTGTTTGATTGTTAAAAATGATAAAAATACATAATACACACAGAGAATTGAATATTCCTGCAGTTACTGAGCTCACTATTTGGGTTAATTGCACAGTTTTGAATATTAATACGAAACATCCATAAAATATGTCACTTAAGCGAGGGGTCTTCAGTTTGATAGAAGCACTGTTACAGTGCGTATGGAGCTGAGCAGTCCTGGAGAGCATCATAAGATATATATAGATCTATCTATAGATCTATATATTACAATACAAACACTGACTCACAGTCTCAGTACTCAATGCACCAATGATTCTTCATGCTTGTTGAATAAGACTAAAACTAAAGACATTTCCTGTATATTTAGTTAATTTAGTTCACAATATCGCTTCAGTTCAAGTCTAGTTTTTATTTTAGTTTTAGTAAACTATAATCCCCTCAGCCCTCAACCTTCCCAGCATGTAGGAGAAGCTACGGTGTACCTGTAAAGATCCACTCTGGGTTATATTCAGGTAATGAAAACATACTGATGATGAATATTAGATTACATTTCTGACAATAGATCCTCCTCAATGTTAAACACTTTAAAGCCCTTTAAATTATCACCCGCCTGTTTGTGTCTCAGTCAAAATTCAAACCAGAACGAGGAGATAAATCCAATTCAGCTTAATTTAATATGAATTATGGGTGAAATACGAAACAAAAACAGGTACATTTACCATCCAATAGTCATTTAAAGACAATTATTGGTAATTTGAGGGAAAGAACTGATTTAAAGGAACAGTTGAACATGTTTGGAAATATGCTTATTTGCTTTCGAGGAAACAAATGATGCGTGTGTGTTAAGTACAGAGCTGAACCCCGGAGGCAATCAGCAAAATGACATGTTAATGAGTGAACTTTAAAAGCTCTGGTAGGTTTACATCTACATCCAGTCTCTCTGAGTCTTTATAGAGTTTGTGGGAGCTGAAACATTTCCAGTCCTCCCAGTTGAGTCGATACAGCTCTGTTTGGACAGACGCCAACAAAGACTGGACTGTTTTAACTTCTGCTCAATGCAAACAGTCAAACATTTACTAAACGTGAGCACACACAGACACACACACACACACACACACACACACACACACACACAGACACACACACACACACACACACACACTGTGATAAACACTCTTTGTCAGTGTCTCCCTCTCAGTCTCGAAGTGGTGGAGATATATTTGTGTCAGAATCGGTGCGTACAGATGATTGATTGGAGGTTACAACTGGTGAGGATCATGTTCAATATCAGATCAATAACACACCAATAATCTCTAATAAGTGTATGATGTAAACGAGGAAGAGGAAGAGGAAGTTGGGAGGCTGCAGGGAGATAATCAGCTGTATGTAAACTGTGTATGTGTGTGTGTACCTCTGTGTAAGGTGTAGTTGGTCTCTTTTCTCAGCGTGGCGTTACAGCTTCCTGTCTGGGGGTCACATGGACACAGGTCGTCACAGCGACACTCCTGAGCGCAGGACGGACCGAAGAAACCCAGAGGACACGCTGACACACAGACACACAGGGAGTAAGTCAAATCTTCTAAAAACGAACCGGCTCAGATGCTGCAGCGCGAAGCAGAGCTACCTTGGTCACACGTGTTGCCGTGGAAACCAGAGGGGCAGGTGCAGCGTCCGTGGACGGGGTCGCAGGAACCGCCGTTGACACAGGCGCAGGTTTGGTTGCAGGCGTCGCCATAGAAACCTGGAAGGCACTCTTCAAACAAGAGAAGAAATCGACGTTAAAGGAACTCCATCCACTAAAAAGGCTAACACTAAAGGCTAACGTGTGTGTGTGTGTGTGTGTGTGTGTGTGTGTGTGTGTGTGTGTGTGTGTGTGTGTCTCCTGATTACCTCGGCTGCAGTTGTTTCCTCTCCATCCAGCATCACAGACACAGCCCTCTGCGACAGTGCAGACAAACAGTGAGTCATTCTAAGGTAATAAAAACACAACAATTCCTATATTCAGGTGATTATACACTAAATCCTAAATGTTACTGAACCTTTAATATATTGCTGGGTGGTTTAAGAAGAGCTTTATTGTGCTTTGTTTCAAGCAGGTAAACCATCTGATTTTAAAAACAAAGCTTAAAGTTTCATTCTTGATGTCGGGAAGTCCGTCGTAAACTGTTTAAAGCTCTGGTACATAAGTGAGAAAGTGAACCCTGAGTTATTTTAAGTGATGAATGATATATTGCATTACAGGAAGCAGCACATGTAACAGGTATTTTAGTCTTCTTCCTTTTGTTATTCATCTTCCTGCAGTTTAACTGTGTCTGCGTTTCCTCCTAAACTAAACTAAATATTACAAACCCCTCTGAGTAGTCCCGAACCTCCTCCGAGACCTTCCCGGTTGTATAAAGTGAACAAATAAAAACACAGAAAGTCAAATAAATGAGATTCAGCTGAGCTCCGCCTCCACACTCACTGGCAGTGCAGACGCCGTGGGGGCCGCAGGTCGGCGGCTGACACACCAGAGAGTCACAGGCGGCGCCCCGCCAGCCCTCCTGACACCGACAGCGTCCGTCCACGCAGTCTCCGTGTCCGCTGCAGTTCGCCGGCTGGCAGCGCCGCGGGTGAACGCACAGGATGGTGGAGACGTTCCGGCCACAGCGCCACCTGCTGTCCGATTCACTGTGAGGGGGAGGGAGGGGGGTGGCGTTTATTTGTTTGTTTGGTGTTTTAAGGCGAGGAAGGCGACATCAGATCTGTGTGCGGTGATCAGGTGATGTGTCATAGAGCCACAAGGAGACTAATGAGTTAAATGTTCATTAACTCTTTTACAAAAAGCCAAAAAGCAACTCAAATGTTGAAAAACTGAGGACTTCTTTTTCTAATGTTGCTGCTTTAATCAAACTTTTCCAAGGCGATACTTCAGGAAACACTAAGAGGGCTTCGTATTGAAGGCAGAGTGAAGAGAAGACTTTGTTCCTCGCGTACGGAGGATTAATTGGCTCACCAGTGATCAGAGGGGTAGCTGGCCAATGATCCATCAGTCACGTAGGTGGAAGACCCGCCTCCATCCAGATTAATGGCATTGATGACTCCGTACTTCTTCAGAAAGTCGGCCACCTCCCAAAGATTCATACTGTACCGACAGAGAAACAGAAGAGTAACGGGATGAGGTTCAGACCGACAGTTCAAAGTGGAATAAATCTGACGTGTGCCAGAGTACAGACTGTTGTTATTCGTGAGCGGGAGGTCGTTGTTTGGTCCCATCTGACTTTTACACGTTGTTATTGAGCGGCCGGTGTCCTGATATTGAGCGGAGACGTACAGAGGGCTGCTCTGACATGTCATCTTGTTGTGCTTCTCAAAGCCAGATCATTAACACCAACCCATTAATCTCCACAGTCGCTGCACCGAGGGTGGGTGGGTGGGAGGTGGGGGAGAGGCAGATCAATACAATCGATTGGTTGATAGATCTTAGTGGGTTGAGGTGACATGAGCCCAGGTTCAGAGAGTTTAGTGCTTGTTATTGGCAAGAATCTGGTGATACAATACGTATCTAGGAATGGGAAGCGATAAGATTATATTGAGACCAGCGACGTCACAATAACAGATATTTCTGATGGCAAACTTCTGAAAACGTGACGGTACACACTTTTGTACAGTACTGTAAGTACCAGGGAATCAATTCTTCCCAACCTGATGGGTCACCTTCCTGTACAGCTAATGACTGTCGCACAGTTTCTGCAGAGAAACACTCAAACACACGACTTTATCAGTGATTTGAGTGAAACTGGATCAGATTTTATGGAGAGAAAATTGTCTGGATTTCCCTCTGACGTCCTCCGACTAACTGATAATGTAGATTTACGACAATAAACTCAATTTCTTTGTATTTTTATATGAAAATCTAATATTTTTGGTGATTTATGGGAGTTTTTCAGATAAAAGAAGCAAACTGTCGCTAACTGTGACATTAAATGCTGTTAACTAGTTAGCTTGGTAAGAAAACACCTTTACTTTATTCTCTGTAGTCAAACTGTCACATTCAGTCCACTAATGGATCCACTACAGCTACGTAACAAACAGCGCTACTGACTCACTAACTGCCTGTTTGTAAAGGAAATACATAAATATGAGGAAGCAAACAGCTCTCTGACTCCTAGTAGACAATAACTGTCAGATCCATCTTAACCTTCAGTAACTCGTCATGTTTTGTTTGTAGAAGAACTGAATGGCTTTGTGGACACATTTCACTGATCTCACAGCCGGTTTTAAGATTATTACTGCTGGTTTATTTTTTTATTGTTTGCCTTGTAACATCAAACCAATCAGGAAGCAAACAGACAGGCTGAATAAGACTCTTTGTGAGTTCAGATGATTACATTTAAGTTCCTGTTTCCTTGTTTTTTTTCTGCATTTGATTTTGTCTTCTTTGACGTTCATGTGCCAAAACGAAACCTGTTATGAAACGTGTTCCCAGTATGAGGCTTGCAAGGCTTTAAGGCTGGGCTTCAAACCACAACCAACCGTAATACCTTAACAGTACCGACCACAGTGAGTCTGTAGTTGTGATTACTTAGTCGTACATTCAGGATATATACTATATACACCCTTACAGCCTTTATTTAAGCTAACCATGTCAAACAGAAGGATCCATCCACAGTGAACAGATAAAGAAACTCCAAAGAGCATAGAGCTTGTTTTTTGTGTTTGGCTCAGCGGGGCTCAGGCATGCAAAATCAAACCCTGCATATTTAATTCCTAGTTGGGGCACTTTGTATTGACTCAAAGGCCCTGTGAGTCACTTTGTGTTAATGGAATAAATTATCATGTGTTTTTCTCACGTCCACATCTGTGTCTGCTCGCTCTTCCTTCCCCCAGAGAGGGACTCACTCTTTCATCCTACTTACTGGGTGTTAAGTAGAGCAGAGGAAGGGAGCTGCTCTTACCCTCTTATCCCAGTCTGTCCATCGATCTGAAACAGGATCAGTCTGCCCTCGGCGTCGTGGCCCACCGCCGTCCGGGCCGACACGACATCCACAAATGTTTTGAGGAGCCCTGCGAGAGGAGCAAGAAGAAGGTAAACACAATTGATTGTGGACTCTGTGTTCCTTGAGGCAAAAAGCTCTCACAGAGTACTCGATGTTTTCTTTTCTTCACCCAGGAGCTTCTTCAAGTCTAACACGTCGGATTCAACTACTGAGGTGCAACGACGTGAGCTCGTCTGCACTGGAAATATCAAGTCTGACAAAAACAAACCTCATCCTTTTCTGTAGAGGACAGAAGGAGCAGATACAAACACAGAATACAAAGTCAGGCACATCGTGTTAAGACAGGTTCACATGGTCTTGAAACAATACTTGCACGCCCATATTTATTTTCACAGAGTTATCGGCCTAGGTTATCGGTCCTCCTCCCCATCCTGGCTGCACAGAGATCCCTTCTTATCCTTAAGTTAAGTTATGTTCTATATGTAGTTGAGTTCTTACATTATCCCAAATGTTTCCAACAATGTTCAAACATTTTATTCAGGTAACGCTGCGTTTCACCGGTCGCCTGTCGATGGCGTCAGATCCCCTTTGTGCCTGCGTCAGCGTTGTGGTTGTCTGCCAGAAGCTGTCATACATTGACTGTTGATTCAGTCTGAAGTCACATTGTTACCATCCACTGTTTAGATCTTGGTGCTTTTTAACTCTAGATTTGAACCGGATGAAGGATTTTAGTCATCGGACGTCTGGATCTTAAGTTATCAGAGAAACAAGCTGAGCTAACGTTAGCAGCAGCTCGGCTCGCAGCCCCTCCGGGACGTCCTTTGTCTGTCCAACAGCGTGGGAGAAGCAGTGATTGTTAAGGTGGAACTGCTTTATTCAGTGTGTTTAGTGGTTTTAATCAGCGGGTCTGTTAGGAGGAGACCTGACCACTGCAGTGTACCATTTGGTGGTATTAATAACTATTAAGGCAAAAGAACATCTTATAGCTGCGATTAGTATGAAATGCCACATTGGTTGCCTGTGATCTGTCTGATGAGAGCCGCCCCAAGGAAAGTGATATTTGCCAATTCTTCATTGTATAGCCGTAATATTTTATAGCTTCTGAAACGCTCCAGGTTGAAGCTGCGGACCGAAACTCGCAGACGTGGCATCATAGAGGCGTGCCCAGTGGAAATAAGGTGTCGAAGATGACCATTTTATTTATCTAACTTAGTAGTAGTACTGGTAACTAGGGATGTTCCTGGTGACTCATTTTGCTGATGTAAAATTCAAATTCAGACTATTTAAGTAGTTTAAAAGTAAGAAAACAATCAAAATTGAGCAAAATTTAAACATTAATAAAATATTACAATGAGTTTAACCGACTCGCGAGGGTAGCACATCCCTACTGTTAACTTTTAAAGGCAGTTTCCCAATTTGTTATTGACTCAAGTTCGTGTTGAAAGAAATGTTGGTTGTCCCAAAAAGCCACACGATGCCACGGCGGTCAGTGGGAGGACGTCTCTACAGAGCTTTTAAAATCGCTGCCACGAAGCTGAGGTCAAGTGTCAGCATTATGTAAACAATGACAGATCAGTTCAGAGAAGCCTCAGCCTTATTTATTAAAGAGGTGTGTGTGTGTGTGTGTGTGTGTGTGTGTACTTTGGTTGGTGCTCTTGTCGCCGTTAATCAAACATGGCAGTGTTGTGTTTTGGTGGTGTGATGTGAGTCCCGTCGGGTCACAGATGAGTTTCTGTGTTATGTAAAAGCGGCTGAGATACAGTTACATTTAATTACTGCTGAACTGAAGCTGATCCAGTTTCTACCTCCCAGCCCGGGCCGAGCTCAGGAGAACTGATCCTGGACAACCAGGGTTTATTTACAATCTGTACCTGTCACTATGGCAACATATGCCCTGAAACTAACCTTATACAGCAGATTAACTCAATCTTAACCTCGACAACAGAGTTAACTGTTCTGATCTTATAGATCAGTGGTTCCCAAAGTGGAGGTCGCCAAATTTCGTTGATTTCTGTGAAGAAAACTAAATGGAATATTCATTTTTAAAGTTTAGATTATTATGTAAATTCTAATCTTTTAAGCCCTGTACACAAGTTATACTGACCGAGCCTTTACTCTCTGATAAACAGCAAACAATGGTCGAGTGTCAGAGAGAGGAAAACACTGAATTTGTCCAAAAAAGCCTTTTAAGTGTTTACAATTGGTAAAACCAATTAAAAAATACATAACACAGACATAAAAAGTATAAAAAAATATGAGGAAAACTAATTTCTGATGCAATATTTTGAGAGTTACTGAATTGAATATAATATTAAATCCATAAAATATGTCACTTAGTCAAGAGGTCGTCGGTTTAATGAACCATGTAGACGTTATAGACGATCCAATCGACTTCTGTAGTGTTTGATTGGACAGAAAACTGAACCCTGCAGGCAGACAGGAAGCCGTCTGCCTGTGGATGTGAATGTAGATGTATATATATATGTACCCGTCTCCTGGGTCTTGTCGCACTCGGCCTTCAGACTCTCGCTGATGTAAACCTCGCCGTTCCTCAACAACCACACCACACCGCTGACCAGCTGGACGAAGGGGTTGGACTGGTCCAAAACATCTTCCTGCGACAGATACCTGGGTTTAGACATGAAGTAGTACACAGGTGTTATCAGGATGAATTATAATAACTTTTGATGATCCTTGATTATGATTTGTAATCTAGTGCCATCATCAGGTCCAATACTTTAATTTTATTCACTGATGAAGGTCTTTTATTCTTACTTCTGATCTCTATGTGAGTGGGTCACTTTTACCAGGAGGTGTAAACAGCCCAACTGTTGCCTCACTGTGGGAAACAATGAAGCAATACTTCCTATTTTAGGTCAGAGGCAGGTGTGTTTTCACACAGAAGAACCGAGCAGGACAATAACTGGTTGTATCAAGTCTGAGGTTTACTGCGTGTGAGGAACATAAATGTTATTTTAGCTTCACTTTCTCAGGATGATTGACACAAAAACCCCACGCAGACTGTTGTTCCAGAGTTTACTGACCTCAGGTATCAAACAAACAAGTAAAATTGACTTTTTCGTGGTTTATAGATAAAATGTGTGTTTGTGTAAGTGTTGACCTTACAGTGGCATTGTAAATATCCAGAGCTATCCTTGGGGAGCATTCTAGGAAGGACTTAATCAGCAGAACTATTTTAAATGTTAGGTTGATTTTCAGTGAGCAGTATTTAAAGGAAGAAGAGTCTGAAAGCAGCAGAGAGCCATGTTCACATTAACATCCACACATTGTGTTTTCGTGTGTAGTTCATTAAACTGAACCAGAGGTTAGAAGTTACCGGTCCACTGGCAAACAGGAAGTCACTAAACTGCAAATGCGGGTTTACTTGAGATAACGCAGGCGGGCACAGGAAGCACCGTGGAGTGAGAGCGGAGGTCAGGTGCAGACGGGCAGAGAGAGAGGAGACTGAAAGCAGTTTGTGTTTATGTAAAATGTAGTTTCTGACTGTTAAATGAAACGTTCCCACTCTGATGATAACATGAAGAATGGTGGCCCGTGCCTTATCAAAATAAAAGCTGCTGGTATGCTGACTGTTGTAATCTGGCAGATTTTGTAGTTGGTAAAACATCTCGCTGTATTTCCAGGAAAATAACATGTGTAAAAGTTGTTGTGAAATAAGCACAAGTCAGCTTTGACATTTTGTTGTTTATTCTAATAGTCTAAATATAAATATATATATATATATATATATATATATATTTGACCGGTTACTGACTCTAGTGGGAGCAGCTAGATGAGCTTGACTTTGTGGATGTCCGGTTGTTGTGGTGAAGGAATTCCCCCTGCCGTGATTTAGGGTGGCTGAACAGCGCAGTACCCATTTTTACTGCCATTTTTGTTCGTTTTCGTTTTTATAAAATCCTTTGTAAGGAGTACAGCTGCATAGGGTACAGTTAGATTGCTCTAGGGTGCTAAATCTCTGGTACCGCTAACTTTACTGCAATGGTTCTGAGCTTCATATTTTAGCCAGGATTTTGGGCCTCCTCGCAAAAAGTTGACTTACTTTCCGGCTTCGTGTTTCTGTTTGGTGGCTTAATATGTGTCCGACATCTCCAACAACATGTAACGGAGATGCTTCTTAACTCTAGCGAGTAAGTAAGACAACAGGTTTTTCATAGTTTGCGTGAAATGACCCTTTAACGTTGGGACTGTGGTTGGAGGTGGAGCTGGGCCTTACCCGAACACCAGGGTGCCGTCCCTCCTGATTCCAAACTGGGCGTTCTGCACGCCGCCGCCGTCCCTCACCATCCTGCCGTCGCTCACCACGTTGCCCAGACAGTAGCCTTTGGTGGTGTTGAAGAAGCCAGCGTTCTGGGCGTAAAGACACCCGGCAGCCTTCGCCGTTTCCTCCACCGACGCCGTGTGATTCATCCCGCAGCCGCCCGGCCCGCCCGGCTCCAGCACCGACAACGTCCTCAGCGGGTCGTGGACCACCGTCATGTGACCTGGGAACAAAGACGCGACGAGATGAGATGAAATAAATGAAGATTTTAATCAGTGTCTACTTAAATACGCAGTGTGGTCATGTTTCTTTAGTTTAATAATATTGCCACCTTCAACCCAGACTCTACTGTAGTAGTACTGTAAAGCAGGGTCCCTAATAGACACAGGTCTCTTTTAAAAGCCTGGTGGCTACACGTTTTGACAAATAAACGCAGGTCTCCAATAGAGGCCTGGTCTGGATTTTAGAGAAATTATCTTGATGTATAAAACCTCTTAAAACCCACCGGGTCGCCTGCTTGAGCGAGTTTTAAGTCGTTTCAATCTCCTACACAAATATAAATGTTTAACCTTCTGTCAGTATGAACATAATGAACATCATGAGATCAGTTATAGATTCTCCACAATTCAATCTTTCAATATATTTTACTAAAACTATCAACAACAAAGTATAACTTTAATTCATTCTGACTTACCGGTGAACAAAAGAGAAGGAAAACAACCTCTGAAGCATCATAATCATCATGTTAGTTGTCAAATTTGCTGAACAAAACCTCAAGAGAAGCAGCAGTTAGAGTTTAGTTTCGTGCTAAAGGAATTAAACGCCTGTCCCAAATAGAGGCTTGTCCCCAATAAAGGCAGGGGGAGTTCAGTGATTTAAGCAAATAAACTTCCGGGCTATTATTAGAAGTTTTACGGCACTTTAATGGATTAAATGGATCAGAGGTGAGGGAGTAAATCAATAAACAGAGAGGGATCGATCAATCAGAAGTTCATCAAACAAGGATTAGACTCAAATCATTTAAACTGTCCGTCACCGACCGTAAACCCACGTGGAGCGCCCGGGGACGTCCGATACGAACACCGTGGAGTCCGGCAGCCGGCTGTGGTCACTGGAGGGCCAGCTCTCGTGGGTGGTGTTGCCATGACGGACGGGCTGACAGTCTCTGACGTGGCGGTGAGAGTGGGAGGGGCCGTGGCCGTGGGCGTACGGCAGCAGGACGTCGTCGTTCATAGAGACCCTACGAGGAGAGGGAACCAAAACAAGATTAATAGAGGAAGAAAGTAACGGCTGTGTTGTTTCTATTGTTGTGTGTTTATTGGCCTAACAAAAGCCCCCAGCCTAAAGGGGCCCCCAGCCTAAAGGGGCCTTTTCTAAGTTGTTTCCATGTTTATTTATTTTGTTGTTTTCTTCGGTTTGGGCTGTAAATAAGTTGCACTGATCCACTGCTTGGAAGAAAGGGAAATAAAGAAATTTGGACTGACTGAACAGTTTCAAGGTCCCTTCCTTCCTGCATTCGCCGCTCGAGCAATCGTACAGCGGGATTTTGTTCCTTGTTGAGGATTTTAAAGCCTCCCACAGACGACACAAACGTTCCTTTCTCACTCGCTCTCTCCACAAGAACCAGAGATTCACCGATCCGGATCCAAAAACCCAAATTTTTATATCTGCCGACTCCAGTGTCTCTTTTTAAACGTGCATTCAGCCCATTGTGATTCCTCCGTTCTAAAATCTTCCAGGACTTTTTCTTGACAATAGCACAATAACACGACGACACATTAAATAAAGAAACAGAGTTATATTTACACTATATACAGCGTTTTATATCCAGATGTGACTGCCAACAGTCGGGTTTCAAACTAAATACGCACCCAGGTTTACGTAATGTGAGTGAGGGGCTGAAATACAACAGCATATAGTTCATGGTTCCAGGTATATTTGGTCATTTTAATCTGTTTCCAGGTGTTTCAGTGACTGGAAAACTAATCTCTAACGCTTGGGAAGTACCTGGAGTGTGACTGCATGCCCCGAGCAGCATGTCTGCCCCTCTCTCTACAACCCACCTGTCTTACACCTCCTTCCATCCTCTCCCTCTCTGGATCTCACACACACACACACACACACACACACACACACACGTATGAACAGCAGTCAAACAAATCAATAGAAACGTCAGATATCAGATGTTCACACAAACTCGACTTGCAATCAATTCAATCCGTAGATGGTGACCTAAACAATAAACACACTAGTTATAAATATAATATTTGCTGTCTAATATGGGGCCTTTGGTCTTACCGCAGGGGCCCCGGTTCGATTCCAACCGGCGGCCCTTTGCTGCATGTCCTCTCCCTTTCCTGTCTATCTTCACCTATCAAAATAAAGGCACGAAAAGCCCCCCAATTTATCTTTTAAAAATAAAATAACTCTGTCAGACTCTAAATGTTTCACAGTTTCTTTCAACCGTGTTTGTGTTTCAGGCTTTGTTGAATACATAATCCAACAGCGCCATCTTGTGTCTGCCGTGTGTGTGTGTGTGTGTGTGTGTCTGTGTTGTGTGTGTGTGTGTGTGTGTGTGTGTGAGTGTTGTGTGTGTGTGTGGTGTTGTGTGTGTGTGTGGTGTTGTGTGTGTGTGTGTGTGTGTGTGTGTGTGTTGTGTGTGTGTGTGGTGTTGTGTGTGTGTGTGTGTGTTGTGTGTGTGTGTGTGTGTGTTGTGTGTGTGTGTGTGTGTGAGTGTTGTGTGTGTGTGTGAGTGTTGTGTTGTGTGTGTGTGTGTGTGTTGTGTGTGTGTGTGAGTGTTGTGTGTGTGTGTGTGTGTTGTGTGTGTGTGTGAGTGTTGTGTGTGTGTGTGTGTGTGTTGTGTGTGTGTGTGTGTGTGTTGTGTGTGTGTGTGTGTGTGTGTGTGTGTGGTGTTGTGTGTGTGTGTGGTGTTGTGTGTGTGTGTGTGTGTGTGTGTCTGTGGTGTCTGTGTGTCTGTGTGTGTGTCTGTGTGTGTGTGTGTGTGTGTGTGTGTGTGTGTGTGTGTGTGTGTACAGAAACTGACAGTGAAGGATCAAACACACAGCAACAACTAACAATGTGAGCTGATCTACGTTTGAGTTATTGTAAATGTTGCAGTTAATAATTTATTGATTATTTGTTTGTTATTTTAAATGTTGCAGTTAATAATTTATTGATTATTTGTATGTTATTGTAAATGTTGCAGTTAATAATTTATTGATTATTTGTTTGTTATTGTAAATGTTGCAGTTAATAATTTATTGATTATTTGTATGTTATTGTAAATGTTGCAGTTAATAATTTATTGATTATTTGTTTGTTATTTTAAATGTTGCAGTTAATAATTTATTGATTATTTGTTTGTTATTGTAAATGTTGCAGTTAATAATTTATTGATTATTTGTTTGTTATTGTAAATGTTGCAGTTAATAATTTATTGATTATTTGTTTTTTTTAATTTATTGATTATTTGTTTGTTATTGTAAATGTTGCAGTTAATAATTTATTGATTATTTGTTTGAGTTATTGTAAATGTTGCAGTTAATAATTTATTGATTATTTGTTTGTTATTGTAAATGTTGCAGTTAATAATTTATTGATTATTTGTTTGTTATTGTAAATGTTGCAGTTAATAATTTATTGATTATTTGTATGTTATTGTAAATGTTGCAGTTAATAATTTATTGATTATTTGTTTGAGTTATTGTAAATGTTGCAGTTAATAATTTATTGATTATTTGTTTATTTGAGTTATTGTTTGTTATTTTAAATGTTGCAGTTAATAATTTATTGATTATTTGTTTGTTATTTGTAAATGTTGCAGTTAATAATTTATTGATTATTTGTTTGTTATTTTAAATGTTGCAGTTAATAATTTATTGATTATTTGTTTGTTATTGTAAATGTTGCAGTTAATAATTTATTGATTATTTGTTTGTTATTGTAAATGTTGCAGTTAATAATTTATTGATTATTTGTTTGTTATTGTAAATGTTGCAGTTAATAATTTATTGATTATTTGTATGTTATTGTAAATGTTGCAGTTAATAATTTATTGATTATTTGTATGTTATTGTAAATGTTGCAGTTAATAATTTATTGATTATTTGTATGTTTGAGGGAAGTGAAAGTCCTCTTTGTGTCTTAAATACTGAATATTGTTTCTCAACAGCTGGAAACTTCAGTAAAGGTTAACTACATTGAACCAAAAACAATAATAATTAAGTTATAAAAGTAAAATTAACTAATTTAACTGTTTGAAACGAAACAAGTTTAAACTCGATCTTTAGCCACGGCTAGCATTAGCATCCAGCTAAAGCCGGAAGCGTTGGTCTTACCGGGTGTTTGTGGCCTCGGACGGCCGGACACAGAGCCCCAGCAGCAGCCACACAAAGGGACATTTCACCGACACTGCGGCCATGTGAGGAGGGGAAACTATCCGGCCAAGGTCCCCTCTGCTCCCGCTGCTCCCGCTGCTCCTCGCATCCTCCAGCTAGCACACCGCAGCACAGTAAACAAACGGAGAAGGAACCACTTCCTGTTGGGCTACAAAATAAAAGCCGTATTGGCAGCGTCAGCCAACAATCAGCCATTTTATTTATAGATTTTAGTTTTTAGAAAAAAAACATTAAAAAGCTAATTCCTTAACCCTTTAAAGTCAAATATGTTCAAATACCACATAAAATGTTTTATTCAGTTGTCAAATTTGACTTATCTGACTCAAAATGTTAATATATATATATATATATATATATATATATATATATATATATATATATATATATATATATATATGTAACTCTATATAACTCTATATGTGTGTTTTTTAATAATTTTGGGTTTATCAACTGACAGAAAAGTTTAGGCCTGTTTGTTTGTTTGCTGTGTTGACGTACAGTGCTGCTGCAAACTTTTGACAGCGTATATAAACAAAAAAGTAAAAAAAAGCAACTATTAAGTAGTTGTTGTCAACGGTTTGTTTGTGTATGAAAACACTTTATTTTGGAGGTTAAAGCAGGTTCCAGTACTGTGTTTGCAATTTCCACAGTAGGGCCATTTATATTATTACATGTTATTTATATATATTATATTTATTTTTAAAAAATACTAAATTTAAAGCTAATTTAAAGTATTTAATGTCCTTTTGATGGTTGGTAAGATCTAAGACTGGAGATATATTATTTCCCTGCATCCCTTTGTTTGTTTTTTGACTTTTGGTATTTATTTTTATTTTTTTTGGTTATACATATCAGATGAAAACATATAATAAATATATAAACGCTGTCTTGTTACATTGATTTCTTTTCACTCATAGAATATTCTTTCAATATTTTACTTTTATTTTGAAAGAAATATTAACATTTTCCGGTGTTTTTGACGTAATGTAGTAACTTAACGTAGGGCGGTCACATGACTGCCACCAGCTGGCTGACAGCCACGTGTACTGACATAGAGGATGTTAGAAACAGATGAGTCTTTTATTTTACACAGTATGAAATTAAATTCAATAAAACGTCAAACTCTACAACAACATATTTATATAAAGAGTTCTGGACTGTAAATATATAAAACACTAAACTCTATTTGTCCATTTTGTTCAGCCTGTGTAATAAATCCTCTTTATTGACTGAGTGCACAAACAAAATGTTGGTTGTAAAAAGCAACGAGTGATAGAAAACTCTGCTCATTTCTCTGTGACGAAGCTGTTTTAGTGAGGAAAGTTGAAAGGACAGAGACTGACTGACAAATGCTCTTCTGCTCTGAACATGAACTCTGAACTTTGTGGTGTTTCAGGAGGAAAACTGCCTCAGTTATACTCTCATATTAGTTTCACAGTTTCTCCATCAGCTTTGTATGAGACCCTGGAATGAAGACAAGAAGAAAATACTTTGTTCATGTTTGTTTATTCATGATGTAAAGCTTCAGTTTGTTCACACATCCCATCAGTAAAGTCTGTTCAATGACTCTTGTTCAATGAGTTCATGTACAGATTCACTTCATCCACACAATCAGTTTGTTGGAGCAGAATCTCAGCTATGTACAAGGAAATAATCAATCATCTGCTTATTGATTATCATCATGCTGAATACACTTTTATAATCCCTCATAGTTCCTCATTTGTGCGTGGATTTGGACAACAACAACAACAACAAACAAATAAATGTGATTAAAGATTTCTTTCCAAAGCGGTGAGAACAGAATATCTCCGATAAAGGAAGGTCTGCTGCTTTCTCTCTTAGACCCATACAGTGGAAGAGAAACAACAACATACAAATACATCATTACAAATATTCAACAAACACAAGTTTACATTTTCATGCAGAGAAATATCAGTTCAGGTAAACAACAGTCATCATGAGCAGTGATAGCCTCCATGGCTAAACAGACACAGGAAGGAGCGCCACCTAAAGACACTCAAACATTTACAGAACAACTAATGAGAAGATGTCAAAGTACCGCCCACAATGTTTGATTGACAGGTGATCTCTGTGCAGTGAAGAAATGCCACAACAATCAGCTCTCAGCAACAACGATGGAAACAAAACCATTTGAAGAAATGAAACACAGAATTTAACCCACTGTCCCTGAAATCACTTCTGTCTATTTCAGTTTACACAACTCAGCTGTGGATCCATCATAGAAAGGCCAAAGTCCAGCATAGAGAGGCTGAGTGAATGTGGTCTGGACTCTGTGGAGGAGAGTCATGGTTTCAGAGACGCTGTAGAAGGACAGAATACCTGCACTGTGATCCAGGTACACTCCAACTCTGGAGGACTGAGGACCTGAGACAGGAGTTTGGACTCTGTTGTAATAAAAGTAATAACTGTTTGTGAAACATTGTAACATCCAAGATTTGTCATTGAATCCAAATCCACATTCATCTGACCCCCCTGCTCTGCTGATATTCTTGTATGCGACTGCTACACAAACTCCTCCCCCTCTCCTCTCCACCTCCCAGTAACAACGTCCAGTCAGACTCTCTCTACTCAGGACCTGCTCCCAGTCAGTGAATCTGTCTGGGTGACTAGAATAAGACTGTTGTTGTCTCATTAATGTTACTTTTCTGTTCCCCTCAGATAATAACAGCAGTGTGTTTGCTGTGTTTGGATCCAGTGTGAGTTCACGTGAATATTGTAAGAATCCAGCTCTGGTCTTGGGCTCTGGTTGTGGCAGTAAAACATCCACTTCAGTCACTGTCAGTGAGACGTTTGTCCATTTGTCCCTCAGAACGTCCTGTAGTTTATCTCTGAGCTCTGACACAGCCGCTGTCACATCCTCAAAGTACCTCAGAGGACGGATATTGATGCTGGATGTAGATTCACTGAGTGCTGACAGTGAGGGGTAGTTGTGTAGAAACTGGGTGTGGTCCTCTGTGTGTGACAGCTTCTTCATCTCAGCGTCTTTCCTCTTCAGCTCAGTGATCTCCTGCTCCAGCTTCTCCTGAAGCTCTTTGACTCGACTCACTTCAGTTTCCTGCTGGGATCTGACCTGCTGCTTCACATCAGAGCTTCTTTTCTCCATGAGACGGATCAGCTGAGTGAAGATCTTCTCACTGTCCTCCACTGCTTTATCAGCAGAGCGATTGATAGCCTCCACCTGCTGTTGAAGCTCCTTCACATCTTTCTCTCTGTCCTGGATTCTCTGCTGGATGTTTTGTCGACTCACATCGAGCTCTCTCTGCCTCTCAGTCCTTTCTGCTGCAGCTGAGACTGTGTCGTGGCCTTTATGTTCATCCACAGAGCAGAGATAACAGATACACTGCTGATCAGTACGACAGAACATCTTCATCACCTCATCATGACGAGAGCAGATGTTCTCCTGGAGCTTCTTGGAGGGGTCCACCAGCTTGTGTTTCTTTAATGGAGCCACATCATAATGAGGCTGGAGGTGTTTCTCACAGTAAGAAACCAGACAGACCAGACAGGACTTGAGGGCTTTCAGTTTTCTCCCAGTGCAGACATCACAGGCCACATCTTCAGGTCCAGCATAGCAGAGATCAGCAGGAGCAGCTTGGAGTCCAGTCTTCTTTAGTTCCTCCACTAAATCTGCTAACAAGGTGTTTTTCATCAGGACAGGCCTCGGTGTGAAGGTCTGCCTACACTGAGGGCAGCTGTGGATTTTCTTCTCATCCTCTCCATCCCAGAAGCTTTTAATACAGTTCATGCAGTAGCTGTGTCCACAGGAAGTAGTCACCGGATCCTTCAGTAGATCCAGACAGATCGGACAGCAGAATCTTTCTCGGTCCAGCTGAACTCCTTGCTGCGCCATTTCACCTCTCAGTTACAGTGACTGTCTGAGTTTCACTTCCTCAGAGCTGAAACTAGTTTGAGCTCTGATGTAATCAACAGGTGTTTCTGCAGCGAATGGGGGCTGTCGGCTCTTTCACATCACCACATGTTGGTTACACCCATCTTCAAACTGTAGATCTAAAGGGGAGGGAACAAGGAAATATGTGTGCAGAGAGGAGCTCGCTGTGTTTGAGAGCAGGAGGAAGAGGGAGGGGTTATCAAGCTGTGGTTCATTCCAGGAAGAGGAGCAGCGCTGTGAATGTGAATTTTGATTCCTCGTTTATGATGAAGCCTCAGTTAAAAGCTGCTCCATGTTGGAAAACAGTTTAGATTTTAGTTTTAGGGCAAGAGGAGGGGTCGGGGTTACGAACACAAGCATTCATCCACTGTCAGTCTCAACTTCCCCCATCACATTTTGACCACCAAAAATAAAGTTAGAGATGTTTCATTATTAATATTATTTAGTCATTTTTATTCAGTGTATAAGATCAAAATAATAAAAAATAAAATAAGGATAGCAAAAACCTTAAGTATTCAACCAGCTATGACTGATTCAGGCCTGAAACTCTTTATGCTCTTTGCTTTACACTTTCTGCATTTGTTAAAATTTTGTATTTCACCAGATTTTTAAAACTGTTTTTCAAAATTCTTTATTCTTATTATTATTATACAATACAATAGGTCTTCCATCTTGTCTTGCTTTCCTCATTTTTATCTGATATTAATATTATTAAACTGCAGGTTTAATGTTTCAACTCATTTTATATTGATTATGACAGTCAATGCCAGTTTTTATGTTTCTATGTATTTTTCATGTGAAACACTCGGTGTAATTTTTTTGTTGCAAATCGCTTTGAGCTGCATTTCTTGCATTAAATGTGCTATATGAACAAAGTTATTACTGTCATTATTATTATTACTGTTGTAACTGATGTTGTCTTCTCTGCACTGCCAGAAAAAGAAATTCTGGCCAAGAAATACTGAAATCTATTTGTTTGCCCTAAAAATTTAAACATATTTTATAAGAAACTGGAGTCACTTTGTCAAATATCCCCCACGTGTTACTCTGCAAAATAGCTAAAAGCCCAATAAATGAAATAGAAAACACTGAGGAAATACAGTAACCTGAATGATATAAAGCTGTTGAAGGGCAGTAATCATTAACAGCTAGCCTCTTTAATCTGGCTGCTTTTGCTCAGCAGCAAACTGCAGACAGACACAGTTACAGACTAGCTGGCGAACATATAGTGGAGCATTTAGAGTTAGATACTTCCCTCAGAAGTTGGTGCAGACCAAAAAAAGAGCTAAAGGAAAGAGACTATTGGACTTATATACATCAGGTGGACACAAACACGACTCTAGTGGGTTCATTTTGTGTTCTTAATCATCATTAAAGCAGCTTTAAGAAGGTAGCTAAAACTAAAATCCACTGAGTGGCTGCATCAAGCAAACTGGTGTACTGCATTATAGTACTGTATGGTGACAGTCAGGTTGTCCCATAAGAGAAATAATCAAAGAATCCGACACAGTCTCCACTGATTGTTCCCTTTTAATAACGTTATAATGAAAAATGAAGCCTGTGAGTGGATGAATGACGCTGTCTCACACAAACAAAGGGAGGTGTCCTTCCACTGCACTGTTATAAATGAGATAATGAGATAAATGAGAACTTAACACAGCGCTACAAGCTGAAGACAAAGCTCCCATTTCCATCCTGTAATTCCACTGGAACTCAATAAATAAACTCAAACCACTGAGTGAAGGAAACCACCATCAATAATTCATTCATAATGACATTTCATTTTGGTTTAAAATAAAATAAAAACATTCAGAATTAGAGTCAACAAAATCCCTCCAACAAAGAAAACTGATTTTCTAAATAAAAATACACACAGTACCTTTTATTTTTTAACAGAGCGACACTGTCAGTGGCCTTGAGGCACATTACAGCCAACTGTTGAACTGTTTATTAATGTAATGTAGGAAAACAAGCTCAGTCAAACTCCTCTGTTAAAGTTAAATTAACAAAAACTACATTACACTCTATTAGATTTTGCCTAAATTGAGTTTAATTTAAAAAGATCAGCTCTTTTCAAAGTACCTAAACCAATAATTTATCTTAGCCTTTATCGTTACAACTAAAGTGTATTGTGTGTATTGTGTCCAATAACAGTTGAGCACGCCTCGGTCAACTTCCTCCCTTCCTGTGCTTAGATATGCTACGTGCTAGGCTAATCTGTGTTGAAAAGACGACCACATTTTGAAGATGGTTAAAAGATAAAAGTGAAATCTTTACGTTCCCATGTGTCTGTGCTGAGCCCGGTTCTGTCGCCTGCTAACGGCGGATACAGTTAGTAGCAGTTAATTAGCAGTACCATTAATAATACCCGAAAATACCTAAAACATGACTTTGTCGTCACTGTTGGGTCAGAAACTAGATATTATTATATATACTAGATATAACTTAAGCTGTGACTCAACTGTTATTGGACTAAAGAAAGGTCAGTGACAGAATTCCTTTATGTCCACTGTCAATAAGTTTATTTGAACATTTGTTCATATTATGATGGATTATAGCTGGTTTCCAGAGTAAGGGATAAACAGAGGACTTATGTGGCTATGAATGACGAGCGAACACGTTGGGAAACAACAAACAAATACGTCAACGTTTCAAATATTAAAAGATGTTCTGTTTAAATGAGCGATCGCGTCAATGAAACACCAGATTATGTTGAAAATCAATCATTTTTTAAGGAGAATATTAAAATACAAGCATATTCCCAACCATTAAAACACAACAGTTAAAATTAAACATCTTCCAAACTTTCATGAAGACTTTGTCCGAACCCTGTAACCATAATATAAGGGGTGAAAAAGGCCACAAAGGCGGAGAGGCAGACGTACGGTCAGCAGGTAATGAAGCGGTGTTGGGTAATGGCAGAGTGAACTGGGCCTTAAAAAACATCATAATCTGTCTGAAAAATCCCTTTAAATTTTTATCTTAATCATTTTTTAATGATCAGTGTCTTGTTGTGGAGATTGTCCATGTGTCCTCCTTCTGTGAGGGAGCTACCTAACATCTGCTTTTAAATTCTGTTGCGGAAGAAGGCAAAAGGTTAATATTGTAACTTTGGGCAGCAATGGCGTCTACCGTTGGCGTTATTCTCTGCAGGCCTTACCTAACTTTACCGTCCTGCCCTCATCCACTGACATGACATCCGGTTGGCTGCCTATCGTCTGCCTGAATCCATGTGAATGCAGCACCAGGCAATAAAACTACTTGGTTAGCTTCAGGAAACGATCATGCTTTGTGTGGAAAAAAACACATTGGCTGTTCCACCCTGGGTGCAGATAGCAGGGTTGGCTGCTGACAGCTGGGTGCTAATATCATCTGCCAAACAGAAGCTAGATGGATATGAGATTGTCAGAACTTCCTCACACCTGTGTACCATTAATAGCTGTTTCTCAGCTGCAGAAAGAGACAAATACAAATACATACATCACTTTATCGTTAACAGTTACCCATTTCATGTTGTCACTGATAATAGTAAAAATAATAATGAATTTGATTAATAAAAGCACATTTGTAAAAGCCAACAGGTTGATAGAGTACACAGATCAGTATACTCAGTAACCTCAACATATTATAGCCTTCCAGTCAGTAGAATAAGTATAAATCCATGATATTTAGGAATGACACCTGCAAAAACATTTGTATTACTTAATCACTATGGGTAAGATCATTACATTTTCATGTAGGCCTACACACAAATGCATATTTTCATCAACTCCAACCAGCTCGTCAACCCTGTTCCCCTAGAATGGAAACAGGGTCGACTAAGATACCTCACCAAACTGTTGTTTTGATCAAACTTTTACACATATGAAGAATAAAACCCATTCATGAGTGATGAAACAACACTTGAGGCTGGGAAGGTGAAAGGTGTCCCACAGACACCACTGATGGCTTTCTTTGACCAGCAGGTTCTCCGCAAGGCCAGGTCCGTTCTGGACTGTACAAACTGAACCTGGAGGTTGAAACCTTCCCTTGGCCCTCAGTAGATTTAGAGAACCAAGGTTGAAGTGCAATAGGAGTAAAACATCCATTGTTCCTTTTGCAATTACTAATGTGCACGTGTCATTTTAAATTCTGAGTGTCTTATGTGTAATTCTAGCATCTTGCACATGGATTTCTCTACATTGTTGTTGTATTATGGTGTACTATTTATTGTTTGTACAGAAATCATTTTTGTGTTGTTCAGGATTTTATTACTTGGTTAAATAAACTGAATCACACATAAATGCAGCAGTAATATTAATCCAAACACATCAGATATAACAATAAAACACTGGCAGGAACATTTTACTGCAACACTTTTACTTTAACTACTTTATGTACTTGTTGCTTATTGCAAAGTTTTACTTAAGTAAAATACACCTTTACCTACATTTAGTTTTAGTAAGTAAGTAAGTTCACAGTGTTGTATTGGTATTTTTACTGCATTACTGAATACTGAATACACTGTGGAAATAAATGTTGAGAAAACTCAAGGCAACTGTCTTCATTCAGTTTCACAAACTGTGAAGTTAAGAAAGAAACTAATTTACTTTTCTTCTTTAAAAAATACTTGAATCTTTAAAACAATCTGTCTTTCAAACAAAAAAACCAAGACGAGGTCAAATCGGCTGAATGCAGGGAGTTCATTTAGAGCTTATGTGCAATGAACACATGAATGCTTGGTGCATTGTACTGATAGTGTTTGACAAGAAGTAGTACTGCAGCATGTGGATGTATCAGCTCTGTATGTGGTAAAGAAGGTTTCACACAGCAGAGGCTCATTGGACTGAAGGGAAATATTAAAACGTGTGCAGAAGTTCTTCAGTGTAGATTGTCCTCTGTAATTCCAATAAGAAACAGCAGGTGGAGCCCACACACACACACACACACACACACACACACACACACACACACACACACACACACACAATAAGTGAAATGAGCCACAAGTCCACAACTACACGATATCTGTTGTCTCATGTGTGTAAGGACTCAAACTGGACCCAATGAATTCTGATTATTTGTCCACTTTGTTCAGCCTGTGTAATAAATCCTCTTTATTGACTGAGTGCACAAACAAAATGTTGGTTGTAAAAAGCAACGAGTGATAGAAAACTCTGCTCATTTCTCTGTGACGAAGCTGTTTTAGTGAGGAAAGTTGAAAGGACAGAGACTGACTGACAAATGCTCTTCTGCTCTGAACATGAACTCTGAACTTTGTGGTGTTTCAGGAGGAAAACTGCCTCAGTTATACTCTCATATTAGTTTCACAGTTTCTCCATCAGCTTTGTATGAGACCCTGGAATGAAGACAAGAAGAAAATACTTTGTTCATGTTTGTTTATTCATGATGTAAAGCTTCAGTTTGTTCACACATCCCATCAGTAAAGTCTGTTCAATGACTCTTGTTCAATGAGTTCATGTACAGATTCACTTCATCCACACAATCAGTTTGTTGGAGCAGAATCTCAGCTATGTACAAGGAAATAATCAATCATCTGCTTATTGATTATCATCATGCTGAGTACACTTTTATAATTCCTCATAGTTCCTCATTTGTACGTGATTTGGACAACAACAACAACAACAACAACAACAACAACAAACAAACAAATGTGATTAAAGATTTCTTTCCAAAGCGGTGAGAACAGAATATCTCCGATAAAGGAAGGTCTGCTGCTTTCTCTCTTAGACCCATACAGTGGAAGAGAAACAACAACATACAAATACATCATTACAAATATTCAACAAACACAACACAACACAACAAAGACACTCAAACATTTACAGAACAACTAATGAGAAGATGTCAAAGTACCGCCCACAATGTTTGATTGACAGGTGATCTCTGTGCAGTGAAGAAATGCCACAACAATCAGCTCTCAGCAACAACGATGGAAACAAAACCATTTGAAGAAATGAAACACAGAATTTAACCCACTGTCCCTGAAATCACTTCTGTCTATTTCAGTTTACACAACTCAGCTGTGGATCCAGAATAAACAGAAAGTCCAGCATAGAGAGGCTGAGTGAATGTGGTCTGGACTCTGTGGAGGAGAGTCATGGTTTCAGAGACGCTGTAGAAGGACAGAATACCTGCACTGTGATCCAGGTACACTCCAACTCTGGAGGACTGAGGACCTGAGACAGGAGTTTGGACATTGTTGTAATAAAAGTTATAACCGTTTGTGAAACATTGCAACATCCAAGATTTGTCATTTAATCCAAATCCACATTCAGCTGACCTCCCTGCTCTGCTGATATTCTTGTGTGTGACTGCTATATTAACTCCATCCCCTCTCCACTCCACCTCCCAGTAACAACGTCCAGTCAGACTCTCTCTACTCAGGACCTGAGGCCAGTTAGTGAATCTGTCTGGGTGACTAGAATAAGACTGTTGTTCACTCATTAATGTTACTTTTCTGTTACTCTCAGATAATAACAGCCGTATGTTTGCTGTGTTTGGATCCAGTGTGAGTTCATGTGAATGTTGTAAGAATCCAGCTCTGGTCTTGGGCTCTGGTTGTGGCAGTAAAACATCCACTTCAGTCACTGTCAGTGAGACGTTTGTCCATTTGTCCCTCAGAACGTCCTGTAGTTTATCTCTGAGCTCTGACACAGCCGCTGTCACATCCTCAAAGTACCTCAGAGGACGGATATTGATGCTGGATGTAGATTCACTGAGTGCTGACAGTGAGGGGTAGTTGTGTAGAAACTGGTTGTGGTCCTCTGTGTGTGACAGCTTCTTCATCTCAGCGTCTTTCCTCTTCAGCTCAGTGATCTCCTGCTCCAGCTTCTCCTGAAGCTCTTTGACTCGACTCACTTCAGTTTCCTGCTGGGATCTGACCTGCTGCTTCACATCAGAGCTTCTTTTCTCCATGAGACGGATCAGCTGAGTGAAGGTCATCTCACTTTCCTCCACTGCTTTATCAGCAGAGTGATTGATAGCCTCCACCTGCCGTTGAAGCTCCTTCACATCTTTCTCTCTGTCCTGGATTCTCTGCTGGATGTTTTGTCGACTCACCTCGAGCTCTCTCTGCCTCT